ATGAAGCACTGTGCGACCTTTACAACAAATTCAGCAAACAGGTCAACAAATCTCACCAGCACGCTGAGAGGAGTCGGCAGAAAAAGAGGAAAATCAATCACCACGAGTATTTGGATGAAGATGAGGGGGGAGCTAATATTGCATATCCCTCCCAAGAAATTGACGATCCCCCCCAAGATATGGGTGATGCGGTTGCCAACTGGCAGGTATGATTTTCATTTTTTTCGCTCTCAACTGAAGCCTCAAGTTACATTTCCAGTCCCCTGCACATTCCCTGCCATTACCTGAACCAAGTGCAGCTCCCCTGCGCTCCAAACGTTCTGGATGCATCATTCGCATGCCCAAACAATATGACGACTTTGTTCCTGGCTTAGAGGTACCTGATGGCTTAGAGGTAGCTCGGGCCAATGACCAGATCATTTCCAAAGACTCTGTCGGTGATGAACCAATCCCTTTTCAGACAGAACCAGATGCAATGGGATTGTACTGAGTGTATCCTGCTCATCCTACTCTGTTTCCGCGGACCGGCACTACCCTTGATACTGTATGGGATGCGCCAATGTTGCAGACTGGTGAATATCCAAGGGACAACTCTTCTCAACTACTCACCGGTCCCCCCCTCCTGTTGTCTGTCACTCCTGAGAACCTATACTCTGCATTTAGTAGTCCAACTGCTGGTCTACTTCTGTGCTGGCAATATTCCAACCCCAACTCAATTTCCGATGCTGCTTTGCAGCGACTCACTACTTTCCTCAATGACAACGCTTACGACCAAAATGACATACGCCATTTCAACGTCACTCAGGAGAAAAAGCTTGTTGCAAGGTACCTTGAGGATGAATCCAATCCCTTCGGTGCCAGTAATGGGTGGAAGGAGTCGTCTGTCTATATTTGCCTTCTGAAAGAAAAAAATGAAATGGCCATCCAAAGATGACGCCCCCAAGCTCAAAATTCCAGGTGTGCACCATCGGTCTTTGCTCAATATCATAACAGAAGTTTTTGAAGACAGTGCAGCATCAATATTCCATATGATGCCATTTCGTCAGATGTGGAAAGTCTCAGACGAGCGAAGTATCGAGGTCTTTTCAGAGGTGTATTCTTCCCCTGCGATGCTGGAGGCCCACACTGAGATTAACTCCCTTCCCTGTGCAGCAGACGATGATCTCAAACGTGTTGTAGCATCATTCATGATGTATTCTGATTCGACTCACCTTTCCAACTTCAGGGACGCATCACTCTGGCCATTCTATCTATTTTTTGGTAATGAATCTAAATATACACGTGGAAAACCAACAGCTTCCACATGCCATCATGTTGCATACATTCCTTCAGTAAGTCTTTTTCGAATCCCTCGCATCTCTTGCACCTCTCACACCTTATTGACAGAACATTTAAATTCTGGATGATTTTCAAGATTCGTACATTCAGGCCTTTGGGGATGCATCTTCGGCGGAAGTGCACACGCACTGCAAGCGGGAGCTTATGCAAGCAATCTGGAAGCTCCTTCTTGATGGTGACTTTATGCAGGTTTATGAGCATGGGATCGTGATCCGTTGTGGAGATGGAATCACTCGCAGGGTCTTTCCACATTTTTTCACCTACTCGGCTGATTATCCAGAGAAGTAAGTTTTTTTAGTCACGTGCTTCTTAGATTGACGTCTTTTCAGGATCTTGCTTGCTGGTATCAAGTTTCTTGGCCAATGTCTATGCCCACGCTGCCTTATCAAGAAGGCCGATGTGTCTGAGATGGGTACAGAACGCGATATGCATGATCACATGTCACTCCAACGTGTTGATGACAAGGCTCACCATACCAAGATTGAAAAGGCACGCAAACTTATTTTCAAACGTGGTGCACCAGTGGATGGTGAGCGAGTCAAATCTATCCTTAATTCCAAGTCCCTTGTCCCTACACGTGTGAGTACTTCATATTATATTCAAATTGTTGCTAATGGGATACAGAACACCTTTTCAGATTGTTTTTTTGCCTTCAGATTCAATCTCTTTCTAATGCTTGTGGTGGACATGCTGCACAAATTCGAGCTTGGTGTGTGGAAGGCTATCTTCACTCATTTGTTGCGCATCATGCACGCTGCTGGGGGTGTCGCAATACAAGAGTTGAACTGGATGTATGTCATTCAATAGTGTCATTCAATAGCATGCTTTTCGTATTACTGACTACATATCTACTACAGGTATTGTCATGTTCCAACGTTTGGGAGGGATAAGATCTGTCGTTTCCACAAGAACGCTTCTGCAATGAAGCGCCTCACAGCTTGAGATTTTGAAGATTTGTTGCAGGTGGGTTTTAATTCATTTCAAATATGATTTCATACCTGATTTTAATTTCAGTGTGCGATACCAGTCTTTGAAGGGTTGCTCCTGGACGACCATCATGACAACATCATCCTGGACCTTCTGTTCGACCTCGCTACTTGGCAAGCTTATGTGAAGCTCTGTCTCCACACCGAAGACACTCTGAACTTTTTCGATGGAGCTACGGTCGTTCTTGGCAACAGTGTTTGAAAGTTCAAACAGACAACTTGCGAACACTACCACACAACAGAATTACCCCACGAACACGTGGCTCGAGGGCGTTGGCAAGCTGCACTGGCTGCAAAGCAAGGCATATTAGCTAAGGAGAAAGGAGGTACTTTGCATCACAAGGTAAAGAAATTAAATATACAGACTTATAAATTTCACGCACTTGGGGACTACCCGAATACAATTCAGATGAGGGGAACAACAGACAGCTATAGTACACAACCAGTGAGACTTTTTTTTATGCTCAACACTAATCTAATTGTGGTGCAGGGAGAACTACAGCACTGGCATCTCAAGCGATGTTACCCTCGCACTTTGAAAACAAAGGCAACTACAAATGCAAGCATCGCAAATCAAGATGCCATCGAACGACTTTGTACAAAGGTAATCAACACTCGGGCACAATTTTCCACCCAACAGGGTACCAATAGACCTCATCGTGTTCGGACCTCAGCTTCCAACCATTACCACATCACGAAGTCTGCACATTCAACTTATGACCTCACAGCATGGTTGGGTGAGCTTGGGGATGATCCAGCTGTCAAGGTACGTGCTTCTCATTTGTATTAAAAGTTGTATCTCATGATATGAAATAGAACTTTATTCCTCGTCTCAAAGACCACTTATATGCACGTCTTCGAGGGCTTGTATATGAAGGTGACGAGCACAGCTTTACCAATGCAGAGCGAAACTCGGTTCTCATTGCAGACAACAAGCTCTGCGAACACAGCATCCTTCATATCAACTACACTACCTACAATCTTCGATGCGAGCAAGACTCAATCAATCCCCGCACCTGTGCTGATCTCATGGTCATGTCACATGAGGACGATCGCACCCATCCCTACTGGTATGCCCATCTCATCAAAATTTTCCACGTGAATGTAGAATACTACGAAACCCTGGGTGCAATACGGTCCCATCCAAAGTGTATGGATTTCCTCTTGGTTCGATGGTTCAAGCACGACAATATTCCCTCCAGGTTCAGTGTGAAGAGGCTCCAATGCCTTGAATTCTTCAAGGATGAAAGCCCTGATGCATTTGGATTTCTTGATCTGGAGTGTGTCATTAGAGGTGTGCATATAATCCCGGGATTCGCTTATGGCCATTCCAAAAAACTTCTTGATCCAACAATTGCACGACATGAGGAAGACCCAGATTGGTATTGTTATTATGTGAATATGTAGGCATATTTTTCATCTCACTGTCTACCAACTACTAATGATGTATATACTGTTTACTAGGTTCATGGACAGAGACATGTTCATGCGATTTCGAGGTGGTGCTGTTGGTCACAAGGGCATGTGAGAGTGGGACGATGTTTTGCAGCGCAAGGGACACATTGCCGAAGGCTTGGATAGTGAAGCCGACAAAGATATTGAAATGGAGGATGAAGACAGTAGTGACGAGGAACTGGATGAGGGGGATGTTGAAGAGGGTGACGAGAGTGACGAGGGTGATGAGAATGAGGATGAGGATGAGGTTGATGATAATGGTGATGACGAGGACGAGGACAATGATGAGGACAACGATGAGGATGAGGACAATGATGAGGACAGGATAATAGCTGAGTACGGTGAGGTGCTTGATGACAACATACTCATTGAAGAAGGCTATGGCGCTCTTTAGGCACTTTTAATTATGATCACAAGTAGCAATGAATGTACTGCATATATGCTACTACAATACATCTTATTATCTAGCAGATGTCTGACAGGTACACTACATATAGGGTGGTATCTATCCGACAGTGAGTCTGACGGATGGATGTTGTGCTGACACACCAACATCACTGGTGTATCTTACAATAGCTGATGCGTATCGCACACGTATTAAAATTTGCCACATATCACGTGGTGTCTGATTTCAGTAATTTTGGTGATGGCCTATTTGGGCCCGGCTTGGGCTGGCACAGGGCTTGAAGCCGAGCCATGCACATCACTAATCACCACAGAACAGACTGAATGATATGGTGAAAGCGGTCTGATACCTGAAGAGGAAAACTTGTCAATAAATGTGATCAGTGGTGAAAATGAGACCTACATTGTCACATGCTATGAGGGTCGCTTCGTCCAGTACATTGAATATTGCGACAAGAATGTCATCAGGGGGGTCTTGCAAGATCGACCTAGTCCTCGTGACCGAGCCTGCCACAGCCTCACAGATTGTAGATAGTCAGGTACAACGAGATAACACGGAGGCGAAGACAGACAGCCCGCAGACAGATGGTTGAGGTAAGACTAGGGAAGATGACAAACCAACAGAACACGAGGCAATCGGTTGAAAGCACTTGCTTATCGAGGATGATCGCATGGACATAGAACTGTCTATTACTAGAACTTCATCCACATCAGTCTGGCTTAGAATCTTGTTTAGATCCTTTCTTCGCCAGGTACAAGTACATAGATCTTCACCAAATCCAAAGATGATGTTGTACGGTATTCTAGGAAAAGTTGAACAGCCTGAAATTTTCAACGTGGCAGGCAGTAATCCTATCTGCTACATCACAGCAAGTGAGCAAAATGTCCTCCACGTAAGAGAGATGTCACGAAGCTGAGAAATGCAGAACAAGTATGAGCAACAGCAACAACGCACAGTAGTAATCACCCCGCCCCGGTGATGAAATACCAATATCCCACCACAGGCCTTACACTATCCCGCATCCCATTCCTAAAGAGCTCTGACTTATCATTCGAGCAGATCTGCGCACCAACCGCGCCCACAACGATCACCGTATCGAACAACTCTCCATTATCATCCAGCTTCACATCGAGATGCACGCACCCACATTTTACGCACTCATCATCGATCGTTGGGTACGGGATCCCATCGAGCACCAAGAATGGGCGCCACGTCCAGTGCACGGTATAAACCGCGGCAAACTGAGCTGCACTCAACGTCCTTGGATCTGCGGGACGAAGCAGCTTCTTTGGCGCGTCTTCCCGCATGCATTCAGCATTTAGCGGGGGACCCTGCCATACGCCTTGCTCGTTGAACACGCAGAATGCGGTGATCCAGCCTGAGAGGTAGGTTAGCCCACTTCCGCCTCCTTCGTAGTGCGCGACTTTGGACCAGAAGTCAAGGTTTTCTGGGCCCGAGGGTGCGTTGAATGCTGCTACAAATTGCGAGACGATAGGGTGGAGGAGGTGATACCACACTATTTATTCAATGCCGTATAGTTTCAGCCGCTCTAGTCGCTCAAGGATGGCCTCCCAGTCATGTCTCTCCCCGAGGAGCATCACAAGCGGTATCCCACAATGCAGTCTAAAGTTGTAGCGGAAACACTCATTCATCGTTGCCATCAAAGACATCGCATACACCGCCCAATCTACGTCCGTTGTTGTTGAAAATTGAGGCATAATCCAGTCCCTCAGCATTGGATCCACTAAGCGCGTGTGCATAAGCTCCAACATCTGGCATGCCATGAGTGCAAAATCTGCCGTGTGATGATTTCCATCGTCAATGATGATAAGCTCCTCCTTTCCCTCATGCGCTATGAACTGTGAACGGAGTTGCTCGGCGTTTGCGCCCACGAAGAAGTTGAATTGGGTGAGGATCGCGGTCCAGACATCGTCTGGGCAAAGAATGAGCCCTCGATGGTTGTTGTACGCCTCGAGCACGGTATGTACGAAACCATTGGGCTTTGGCATGATGTCCCGCACTGCAATGTGCTCGATGGGAAGGGATGTGTGGAGGAGGTGGAGACAATACGTGAATTGCTCAGGGGAGGTCTTTTCGAGAATGGTGAGGTAGGGGTTTTAGTGGAGAGGGATCTGGAGACAGTAGTCTTCCGTGAAATACTCGGCGGGATGCGGGGCAGGGCGGAATGCAATCACGCCAGGAGGAAGTTGTTGAGACTGGGAACAGGTCTGGCACTCGGTATGATTCAGCATTGGAAATGAGATGAACATACCATGGAGAGCGGGGACAGAAACTCAAATGAAGCCACAGTACTGGGATTGGATGATATCGGGGAGAACTCTGGAGACATGGGGGATGAATATGACCTGATTGAGCCTGTAAGACTTTCTGTAGGAGCGGTGGCTGTAAAAATGGCGGATACAGCTTCCTCCTTGAACTTGCTGCCTACGGGGAGAGGCAAGGCTAGGCTAATCGGAGAAAGTGGTGGTGATTTTGGAAGGGGTGTTGGAGGTCGGTCGGTGTCCCTTGATTTCGAGAAGACACGTCCGAACGATAATTTGCAAACCATAAGCCTGGAAAAGCTTGGGTGTATATGCTAACAAAGTCAAGTTGAGAAAGCCCAGGAATGGGCGTCGAGGAAGGGCATCGAATCTTGATCATCTTGATCTTAAAAAGTAAGGGAGAAGGGAGGGGGGGAATGTGGGAGGATTTGGGCATTTTCGCGTAGCGCACATGGTTTCGGCTGCGTCGGTTGCGTCGGTAAGGTCGCTGAAAAGAGGATCCCATGTGATTCTGTCAAGCGGAGTTTGAATTTGAAAAAACCGTTGTCCCTTACTATACGAGCTCACTGTCCAAACGTGGGAATTTGTAAAAATTGAGCCACAATGGGATTGGCAAGTGCTCACTGGCCCTCCATTTTGCACAACAACAATGAATTTTATATGTACTGCAACTGTGAATACATAATAAATAGTAAAAATTGAAGGACAACAAGGGATTTTGGGATTTTTGTGGGGAAAAGAGAAAAGAGAACACCAAGCAAGTAGAAAAATGTGAAAAATGCAAAATGCAAAAATGTGAAAATGCAAAATTGCGAAAATATAAAGATGGGAAAATTTGGCAATGGGTAAACAGAGGAATGGGAAGATGGAGAATGGAGAAATGGGGTGAATAGGAAGATGGGAGGATGGGAGGACAAGAGGAGGACAAGAGGACACAATGGGAGGATGAGAGGGCTACAGGAGGACAAGAGGATGGGAGGACAAGAGGAGGACAGGACAATGGGACATGGGACAATGGGACACGGGAGAACAGGACAACAGGACACAGGAGATGGGACATGGGAGAACAGGACACGGGACATGGGACACAGGACAATGGGACACGGGAGAACAGGACAACGGGACATGGGACACAGGACAATGGGACACGGGAGAACAGGACAATGGGATATGGGACACGGGACAATGGGACACGGGACAACAAGACACGGGACATGGGACAATGGGACAACAGGACACAGGACAACAAGACATGGGACAATGGGACATGGGACAAGATAATTGGGAGGAAGTGTATGAGTCAATAGCATGACACAAACAGTTTGTGCAACATCCCATAACTAAAACAAAACTATATAATGTAAGAAATTATTGATTTGTTATAATTAAATAATATGTAGACACAGTGAGACAAGGCACCAAAGGTGCCTCCAGCAGAGCACAAAGTGCTCTGCTTGCTTCCTGTGCCGAAGGCACAACGGGCTTGGGCTAGTCATAGTATTATGGGAGACCGGTTTTGTGGCTGTGTGTGGGAGACGCATATTTCGCTAAGGCCACATGGGAACGCTTAGCTCGCTTAAACCTTGATTTAGAAATTTCGCGTGGTTCTGTCAATCGGAGTTTCAATTTCAAAAAACCGTTCTCCCTTACTATACGACCTCACTGTCCAAAATTGGTTATATGTAAAAATTGAGCCACAACAAGGGGAGGAACACCAAGCAAATAGAAAAATGTGAAAACAACAATGATGTATATATGTACTGTAATTCTGTATACATAAAAATGCGAAAATATAAAGATAGGAAAAATGGGCAATGGGTAAACATGGGAATGGGAAGGTGGAGAATGGAGAAATGGGGTGAATGGGGAGATGGGACACGGGAGATGGGAGACAGGAGACAGGAGGGAGATAGGAAATGAGAAATGAGAAATGGGAAAGCAGAAAATAGGACAGAGACACGGGAGAATTTTTTGGGAAGGGCAAGAGTCAACAGCAAGACACAAACAGTGAGACTGAAGTTTACCTGGGACACTGGCTTGCATCCCGCTGGCTGAGGTACGAGGCCACAGGATTGCAAGCCAGTGTCCCAGGTAAACTTCAGTCTCACTGTTTGTGTCTTGCTGTTGACTCTTGCCCTTCCCAAAAAATTCTCCCGTGTCCTCTGTCCTCAGAACTAAAATAAAAGTATATAGTATTTTGTAAATGTAATATGTAGACATGTGCCGAAGGCACAACGGGTGTGGGCTAGTTATGAATCAAAAGGCACTAGACACATGTTGCGACAAAAATGGATGTGGACCACGGGATAGAAAAATTTGCTTTGTGGATATCCAGCTTGTTCGGCTGATGCGGTGAAAGTGTCAAAGGAAGTAAATTTGCGCTGACCTACATAGATCCAGCCATGTCGCACTTGGGAAAATCATAGTGACCGCCGCAACTCCACGCGGTAAACTTTATAAACTCATCTCGGATTTGATCAGGAGGTTCTAAGTAGTACTCTATGGCGAAATGGCGAACCAGGCCTCAAGACCTCAAGCAGAGTGAAACACCAAAACAAAGGTGACGGACCATCCTCGGTGAGTCAAATGTATATGCTATCTAGACTCGAAGTGTTTGATGCATAGGTTAGGGTTCCAGCCTACCGCCAAACCGCCTGGCAATCCTACCATCCTCTATCAACCAGGAACTTCCTGCCAGAGGCTGGTGGGATCAGCAAATGCGACAGAACTTTGGAGACTGATCTATGTCACTATTCTCTCAAAGTCACTGTATGATAGCTTTGTGAAAAACAAAACAGACTGGTATTAACTTTTGTACAACAAATTATGAATCAATCTGCGTGAATCATAGAATGTCCATTGCCGACTCTTCACCAGTAGAAATACGGCGGCGCTTTGCAGCCATCTCCCGATCATCTTCCTGAGTATGAAATAGATATTTCAGCATATCCAAGTCATGCTCCGCCATAATCTTCTCCCCATCCGACGCACCATCAGGACGTCGAATATCCTTCCGATTAACATACATAGGATAACGAGCCTTTTCGGTCAGTCCAGCCCAATTGAAATCGAGCAGCATGAAGTCTTTATTGTTGTCCCTCACAGCGAAATTCATATCCCGAAGGTCGCCATGAACGTAGCCGACAGCGTGTAACTTCTTGATAAGAGACGTGATGGCCTCCTTCAGCGGCTGGCGGTCCGAAACAGCCATCGCACTCAGCAATCGATATGAGCCAGGCCGTTGCGCGGAGCGACCATCATCAATATCAAGCACATCCATAACCACCATATTCCAGCCACCGGCTAAAGTGTTGTAGGCGATAAGGTTCGGAGCGTGCCCCTTTCCCGCACAGAAGTCGTGGGCCTCACGGGAATAGTGCCTGACAAACTTGATACATATCTTTCTCCCACTCCTAGCCGCATCGCCGACCGTTTTCCCGAAGAAGATAAGTCGATCCCTGAGGCTCTGAGTTTCATCATACGAGAATTGCTGAATGTGATCTCCTGAATGGGTATAATGCCGAGGATAGGGAAATCCTAGAGATGCATCCTTGTCTTCGAGGAGGGGAATTGGTTGGGAGTACAGCTTTCCGAGTTTCTCGGTGGCGATTTTCAGAGCTCCGAAAGTACGAGCCGCCATCACTTGCATAGGGAGGTCTGTTATATGACAAAACGGAGGAATGATGGGGGCCAGGACATCACATTGGACCTTTTCGATGAAAACAGAGCCAGCAAAGCCAATGCAGGCGCCTAGTTGTGGTCAATAAAGCACTTTAGCAATGAATTTGATCAAATGAACTAACCGAACACAATGATATGGATGCATGGAATCACAGACCGGAGCCTCACTATCTCAATCTGCGAGTTTTCCAAAAACTTCCGGTAGTGCAACATTGCCTCTGCGAATGGTTCGGCACCGCCGCTTCCGATCTCGTTCTTCCCCTCTATTATCACCTGCACAAACTGTCTGTTGGGGGACAAAAGATGTCCGTCTGTCATATATTTTGTGGGGCCAATCATAGAAGCCTCGAGTGGAATACCGTAGTTGCAGAGCAGTTGCCTGAATACATTCATCCGTGTGAGCTCATCGGGATAGAAGGAGGACATATTTTCCGAAAGTTGCAAAACAAAGTCGTTATCGTAGGCAGTTGGTTGATAATTTTGACAATCATCCACGAATTCGGTGAAGATACGTTCAAGAAGAGTAACTGGAAGAGAGTCCGTGGCTCTGCGAGGACGATTGCAAAGGTACTCTTCCTTCTCCTGTGTTGCAGAGAATGCGGCCAATTTTGCACCAGCTGACGGAGGACCTGTGCTCTTCTGGAGATAAGTCGATCGTTGACCAACAACTGGAATCTGTGGCACCACAGAAACTAGGAACCAGACGCGATGGTGATCAGTGTTCAAGGAATGGGTGGCAAAATGACAAACAACTCACCGGTATGCGGCGATTGGACAACAATATGCAGGTGATATTCGTCGGGTTGATGTTTAAAAACGTCGAGCAATTTAGTCACAGGTGATAAGAATTGCTCTGGTGTAAGATTGTCAAGACAGTCTTTGAGCGTCTCGTCGACAGGCAGGTTGACCTTCCAAAGTATCAGATCATCAGCATCCAATCGTAGGCATCAGATGACTCACCTGCTGTAGCTGGAGTCTATGAGCGGCAATATCATCAAATTCTGGCTTCTTCTTTTCCTTGATCAAGTTTTTAAGGTCCCCGACGGTCTGCGTGTCTCAAATGTCGACCGAGAAGATATGGTCTTGATTTTCGCCCAACACAAGGCACCGAAGTTTGTAGTTGGACTCCATCTGATATTGGGAACAAGAGTAATCGACGAGATTGCATTAAATTCTGGGAGTGGAGGGCGGGCGAAAATATGCGAGCGAGCGAGATAATTGTGGAAACGAGCGAGCGGGCTGTATGATGCAGTGATGAAGAAAATAGGGACGTTCAAAGTTGGGCGCCCACGCCCACCGCCTACGCCCACGACCCCTTCGCCCACGGCGTCGTCACCTAAAACGTAGTTTGCATAATTAGATAATACAAAAGTAATTGTAAAAAATTATTGTTTGTTACCTTCTACTCACCATCAATCAGATCTGCGCATATGGCGAAGAAGAAGGATAACGGCGTCACAATCCTGGAGATTGTCTGGACCAATGACTTGGTCTGGCAGCTATTGGCGCAGATTGAACTTTCGGAGAACAGAGTCGTGGTTCTAGGCAAACGGAAGAAGGGCAAGGTCAGTGAGTCAAAGTTGTCATATGTGATACAAGATATGATGTTTCTGTGCCAGAACACGTCAGGAGATAGCAAAGTGACGGTATATCAGCACATGGCGGCTGCCGTTTTCCCGCAATTGCACAGCCAGAATGCTGTTGCAATGGGGGACCGAGTCAAACAAAAGTACAAGTAGTGAGTGTTGCGCTTTTTTCACTATTTTCCAGCTTACAATTCTGCTCAGCTTAATGAAAAAATACAAGGTGCATGCTCGATGTCTCTGAACAACTGGTGAAGGGATCCAATCTGACGTGAACGGCAATGTCTCCGACAATGAATTTTTCGAATGCTATGTCCCCGCTGATGGACCCGACGCAACCACAACTCCGAAAGCACAGTGTATTTGGGGTATGTTACTATGTCCAGTACTGAGGCACCATTGCCGTATCTACCCATTCAATAGAGAGTGACAGCAAGCTGAGTCTGAACAGGTGCCTGTGCATTGTTGGAATTATTGGAAAAAACCGGATGACCTTCAATCAGATCGAGCAGGAGTTGAAATGTCATTGGAGAAACATGGAGCATGTGAATAAAGCGATTATGATCAGATGGTGATTTTGTGTATTCCCAAGCAAGGTGCAGGGTGCTGGCTTTTGCAACAGGGGAGCACTCTTGAAGACAACAAGTTTGTTGAATAGCAAGAATGCAAGATAAGTCGCAATGCTGCTGTGCTGCTGCCTCTTCGAGGGTCATATCTGGCTGACACAAAGTGCGAAGAACCATAAGCAAGAGATATGAGTGAAGGTATTGCTCGTGTGATGTTTGGAGATGTGCCATTGAGTGTAATGTGGTTTCGGTAGTGTTAAGTTATCATTGATTATATAATACATTCGTTCAAGTACAAAATGGGTAGTGGTATATGGGCGAGGGGGGTCGTGGGCGTAGGCGGTGGGTGTGGGCGCCCAACTTTGAACGTCCCTAATGAGAGGAAGAGGAAATGCTTGACGCTCAGCTGGACGTGTGGTGCCGGTTCCTTCCGGGGCATTCAGGAACCGGCATCTATCACATGGAATTAGGGTATGGCATCTGGTTGACAGGCAAATTAGGATGCTAATTTGCATTAATTTGTAGGTGAATTTAGGCAAATGCACGGGTTGGGGTAACCCGCGTGGGTTCAGGGTACGGGTACAGGTCTAGTGTTGGTGTACCCATACCCCTACCCGTACCCTTGGCACAGGTTTCGATGAAAATAGGTGCCGTGAGAAATAAAATAATGTTGTACACAGCCAGACAAAGTATCTACAAAGTACACTAGAGTTTCCATGCTCATCTCTGTTGGTCTGCACTTGGTGTGCCTGTTCACTTGTCTTCATTTGTCTCACCTGCTGACACTCATTTGCTGGTGTATAGGTGCACATTCGATGATCTATGTTGTTTCTTTGTTCTTGTCATTTGTCATCAGTGAACTGGTGGGAACATGAGAAGGACATATATTACAATATATAAGGGTCATTCAGAGTACATCAGCAAAAATGCGGTCTACAACATAGCACTACAGAGGCTACAGAGTATACATAGCTTGGTTGCAACCCCCCCCCCCCCCCCCCTCAACATAGTGCTATATATCACAGGCTATCTTACTTTTTGCACGATATTGCACCCTGTACCTTGCACTTTGACTATGTAGTCCTGCTATGTTGTCCTACATAGTCTACCATACCATGCAGCCAAAATCATAGTGACAGTATTTTGCTGCACTCAAATCATAGAAACAAAGACATCCATTCACTAGCTCAACTTAATCAAGTAAGCAGTTACTATTCTACTCGTGCTCGACTTCGTTATCTTCAGATTCACCATAAAACTCATCTGCATCATGACTCTCATTCCCGCCATCACCCGCCTGCATGTATTCCCAAATTGTGTTGGTTATCTCACCGTCAGACAGGAAGTCTCCATGTGCAACATCTGTCATATCCACTCTGGCGTGTGTCTGTAGTATGTAAGACATGGGGAGACTCGGACAAAATTATCGAAAGAGACTCACCTGCCATTGTCATTAATGTCATTGAGGATAGCATCAAGGATCCCATGGTCTTTAATCCATGTGTGGAACTTCCTAAGATTGGTGAGGTGTTTATCATATACATGTTTATACTCGCCACTCAAAAAGTTGATGTCAGTTTACTCTCCATCGGTCCATTCATCAACACAACATTCTGCCTGCAGTAGATGATGTCACACGTGCACCAAACAGTGAACATGCATGACTCACTGCAGTATATAACAAGGCTAGGGCGGGAATGGGAAACAGTGAGAAATACTTCTCAAACACGATGCCTTTGTCCCTCTTGTTCTGGTACCAGAGTAAATTGGCACCCTTTTCATTCAACCTCGTCCAATAGAGGCCACTGTGAGGGATGTTCTTCTTTTTGTGTCCGATGTCCTTTGAATCAAATGTAAGTGTGCGACAGAGTCCCATATATTGTTCACTCACCTCATAACACAATCCGAACTTGTCCTGCAGCTCACGTACAAGTCAGCGATTCTTAGACTTCACAGATTCTCTCGTGCTGCAGTCAAACCCAGCCTGCTTCTGGATGTCTCTCAACTACAAGTATGGGGTCTCCACAGTCATTGCACATGGCTCGATGGGGCAGGCCTGCAGAAGTGTGGGATGGCAATCCAGCCTTGTGTCGCAAATCTTCGATTTCACCTAACTCAGCTTCATCCACATCACCGCCATCCTGATTTCCAAGATGATCATCATACCGGTCGCTCAGCTCACGATAATCTCTCATTTCGACATCGTTCTGGGGATTGCACATGGTTTGCACCCACTTGCAATTTGGGGCCAGTGCGATATGTGCATTAAGATGGGAGTGAGTCTTGAAGGTTCTCTTGCAGGAAGGGCAGTGGATGGTGGTAGTAGACATGCTGACGCTAATTGCTGGAATAGCTGGAGAGATGAATTTGAACGATGTATGGGACACTTTGTCATCGGCGGAATTGACTGAAAGCCAAGGAATGTCGTCGTTCCAAGGTTCTCGACAAGAAACCACAAAGATTCTGGGAACGTCATTGTTTCAAGAGTCTGTTTAGATGACAGAAGGATTGAAGGAAGAGGAGCAAGTGTGGAGAAGGATGCCTACTGGATTGGGGATTGCCCCGTCACCTAAACATCACGTGACAGGAAAGAGTCATTTTGCTGATGCAAAGGAAACAACATGAGGGTAGTTTTCTTGTGGGGACTGCGAGTGAACGGTCAAGAAACAAGAGGGAGGTGTGAAAAGTCGATGCTAGAAGGTGCATCAGATTCGAGGTGATGTCTGTAGAGTATCCAAGGAACACCTGGCATTCTGGAGGTTTCAGCGAAAGGGAAGCGTGCTGATGAGAAGGCCTTCGACCTATCATAAGTGATCTAGCAGCAACTTTCGCAACCGAAGCCATCCTTAGACTGCTTCAAACTGGTATGGTCCTGTCCATACGATAGAAAGTCAGAAGGGACTACACACGAGATCCGCAATATATTAGTACTAACACCTCTGTGACGGCCGTAAAGTGCAGATTGAGTTCGTGCTTGAAGACTCAGAATGCCTAGAGCCCAGACGGCTGTTTGAAGACAATAGAGGACCTTGTGTGGAAAGCCAGGCCTTTCGCACAAGGTCGGGAGACTGAGTCGAATATGAATGTGATTATGATATAGGTGATGCGAGAAGCCAAAGAGCAAGCCAAGAGAGAAGCTACTTGGTATGGTCCTGTCCGTGCGATAGAAAGTCAGAAGGGACTACATGCAAGATTCGCAATATATTAGTACTAACACCTCTGTGACGGCCATGGAGTGCAGATTGAGTTCGTGCTCGAAGACTCAGAATGCCTAGAGCCCAGATGGCTGTTCGAAGACGATAGAGGACCTCATGCGGAAAGCCAGGCCTCTCACACAAGGTTGGGAGACTGAGTCGAATATGAATGTGATTATGATACAGGTGATGCGAGAAGCCAAAGAGCAAGCTGAGAGAGAAGCTACTTAAGAATCCGGGAATGTCGTTGTTCCAAGAATCCAAGTCAGTTGCAGAGGAGTTGGTTTAGAATCCACATTGGTTGGAACCCCAGGTTAACATCGATGTTCCATGTCCGAGGAGGTTCGAGGAGTGAAATTGAAAGAGAAATCAAGAGAGAAGCTACTTGGGTATCCGGGAACGTTGTTGTTCCAAGAATCCAACAGAGTCATGGATGAGATCTTGAAAAGCTGGTTTAGAATCTGGGAATGTCGTCATCCCAAGATTAATCCAAGCAAGTGAAAAGCAAGCAGTGGACAAGAGATCCACAAGAGATATCCAAATGGTAGCAACAATGGATAAATATGACATTATATAATCAAGCAAATCACAACTTGTTTAGATTATTTGTTATGTAGTATGACTAATACAAGCTCTAATAAAATATGTTTTAACTTCTACTGAAATTCGGGTGTGGTGAGGGGCAAATTGTAGGCTAAAAATTTGAGATTTTCATGTGCGCAGGCAAATACAGACGTAGTAATGCCTGGCTTCACTCATGCTGTGGAGACTCATATGACTAGAAAGAACTAAAAGACTTTAACTATGGCCTGCCACCCTGAGATGTGATCACTTGGAGAGACACTTTGGTATTATGGTCGATGATGCACATCTTGCAATCGACTTGTTGTTTGCCATTTCCTGTCTTGTATCTTGGGATACCATCACTGAGAATATTTTGGATGAAATACAAGATGCAATATCGATTTTATTTTCTAGCGTACAGAAACAAATGATAATATGCAAGAGTAATAGTAAGTACAATGATGTATGTAGTAGGTGCTGGCCTAAATCATGACCGTCATAAAGTTTCCCCCCCCCTCTCAGGTAATTCGTATTCTACTGATTATAGGTCCCAAGTTGGGGTGCGAACATTATCGTATCCTAATTTTTGAACAACTCTTGCACGTCCGACTTTGCTGGTTGAAAGGAAGTTTTCCAAGTTCTCTGGGATTTGGGTGCTTGAAGGTTCCCGGATGACAAGTTCGCCAGATGTAACTGGAACCACGCTTCATCAGCATCTGACCAAAACCCTTTCCACTTCTTGGAAGAATCCCAAAGGTCGTTGGGAGGCCAGCAACTCTCCGAGCCTGAATGACTATGACCCAGCAAAGTGTTTATTTCCTCGGGGGTTATGAAGTCTTCCCAAAGATTGCCGACCGATTTGCCACTTCCCCATAGCGTGACGGCTGAGGAGGGACCCGCCAACGCTTCTTGGACTAGTGTATTAGGGCCAAATTGCAAGGCCATGCACCACAGGATCCCTCCAAGCATGAGGAAATGGCGAGCAAATGGGTGATGGAGAAGTTCCCTAACCTGGGATGTGTATATGTTCCAGTATCCTGGATTTGTTAGATCAAATCCTTGAAACACGTTCCTCCTCAATAGATACGATGGTGTGACTGCCAGCTGTTGGGGCGCCGTGTTGGGTAACAGTGCAAAGACTCGGAACGGTGCCCCAGATCTTAGCAGAGTTTGTAAAGAGTCTGCTGGAAACGTGTTTGGGTTGAGAAGCTGATCGTAGATGACCCGGATGGCAGATCAGAACATTGTAGTCAAACACCCCAAACGCAGCACTGGAGCCGCAGGGAAGGTGATCCCCATTATGAACACTGGCCCATCGATCTGCAGCTCATCGGCCTGGTAAGATTCTGTGATAAGTGGTAGCTCCACTTCTGCTCGAACCGGGAGGATTTGAACTTGTGCCGGTGGGAGCTGTTGAGGTGGAGAGGGCTCAGGCACAAGGGGTGAGGCTGCAGGGAAAGTCATGATGACATCGTGAAGCCTCTGCATCAGGGTTGGGCGCAAGGACGTAGGGGGTGCCATCATCCGTGGTCTCTTATTCTCTCCAGCTCCAGATGGAGATGATACAAACGAGATCGTGCGCTTCTTCGAGCTGGAGGAATAATCATCAAGGAACACCAGGCATTTCTGATGATGTGGGGGTGGGAGGCATGAAGATGATGGTGCCAGCAGTGGAACTGTAACTGCAAGTGACGGTGATGGGGAGCGGGGTGAAACAGGAGTATAATCAGGTGCCTGAGGAGCTACATGAGAGCCAAATGAAAAGGGGACATTGTCTTCTTCTCCTAGGGAGACAGCGGATTCAGCCCCAGAGGATCTTGACCGCGCGCGAATGACGATGTTAGGCACCATTGCGTGCAGAGTCACTGAACATTGGCTTCAACTGTGCTTCTCAGGAATCAATGATTCTGTGGCAGTCACAGCAATCGATCCTGCTACTGCAAGTGAACCCTTTGTGATGGGTGCAGGTTCACTGTGCTCCGAAGTGGAGGGCTCTGCGGTAGGTGTTGCTGCTGCAGGAGAATCCTTTTTGGCAGGCCCAAGTCCGCTCTGCACTGAAGAAGAGGACTCCCCTGTCGTCAGGGCTAGCGTTGCTGCTGATGGGGTGGAAACCATCTTCACGTGTTCATCAATTTCGATGTTCTCAACTGTGTGAGTGGAGGAACTCACTGTTGGTTGAGCCGCCAGCTCAAGTGTATGGGCAGCCATCTCCTTTGTGTTGATGACAGCAGAAATGGGCTTCACGGTGTAGGGAGTATCCCTACACTAGGCTCGTATCCACCACTTTTCCGATGCATCAGGCGTCCATCTGACGTCCATCCGACACCTATCCATTCCATCCAATACACATCCGCTTTTCGGATGACATGCGGATACCTTCGGATCTCCTCCTATAGCTTGCGCATCCGACGCATCTGTCCTGTCCACGTCCATTCTACCTCATTGGTACGTACTCACACGCATTTTCTTGTTACTGACTGAACACAGACATATCTTCTCACACTCCAGTATTTTTTGGATAGCTTATGGCACGGTCTAGACTCGCTACCTATATATCTATGTTCCTTGAAAATACTGTACCCTATAAGCATGGAGGGTTTTGAAAAATACTTACTTCATGTAACTTCCTCCCACTTTTCCTGCACCTTACCAGAAGGTCGCTTTGACTTATACCCACTATCCATCCAACCTTTAATGAACTTCCTTTGACTTTGATTCGCATCCTGTCCGATCCGCAAGTGCCATCCACTCCATCCGACGAATCCGTACATTTCGCATCCTATCCGTTTCATCCGCTTTTGTGGATCTTTCATCCTATAGGGTCGCTTTAGACAGAGACTAGTATTCCCCAGTAGCAATCCCCTTAAGGGTCGAACGCACTTGTTCCCAAGCGAGGCAGCAGGCAGCCAAGACCCAACTGTGTAGTAGATTGATTTCTCACCAGCTGCACTTGTTGTACCCACAACAGTTCATCAGTTTCAAGATTCTTAGATGTGGGGTCGAGAAACTTACATTCGGTTGAGCCGCTATCCCAAGCACATAGGCAGCCACTGAGTCTCCTTTGCGCTGATGACAGATCCCACAGGCACAATGTATTCCTCATCTGCTCCTTCATACTTGTAGGCAACGAATACATCTCTCGTCAGTAGCCTCACATGTTCCACCATGCACCAATTCAACAGCTCCTTGTATGCATTTTTTGAGATTTCTTCCCATGTGTCGGTCTTGAACCTCCTGCTAGCTTTGAAGTACTTCGCCTTCTTTTGTGCAGGTGGAGGGACGGCTGGAGGATCCATAGAGTTGGCACTTTGCACCGCTGTAGACCGCTGCCATTCGACTTGAGTCCGCCTTATGTTCTGAATGAAGTCATAGTTGTTGGCCCTAAGTGCTCATGGGTCAAAAGGTCCAGCATCAGCAGGGAACCACTGGTAGTGTACGGGAACATCATGAGAGATGAGTTCATACAATTCCAAAATGAAAAAATCCATCCTCTTGAAATCCATGATGCATCCGACATGCCAACAGGAATCAAGGCCAGTGTTGGTCACCCTGAGTACATGCACCTGCAAGCCAGGGTGTGTGCGCCAACGCGGGTCTTGACGCAAGTTGTAGGCTATGAACCCATATTGGTCCAGTATGTGTCGGCGCGCGTCACCAACTTGTGCAGCTAACACCTCTTTGGATGGGAATGAGTTGTCTATCCAATCCAACCTCAACTCTGTGGGGATAATGTACTGAGGCTTGTAATCTGAAATGATTGCGCCAACGAGCATGTAAGCATTCGCTCGAGTTGCCAGAAGCTTAGTGCGCATCTCCAAAGATAAGTGCCAGCCTCCAGGCCCTGAAATCCCCCAATCACTCCCTAGAGGCCAGGCAGTAGTGATCCAACTGCTATCCGAGAACAGTTGAGTTTTTGGCAAGTCAGGAATGTATGGTCGGTATGACCTCGAGATGTCCCAGTGGTCTGGAGTGGTTGACCAGTCATGGTCTTGAAGGAATCTGTTGCTGAGCGTTTTGTCCGTTCTCTGGTCAGGTCGCGGAGGGGCTGGTCCTACCCTTGGGTGTATCGCATTAATGACTACCCAAACATACTCCTGACCATTGGTTTTCCTACTGGTCACTCTCCACCACGAAGATTGTTCGTCTACCAATCGCTGAAGTTGAGAATGTTGTCCTCTACGCGCATTGGACATCATGATAATGTCGGGGAGAACAAATCAACAAATTCATGACAAGTCACAGAAAGCCCAGGAACATTGTCGTTCCAAGGTTATTGACAAGGCTAACGTGGGGGGAGAATGAAGAAACAAATTCACAATGAGTGATTGAAAGCCCAGGAACATCGTCGTTCCAAGGTTATCAACAAGGCTAACATGAGGGGAGAATGAAGAAATGAATGGGCGATGAGTGACTGAAAGTATAGGAACATCATTGTTCCAAGAGTTTGTGTAGATGCAAAAGGTAAACTAAAGTGAGAGGGAAAGGCTTGCAGTCCATATATATCTGTCTCAGTGATTGCCAGTGAACAATAAGTAGTACAACATGATTTAGATCTAGATCCGGACTCCAGATATGATCCACTTTGCATCATGTGACTTATGACTGACCTGCGATTCAATGGCGTGCCAGTACTAGTATGGCTAAGGCTCCAACTGTTTCGGTCTATTTACTGTTTTAAACTGTATACCATTTATGTCTATTTACTACCGCTGATGTAGACAGTAAGTACGTGTATATAAACTGTTTACTCCCTCGTGACACGATGCTGAGATGATGACTATCTAATGAGTCCCCAACTTGGCAACAGAGATAATATGAGACACATTGGGCTTGCCGTCAAATCGCCAAGTTGACGAAGCAGACCTGAAATATTTGAAAATATGTGCACACACACAGATTTATCAGGCACCTGCTCCTACCACATTCTCGCAATGCAAACTTCACAAAGCATGTCTCAGGCAGATTTTGAGAGTGCTGACCTAGCAAAACTCGGTGTTCTCATTGATAACCTTCCCATGCTCTGTAATTCCTCACCTAGTTCTGTCCCTGAGGCAACAGACAGTGATTTAATTCACCGTGTCACCACCATCACTGGCGAAGATCCCTGGCATACTTTCAACTGTCGTTTTGACATCCTCTTCGGTGAGGATTGCCAGGATGATAAGGGCCATCTCTTTCACCTGAAGCGAAGCCCCTTAGGCATGGGTGCTGTCTGCACGTACCTCAACGGCCTCATAATCTGAAATAGACCTGAGATGAGGTGAGTTAATGTAAATGGTTGGTCAATGTGGCAGAGAAGTTTGGAAGTTAGATAGTAGCACTTCTATTGAATCTTGTGTGATTGGGGATCTGGTTGTTTTGCGGGTGTTGAGTTTATAAGTTGGAGAGGTTGTCCTAGATGAAGGTGAGGTGCTTGCACCAATGCTGATGCTCCTGCGTCCGCTGGGCATCTGGATGGGGTGAGTGTTGAGAGTATCCGGATAGCATGTGTGTATTGTGCTTGGATGTTGAAGATTCTGAGTGCACCTAGGCACTGTGGAGCGTCTTTAGCACTGTTGAGCATGACATTGGGTGTTGATTTTCTGCTTGTCAGTTTTGGAGCAGGTGTGCGAGGAATTGTCATTGATAAGACTGATGAGAGGTATCGGCCCACAGCCAGAAACCCTGACGCAAAGCTTGACAAACAGATCTGACGTTCAGGCTGATTAGGGTGCTCCTTGAGAAGTTCTTCGAAGCGGTCAAAATATTACAGCCATTTGCAATTGTAATGGTACTGGCACCTCAATGTAAAACAGATGATAACAGAATGACCAGTGTTGGACCAGTGTATTGGCTCCTTGGCTTGACAACATTGCCAGTCTCGTTGTAGAGCTTCTTGATTCTATAAAATGTCATGCAGGAGAAGCCAATACAGTCAAGGATCTCGCTGAGTCTAAGAATTCCTTGTTCATGCAGGCAAATAGCTGTGAGCTTCAAATTGGACAAGATCTTTCTGTTGCCCATGATATTGATGATTGTGGTATGCAAGTATTGTAAAATTTATGCTAAGTCTTTTTTTGGTCTATGTCATCTTTCATTTTACATTGAGGCGCCAGTACCATTACATATGCAAACAGCTGTAATACTATACTACCTTGACATGTGTCATTCAACGTGGCCAGCTGTCGAAATTTTTAGACAAAGTCACGCCATGCATTCAAACATTGATGACAGGACCACCAGTAAGTATTGCGAGGGGGGAGCAAAATCAATTATCTGCGATGTTGTACAAAAGCTATGGGAAGTATATCATCATTTGAATAGATGTGCAAAAGACGTAGGAATGATGTCATCAAACAAGCAAATTGTGAACAGGACAATGCATGAGCAAGAGAGAGAAATTGTTCATACCAACCCCTAAGCTGCCCTGGTCCTCTTCGTAGATCCAGACCCTCCAGTGGTCACTTCATCTGCTTCCACTTTGCGCTTGAGGATATTTTGATGACATTCAGCATAAAGTGTGTCCTGTTTGCCTTGTGCTGACAATAATCTCATCAGCAAGAAAATCCCAATTGTTCAGTGGTTTCGGAGGAGACCATGCATGAATAAGATCAAAGGCGGCATCCTCAACCTTGCTGGAAAACAAATGAATGTCGAATAGGTCAATTTGTCGATGATAATAAGAAAAATGTACTGTGGAAACCTGACTTTAATCAGGGAGACGACCCAGTCTCTAATCCTCTCCAAGGTACGCCGAAAAACGTGGTCAACGTCTTCAAGACCATCTGTCATATACTTGATCCGACCGCCCTAATATCAATATCTGCTCTGCTTTCTGACCCCCTCCACTCCATTCATTCTCTGCTCTGCCCAATCACAAGTCCGCATTCCGCCCTACGCTTCCGCTCAACCACTCAACCGGTCCCCTTCCATAATCTCTCCATTCAACTGGACCTCTTTCCCCTTTTAGACATATGCTTTCCCCTTTGGTACACAGACCCTTACTTCCGGATCACTGGTAATTCCTTTTACCGCTCGATCACTGATCCGACACATACATATTGATATCCGCCCCGACTTATATCTTTCCTATGTAAAGTACTTACAAATTATATCCTTGGTACATAGCTTTACAACACAGTTATCCTGGTCACTGCCTCATACATAGAAGTATATAACATATCATGTACTTAGATATTTTCCCCCAGTCTTAATATTACTTGTCTTCTCGCAGTTACCTCTTGTGAGAATTCTCAGTAGGACCTTGCCTCCTCTGGACACAAGTCTTGACTTGTTGTCACCTCCGACCCTCCGACCCTCCGACCCTCCGACTCTCCGCTCCGACTTAGAGCCGTGCTCTAAGTCTTCCTCTTATTACTCCGCCCCTATCAATATCCTCCTTTACCCCTTCTCCTATCCTCTGCATTATTCCCCACCATCTCCACTCCTACCAAAAGTTCCCCCTGTGTCTATCCACCATCCGCATCGCTCCCCGCCTTTCCGCTCTGCTCCTGGTCAGTCTGCCACTAGCAGCTCTTACTCCCCGACCCTCAAAGCGGACCCAAGTGGTCTACTCGTCCTACCGTCAGACAATGTCGGACCTGCTCCAAATTCAGGGCACGTACTTGGCTAAGGGCGCAGCGCAAGAGCTGAAGCCAAGCCCTGACCCCTCTGCCTCTTGAGCCGGCATGGTACCTAACACCATCACACTCAGGAAACAAGTCCTGTAATCGGTCAGAAGATGGACTGAAGGAGGGGATTAATCATACTGCTGTTGCGCAGAGATCAGGATCCTTCTCATCAATATTGAAGCTGCCGTCAGGGTGGCGAAGCCACATTGTGATCGTCATGGTAATGGGATGCTGCCAGACGTGATGAAACATTTTCATGACAGTAGGGTCCTCAGCATCGGTGGCTGTGTGCGACAGCCACTGCGAGAATGTTAAGACTGATGGGTGTTCTTCTAAGACCTCTACCGCCTCTGACCCTGACCGGGGCCCCTCATGCTTCTTTGACTCTTTCACATTGATTGATGAGATGGCGAGGAGATCCTTGCGATTCGCCATGAAGCTGCCGAGTCTCTTAATTGCTGATTTCTTCATCTGTGAGACGCTGATCTCAGTGGCCCACAGTGGGATACAATCACCATCCAGGTCCTTGTATTCCATCAACATATCCGGCACTCCAAGTTTGAGACCAATGGTGCTCAGAAGATGAACGTCAGTTTGGATGCGGATATGCCCAAAACGGTAGGGGATGCCTATCGACCCCATGGTGCCGAGCAGTGTGGCACTCATCGGGGTAAGGTACGCTTGATGAAGTCAGTTATGCAGGGTGGCAGTAAGGAGTTTCAGTTCATCAGTGTATACCAGTCTGATGGAGGTAAATAGATGAGCTCAAGATTAGACAGATATGGATATACGGGAGTACTTACTTGCGTATTACTTTATCTCTATCTTCATCTTCATCTTCATTGATGGCATCTAAAACATAAAGATAATTGTCTTTCGACACATTGAAGAATTCCTGTGGAGCTTGAGCCAAATGAAGTGCCAATGATCAGCATAATATAGGCAAGTAAAATGATTGATTCATGCAATGGAATGTATAGGAACCCTCTTGATACTCATCTTAACTTTCTGTGCTGTATTGATGGTCCAATAAGTTACATCTTGGCATTGTACGATATGAGGATCTCAATGACTGACTTCCTTTGCCTAGATATATCATGCAACATGTTATCATTGCTGAAGCCACGAGCTCGATGCATACTCCATCAGCAAAAGACCCATAATTTTCACTTACAACTTCAGTAACTAAACCAAAAGCAAACTGCTCAAAAGCACTTATGAGCAAAGTCACATTTGCTGATGTCTGGCTTAGGGGAGTGTCGATGATTTCAGTCAGTCTTCTGTCAATGATGTATTGCGGCTCTGGAGCAGGAGCTCAAAACTATGAGGGCAACCAGCACTATGGAGCAAGCTGTGAGTCCCAAACCTCCTTTTACTTGCATGATGAGCTCTTATTCAGTTTGGTTGTAATGCGCACAGACAATCCAACTCCAATGTACACAAAGGACAGGGCATTCACTGGCTCATTTCTTTGTTCGACAGCCTTGAGAACCTCGTGGCCAAAAAAAATTGACACATAAGAGTTACTGCAACCACTTGATTCCCAAGACGAGCTTATTGTGAATTGAGAGTGTGTTTGAACATTTCTCCTGGCCATATTTCTGCTTTACGAGTCACTGTGTGTTCTCAGCTGCGAAAAGGTGCAGACAGTGCACGAGGGGACAACACCACAAATCTCAAACATGCAGTAGTGTCATGGCTCACAGAACTTTTTCATCCATTGGACCCCCCCCCTTCATACCACAATCAAAGACGATCACAGGTTTGATCACAATACTACCAGCATGCTCTTGTGTCCAGTCGATTATGTGTGATCTCTTTCTTTGTACATGTGGAAGTTTTCACTTTTGTTGGGTTGAAACTAGTTATACTAATTGTGGTGTCTCATACAAGCGTAAGATTCTGTGGGTTTACAACATAGTTAGCTAGAGAGTACATTGAGATGCATCCGTAAATTTAAAAGACATTAATGGTTGTGCGCATCTGATTCTTCGTCATCGTCAAAAGTGCGAGCACATTTCTTCCCCTTTGCCTTGCTTCGCACCGCAGCTCAATCATCCTTCATCTTCCTCTTCATCTTCATGACTTGCCTGCAAAACACAGATGCAGCCCCCCTCGACATTCCAACATCACTAATGTAAAAATTGGAGTCGAAATTGACTGCGGCTGTTAGATATATGATGCCTTGACAGCACAGAGTGTTTGAATACTGATTGAAGTTCATTGCTGGAAAACAATGGTCGATAACATCGATCACGTTGTAAATGGTCAGCCATGGCTCATCATCAGACTCGCCATCCGTCTCCAGGCACATTGCGTGCGAGCGTTTGACACTAGACTGCACTGGATAGTTTTGACCGGCTGCCTCACTCCTGCCAGTGAAATGGATGTGATTGTGAGTGATTGGACTTGGCGGGGTGACTGGGTCAGTTGAAACATTGGAGAGGCTGCTTCTGCCATCTGTTTCTGCTCTAACCTTCTTTGAAATAGATTTCTAGAAAGAAATATCACATTAGAATGACTTTATCTCATAGCGGAACAACATACAAAGTTTAATATCTTGATGTTCACGACTTTTTTCTTCCTGCCTAAGTACCGCTTTGCTCTCACTGACTTAAATACATTTTTAAGGTCAAAAGAAGTCTTCAAACAAGCCGGTAAATCTGAACGACGGTCCGTCGACAGTCGCCAACCAAGTTCACTGGCCTGGGGCGAGATATCCATATAGGCATGGATGCGGTAAAACACATCATAGAAAGGGGTATTGTCTGCAAATCCAACATCAACATAAGCAGTTGCAACATCAGCATTGGTTGTATGCTGGGGAATGCGAAAATTATCTGGTTATGAAGATACATCGGTACACATTGAACAATTGAGGATGAAGCTTACATGTCAAACCCTGAGAGTTGGCATGTGCATCAGTGACGTCCTCAGCACAGAGCTCAGGGAGTTCTTGTCTGGCCCCTAGCAGATAAGTGGTAGTCTGTACCCGTCTGTGTCGTGCGGAGTTGGAGATGGCTTCATCGAGGCTTCGATTGGACAGTATTTCCTGGTCTAGAGAATTTGTAGGGGAGGGAGACTCAGACATCATGCAATGTTGTTGATCCTCCTTGAGCTGCCCCTCTTTTATATCATCGAGTCCTGTAGTGATGATGCACATTCAAGGTAAGATCAACTCCACTCCCACCAGAGGTCCAAAGAGTGGTGTAAGACTATTATGTATTGCCAAGTCATTTTGGAGTCATTACTAAACACACAGGGAAGGTCCCCACCCTACTCAATCAAACCTGAATCTCAGCACTGTGTTCCTCTGATGCAGGTGTGGAGTGATGCCGTACTTCTGATCTACCTGTTTGTAAAGAGTTAATCGGTCACCACTCGAACCGACAAGCGTGATGTAAGCTTTCAGTGGTGGATTGAGCTAGACTAGCAGATCCCCAGGAGGTTGATTGAAGACACGCCCTGACTCTGATGAAGGGAAGGAGACGGTAGGATCTTGTAGACAAGTAGATAGCGCTCCTGTTGTAATTTATATGGAGAGGGGGGGTATTGCCCTAAAAATTCTGCAGACAGGGGATACGAAGGAGAATCCAGGAATTCCGAGCATTCCTGGTGTTCAGCATAAACTTGAGGGGACAGTACTGAGGAAAGGAAACATCTGTAGTTATCTTTGACTGCTTCAAACACGTAGGGTTCATGTTCATATGACAGGAAGTTGGAATGACCTTGGAGCAAGGTCCACAATTTTACACCTTTGTGACGGCTATTCAAATAATCAAGGACCCCGCTGTGGGGAATTCCCCCACTGTAGGTGTAAAACCCCATCCTTTCCACATTGTCTCACATCAGTTCCGCATATTCCGCACGTTCCGCATTTCCCACGCATCGTCTGATGGGTTCTGCATTCCCGCGCATCCTTCGGAACCCACCTGCACTATCCGATATTCCCACGCATCGTCGGACAACCTTTGCATGTCCTGTCCCCATCCTTCCAGGTCCATTGGTATGCTGTATTGCTCTTCCTGTTGTTCCTAACGTTATCCGGATCAAACTGACACATGCCCTTATGGCTCGGACCCCTATTCCGGAGTATTGTGCCCATGTGCACTGCCTCCCTTCACTTCCGCTTCCTGAGAACTTACTACCTGTACCTCAGTGTTCCTTGAAAATAATCTTCCCTTTAAGTAGGGGTACTCAGGGCTTGGGTGTTTTTGATCGAAATCCCATCTTCTACCTTTCGACTTTTCTCCCACTTTTCCTTTACCTTACTAGAGGACCACTTTGACTTATGCCCACTATCAATCTAACCTTGTGATATACTTCCTTCGACTTGACCTGCGAGTTCCGACGAATCAGTATGTTCCACGCTTTATCCGTTCGAGTTCCATTTCATTCCGCTTGGGTTCCACTTGAGTTCCACTTGTTCTGCTCGGGTTCCGCTTGTTCCGCTTGTTCCGCATTTTTGCAGATCCTCATCCTACCTGTGGTAGGGTTGATTAGGGTCGCTTAGACAGAGATTAGCACTCCCCAGTAGCAATCCCCTTCAGGGTCGAACACGCTTGTTCTCAAGTGAGGCAGCAAGCAGCAAAGACCCAACTGTGTAGTAGATCGATTTCACTCCACTGCACTTGTTGTACCCACACCGCGCAGAAAGCCTAGCCTCTCACACGGGGTCAGGAGACTGAGGGTGGTTGAAAATTGTGTTCGTGTTCAAGACGGCTGTTCGAAGACAATCAAAGACCCCATGCGGAAAGCCTGGCCTCTCACACGGGGTCGAGGGACTGAGTTGAATGTGAATGATACAATGTGTGATGTGTGTTCCTCAAAGATTCGGCATGCTTGAAGCCCCAGGATTGAAGGCGATCCCGGCAAGCGGTGCGGTAAGAGGTGTAAAAGTCGATGTTGATAGATACATCAGATGCGAGGTGATGCGTGCGTGTGATATGTAAATGTCTGAGGAACCCAGGAATGCCTGGCATTTGGGAGGGTTTTAGTGAAAGGGAAGCGTGCTGAAGAGAAGGGGAATGCTTCAAACGGGTATGGTCCTGTCCGTACTACAATAGAAAGTCAGAAGGGTCTAGTAAATGCGAGATCCGCAATATACTAGTGCTAACACCCCTGTGATGGTCGTGGAGTGCAGATTGAGTCCGTGCTCGAAGACTCAGAATGTTTAGAGTCCAGACAGCTGTTCAAAGACGATAAAGGACCCCATGCGGAAAGCCAGGCCTCTCACACAAGGTCAGGAGACTGAGTCTACTGTGTATGTAATTATATAGGTGACACGAGAAGCCAAAGAGCAAGGCGAGAGAGAAGCTACAATTAGGAATCCAGGAACATCATCGTTCTAAGAATCCAAGTCAGTCGCAGATGCCATAAAGTTCAATAATAGGTAGTGAGAGTGACGAAGAAAGCGTGCCCGGGACTTAGTCTCAAAATGATTGGAATGATTACATAAGATTATTTATAACTTACATAATTTAATTGTTGCACCAAAGTTCCAAGTTTGGCCAGTTGGTGGTCACGCTCCATCCACTTCACAAAATGACACAATGATTCCGCCATAGCCAATGTTCAATGTAAGGACCTTCCTCTTTCACCAGCAACTCTAAACTTCTCTTTCCCATACCCCTGCTATCATCTGAATCTTGGAACGACAATGTTCCTGGATTCTAAACATCTATTGCCTGTACCAATACTAAATCTTGGAACAACAATGTTCCCGAGTTCTGTTCAAAGATATACCTATGCATCGGATGTGCATTGTGGAACCTTCCCATATCCAGTGGCTAGTGACAGAAAATTTGGCGCGGTGGAATGTAATTACCAGAACAGTGCCAGGACAGGAATACTGCTGGGTAGTGACAAACCCATGATAGGTCCAGCACCGCCCCTGTTCTCAAGCGAGAATGATTGGTCTACAACAGTTGATTACTGGTTGAGCAATCACCCATACCGTGCTTACGTCCCTTCAAACCCTGGCAATAACGTCAACTTCCCCATGGGTCATTGGGTCTCGGATTGGGGTGTTAGCAACCACCGTATGTGTTGGAAATTAACATTAGATATGTCCAAAATGATTTTTAGCATACATAAAAATGTGCGAAAAATAATTCACACTCTCATCTCCACCTATGACCTCAAGTGTACCTTCCCCCCCATTCTCTCCTTATGCTGGTTAGGGGATCAATTCTATACAGAGGAGGCATTGGCTGCAAAGATTGCAGAAGCCCGATATCACATACTGGAGCAGTACAGGTTCATAGCGTTTCACATCAAGAATCGTCCTGACTGGATTACACATCCAAACTTATCAACTGTCAAGGATCTAATAATCAGCGCCGGTCTCACAGAATGCACATATCGAGGGTGCATAGTAGATTTCAAGAAGTTGCATTTCGAAGAGTTGTGGATGCTTATTGAGCATCAAGTCCCAATCCACTACCAATGGTTTCCACTTCAGTCAACCACTTGAAATGACCTCTTAGGTCTATGTGTTTGTGGCTAGCAAAGGACCTAGTAGGTGTCTTCTAGGATGGTATTCCCATTATTTTACCCTATGTTCTGGGATGTCCTGGCCCACTCTGAATGCAGTATTTGGGCTATCCCTAGTACCCATTTGTGATCTTTCCCAGTCCCATCCGGGATACATTTGGCATGTCTCTAGGACATCCCAGAGCATTTATTTCATGTGCTTTCCCATCATAAATCAGAGTGATAGGGGTCCTTTTAGAACATTTTGACGGCATTAAAATTCACAATTTGTACATTCATAGAAGGAGTAGTACTAGGTATTTAAGGGCGATCTATGTGCTTGAACCACGATTTTGAGATATACCACAAAACTGACCCTTGCTAGCATATATAATGTTTGTGAGATGCACTTTGAGGAGGGAGTGGTGGGTGGGTGCAAAACAGTGATAGACGACACTGAGTGCAGTACTAGTTGCTGAGTAATCAAATTTTCTTGCGATTGATGGTACTAAGCAAGACAGCGGTGGCTGAAATCCTGGTTTTCGCATAGACCTTGTTCTATGTACGCACTTGTTCCTCACACTCACGCAGAACGCAATATACAGATGTCAAATAAAATTTACTATCTGGGCTGTCCTGCTGACCCTAATTACACTGTTTGGGCCCTGCCACCTACCTCTCTACTACTATCTGGGCCCTCCCACTCACCCAAATTACAATTCCCATCTACCTCTCTACTACTGTCTGGGCTCTCCCGTCTACCTCTCTACTACAGTACTACTATCTGGGCCTTCCCGCTCACCCAAATTACACTGGCTGGGCTCTCCCGTTTACCTATCTACTACTATCTGGGCTCACCTGCTGACCCTGATTACACTGGATGGGCTCTCCCATCCACCTATCTACTACTATCTGGGCCTTCCCGCTCACCCAAATTACACTGGCTGGGTTCTCCCGTTTAGCTATCTACTACTATCTGGGCTCACCCGCTGACCCAAATTACACTAGCTGGGCTCTCCCGTCTACCTATCTACTACTATCTGGGCTCACCCACTGACCCTGATTACACTGGATGGGCTCTCCCATCTACCTCTATACTAGTATCTGGGCTTTCCCGCTCACCCTACTTATGCTCTTACATGCTGGTCTTGCGCCCAGTCAGTCATACAGACAGTCCATGTCATTAAATAACATTGCAGTTTGACTCCCCACCCACTTTGACTACAACTTGCACTGCTCAAATTCTTTCAGCAGCTCAACAAAGCTACATCATCAACAGTTCTACCGACACCAACTGTCCCCAGAACTTTCCGTGCATGTCCCACCCGCACCGGACTCTTTGACCACCCTCACCTGCCAGATGTGCCTCATCCACATTTGGCAATCCCTAAGTAAGCCCATGCTGGGCCATTAATTTGCTCGTGATCAGCTCTCATAGACTTCGGTGTATATTCAAATCACGTGCTTTCAGCATTGGTATTCTACACAAAATACACATATTTCTATTTACCTGAGCACAGTGAACACAAATACATCATATAAAAATTGAAATCTACAAGAACCAGCATTTTGTGCAAAGTACATGTTATGCTACATAATTGCTAGTGTGGTAGACTGATTAGGACGGCATGCAAAGACTTAGCAACATTTTGATGATATGACCCGCAGTCAGTAGTCATACAATCTGGTGTGTAAGAAATATCAGGACTTATAGTGTAATGGTTTGCATGTGTGTGTGCAAGCGCACAGTGTCAATCTGAGTGTGAGTTCGAACCCACTGCCATGCAATTTAAATTTTGGTGTAATTTCTTTTCTTCAGTCTGCCTCTGACAACAAATCAGATACAGTGCGAAAACCATGATATCAATATTTCACAGGTTTTAGGGCCTCGGTCAGTAGTGTACACATATGATTGCAATATACAAATTCATCAACAAAAGGTAGACAGACATGACCTGTATTGTTCCGACACACGAGAGTACTATAATACAAAGAAATGTCAAAGCTTCATCCACGCAAGAGATAACTGAAGGGATGAGGTACACGAAGTACAGCAGTGAGAGGTACACGAAGTACAACAGCTAGAGGTACACGAAGTACAAAAACTTGAGGCACTACTATGAACAGGCAAGCAAAAGTCACGTTGAATGAGTAGACAGCACAATTCTTGTCTGAACAATGTTAGTAGCGAAACCACGAAGGTCCGTCTTCATAATGAGAGTCACCAGCTCCCCTTACTTGGAACCTCTGATTGTAGTCATTAGCATGATTGTGCCGGCATGAGTGAGCAGGACATCGAGGATATGAATGGTCCTCGCTATGTCCGACAGGAGATGTCTCGCGTTGTCTGTAGGTGGGCCAATAGTGCCTTGTGTGAGAGGGTCCATCTTGCACAGGGTAGACAGGAGGTGAACGTGAATATTCATGACGGCGGTTTGGAGCAATGAAGTTTCTGTCCTTGCGACGAGGGTAGGGCTCAATTCTGAGCCATTAAGTTAGTATACGTTGGAAGTCATGAAAGGTAAGACATACTCCATGTCTGCGTCATTACGAGAATTAGTGGGACGTTCCTCCATGCAGCACACGAATGTAGGGTCGACCTGAAGAGGATCAACATTGGATGAAAACGGAATAGCATAGCATTTACCCATAAAGCTTTCTTCGCCTTAAACGGCAGGCTAGTCTGTTGTCTTCCACCGCCGACGGGTTCATCTCTGCTCGTAGGCAGAACAGGGCGAGGTTTACGATCAAACAAATCTGGCGCTTGAGGAAGATAATTTTCCTTGCAGCAATGTACTGCTGTGAAATTTGTAGGGGGACATTGGTTTGATGGCAAGGTTGGGGGGCTCGGAGTGACAGGAGATTCATGATCACTTGGCAGCGTTTCGTGAGTATCTGGATGTGCTTCATGAGCTGCTAATAAATCTTCAGGGACAGACACCTTACATTTTGCGGAGTCAACCAGCTTGCATAGGACAACATCCAAGGCACTGGTCACCAAGGGGATGTCAAACATCTCCGGCACCTCGTCATCGAGCTGCTTGATACATTCTTGCACAACTGAAATGAGAAAACAAACGATACAATGATAACATGGAGATGACATACCATCTGGCCAAGCTGCAAACTTGATCTCGGGTACATCAATGTCTAATTCACTCATGACGTCTTCCACAGTGCGGGCCTGACCTCGGTGCTTGCCCTTTGACTTCTTTTTCTCTATCTCGAACAAGCTCTCAGCTTCAGTGCGGAGTTCTGCCTTGTAATAGGAATGTGCTTTGCGCTTGATGAAAGGAACAACGAGTAGCTTGAGGTGCTGTGAACTTAGGTTGTGAGGATTGAATTCGGGACTGATAGGGAGGATGTCGTCAGGCCAGTTCTTAATCATGAACTTGTACTGGAAAGCATAGTCAAGAAGCTTCCGCCACTGGACTGCTTTGGGTCGATACCCAAACTTCGCTATTTGAGCCGACTTCAGTGAATCGTTGAATGTGGACAAACTTGAGTACTCACAAGTGTGCTCGAGTACCATAATTGGCCATATCCTCCTGTAACGGTCGCGGGGAGCCTCGTTTGGCTTTGAGAGTAGAATCTCATAAGCCCCTACTCCCCCCATAAACTGCGGCACAGATATATTGTAGCCTTTCACTCTGTGAATATATCAGAAGGTAGGAAAAACCCAGAAGGATCAGACGTACTTTGTTGTGGTCACGACCCAATCTAAAATTGCGCGAGCATCCAGTTGATGCTCATTGATCAACTTGACTATGAGGTCAGAGCCCGCAACAAAGCCGGACGCCTGTCGAGCAGCCTCGTCTTGTGTTGTATCAAATATACAGCTGATGATCTCGATTCCTTCAAGGCGAGAATAAGCAGACAACTATATTGAGTCATTAGTCATAGCTTAGAATGCGCTAAGGAAGTAGATGTACCTTTCTTGCAATATCCTCCCTCATTGACAAGATGGTCTTGGCACGTGATTGATTGGTATTGTCACCAGTAATGTTATAGTTGCGAATTATGTCCCACTGTTCGTTCTCCTTGCCCATTGCATGATAGTGTTTGCGTTGATGTTCTTTCTAGTCGATGATAGCTGAGACTCTGGAGTTAGCATCATCTATACCACAGAAATGGGGGACTGACATTCTTTGTCCTTGCGAGGGTGATTATCCATGAACCAGCGTTGGTGGGCATTCCAATCAGACTCTGATCGTGAATGCTTGATGGACAGACCAGCCTCAATGAGAATAGCGCGCACGGACTTGCCATACTTGGCGCCAATCACCCGAGCTTCTTCTGCTGTTTTCTTTCCAAGTTCCTGAGCCTCATTGATGCCCTCCTGACATAGCCAGCCACATTTTAAATGGCCTGAGAGTTCTTCTTCATTCTCACTGAGGTCAATGTCCGGCATAGGGCCAAAGACTATACTGGCTGGAGTGGGGTTGCTGCCATGTGGAATAGATGCATTAACATGCTTTGTGCGAACGGTTGTCGAGTGAGTAGTTACTGAAGACTTCTTCCTGCGCTTAGTAGGTGGGGAAGACGGGCTGTTGTGGTCGAGGTTGAGGTCTTCGCCTGCATCTGACTCATGGGCGGAACCTTCATCGGATGTTGCGGGGCCTTCATGGTAGCTGGTATCCAATGAAGAGGTTTGAGGACCATGGTCGAAACTTAAATTGTAGTTGCCTGTCTTGGCCCTTCGGGGCCGAAGTCTCCTGGCTGCGCACAACAGATGACCATCAGCCCTCCCCACTAAGAAAAAAATAATATAGTACATACCTAGCGGAGTCTCAAGGTCCTCATTATTTTCACCATCCTCAGGCTCTTCATCGGCATCCTCGGGCTCTTCATCGGCGTCCTTAGGCTCTTCATCAGCATCCTCAGACCCCTCACCAGCACCCTCAGGCTCTTCATCGACATCCTTGGCATCGTTGTCGCTATCACCTTCTATGCTGTCTTCATGATGACAACTGTCAGCATTCCCAACCGTATATTAAATGAGATATAGAATACCTGGTGAAGTCTTTTCACGTATGGAGCCATCATTATCCTCATCCTCGTCTTCATTAGCCTCGCTGTCTTCACAGTCTTTGTTACTGTTATTGTCATGAGCATCATTGTCACTACCGCAGTTCATATCATCATCTTCATCCATGCGAGAGTCCGTAACCAGCACATCATTGTCAATGACAGATGTATCTATGAAAGGGGTTGGTATAGTGATTGTAGCAAATGCCATAAATCATTACCTCAGGAATGGTCGCTTTCCAACTGAATTCCAGAAGAGACGGAGCCCGCTGAAGAATTTATGTTTTGTTTGTGAGGGCGAGCAAGGATTTTAGCATAGTCTTCAAAGCTCATGCTCGAGGAACATCGGGGTAGAGGACGAGGTTTTAGCTGGTTACGGTCATCCGGAACAGGAGAGAACTCCTGGACAGCATTTCTTTTGCGCTTACTTTTTTGTTTGGCGGGGGGGTTGATAGCAATACCACTGCGTGTGCACATGACATAGCTGCCAGACACTGTGGAGCCATGAGTGCCAGTATTGGTTGCACCACGATGGGCTGCATTTCTGGTGGATGGTGCCATTGGAACGTAGACGGGCTTGATACTAAGAAAATGGGTGCTTTTTACACGAATGTAAGAAGCAGGCAGCTTGTGAAACACGAAGTCTTACAGCTAAATTTCAAGACTTGAAGTCTTGACAGGACGATAGAAGAGTATAGGAGACTAATGATTACGAGTCAAAAGAAGAAAAATTCTTGTAAAAAAACACGAACATTGCGGACTTTAACTGATAGTAAGGCGCCCAATACACATCAAGAAAAAATATTCTAAAGTTATAATCCCGCCCAATCAACACCGGAACGAACAGAGTTACATTGAAAGAACATTGTCAGAATAATGTAATATTCACCACAAAGGATCATATACTAACTTATTGTGGATGGTTCACATTAACAAAGCTTCGAAAATTACACAAATGAGGGCCCAGATGGGTGATGGGGCAAATACAAGCTTCTCTGGTGAGTGGATGTGATGATATTGAAACTTCCATCTCTGTAAGCTAGCAGGTAAACCACAGGCATACTGTAGGTTAAATAAAGTTGCACTGTACTAAATATTCTGATTGGGTGAGAGGGCGCAAATGCTAGCGCCTCTTTCCTAATATGGTAATGGCTGCTCGCTGCGAACAACAGCAAGTGCACGATCCTACTCAAACATGAGAATAAAGATATCAGCTAGAAATAAAGAACGTACATACATAGCACCAGGCTAACTCCAAACTAGTTTGGTTGTGATCTGTAAAGTGGTAAAAAGTGTCACTGCAACAACTCAAATAGAAAGCGAGGAAAATTACTTTGATTGCTTGGACCTCGTTCTCGAGACCACCGATATCAGTGTAACTTCGAGTGAGATCCTCGTCCAAGTTCACGACGCTGACCAGTGGACAAAACTCTTGATCAAATGGTAAGAATCAAGGCTACTTTTGCATACCCCAGCCTTTGGTTATCTGTTGTAAGTAGAATGAATCAATTACATTAATGTAAGACGGGGGGAGGATGTACTGATTGGTAGTTAGAATACGAAGTTTTGAGGCATTCAGACGATCAAAAAGAATAAAATTGCCGGACATGCACTTTTGCAGAGGATGAATAGACATTGGTGCATTTTTGAGGCATCCGACTCATAGTCAGACAGCCAGACAGTGCTGGATGATGCGAAGTCACCCAGGCAAAGCTTGTCTGCCTTGAAGGCAGACCACACGATGAGGCCAGTCATTGTTGTTGAGGTGGAGACAAGGGTAAACAATGAGGATGTCGATAAAAAGCCCTGCATACAATCAATTAGAATAGAATTAATGGACACATACCTTTGTAGAGGATGGATCGATATGGGCGAAGTGTTGAGGCAGTACCGTAGGACCGTGATCTGACTCATAGTCAGACGGCCAGATAGCGCTGGATGACACGAAGTCACCCAGGCAAATTGTCTGTCTCGAAGGCAGACCATACAACGAGGCCAGAAGATGTGAGGTGGAGAGATGGGGGCAAACGATGAGGCCAGATGATGAGGTGGAAATGGGGTAAACGATGTGGCTAGACGATGAGTGCCATTGAGTGGAGATGGGCATTATGGGCGCAAAGTTGATGAATTACTAAAATTGTCGAAATCAGAAGGGCCTTCCCAGGCTTTCGCCTGGGCTTTCCCACTATAGGTAAGGGCTTTCCCACACTGATTCAAAGTGTAGACTTCACACTTTGAAATTTGAACAACGCCAAAGTCCATTTCCTCCCTCATTCTCGACACTCTGCATCACGGTGGTCAACATTCCCCAACTCCTATAGTCTACCTTCGTGGTGGGCATACTGTGAGCAGCAACTTCGTGTTGCTTGCTCCTGTTGATTGCTTAGACTTCGGTCAGCAGTCTTGTCTTCCACCAGGCAGTATCTTGCGATCACCACCACCACTGTCTTCAACCGCCACAGTTGTTCTTCCCCCCAGTAATTTCTTATAATGTAAGTATTGTCTTGCCACCACCACCACAATTGTCTTCAAGCACCAGCATCGTTTTTCCACAGCCAGAACTGCGTTCCACCCACAACTAGGAATTGTCTTAAACCGCCAGATCTGTCTTCAGCCGCTAGAACAACCTTCTGTCCGACTTGACTGATTCATCTGCATGCTGTTGCTGATATACTGATCTTGTTCAAGACTGCTGTAGACCTCCATAGGTAAGTACATTCATTATATTTGGTCACGCTATCATGACTGACATTGGGTCTTTAACCAGACTCTTCTCACTCAAGACTCCTGTCGCCCTTTACAGTAAGTTTCTTTACTACATTGATTCATGCTATCATTACTGACATCACACCCTCATTAGATTTCTCTTCAGTCTTTCTTCAAGACTCTCTTATTATCTGCCTTTGTGGTAGCGTTTAAATCAGCAGTGACTTCGAGTTGTTGTTTGATTTAAATTTCCTTCCTCAGTGACTACGAGTCGCTGTGTGTTTCCCCATCCTCAATATCATGATCCCTGGAGCTACCACCATGTCGATTCCTGTCTTCAAGCTGTTCATGCGCGATGGCGACCGTGCGTTTTAGATTCTTCATACATCTACTGCTCTTGACTGACGATGTTCAGGTTACCTGACTGCCACTGATGCTTTCTGTGTGGTTACGTATGCCCACCGAGTGATCACCACTCCTAACATGAAATTCATTCCTCAACCCTTCGACAATGAATCCGACATCATTCAAGTGTGCACAGATGGTAGATATTGGGCCCTGGATCCCTTCCAGTGGCCACAGATGTATGACAACTTGTATGCTCGAAGTTTTGCAATCCCTCGCCGGGAAGCCTATGTGGACACACGCAGGTTAGCAATTACAAGGTTGCTATAATGCACAAGGAGGATCATGTTGTTGGGTGGGTGCATGCGATGCGTGCTGTCTATGAGCGCTTCCAGCAAGCCATGGCCTGGTGTGACATTGTCATAATCGTTGCTGAATATCAGCACCGGTTTCTCAATATCTGGGCGGTTCTAGACTACTACGAAATTATTGAGCCCCGCATGCGATTCATTGACACTACGCATAAGGTTGACCCTAAATGGATGGGTTGTTTCACTGAAGATGTCACTATCGCCACGAAGGTGCACACTACTGGAGTTCCTGCCTGGCTTATCCGCGATGCCAGACTTGTCAATTCCAACATGAACATCATCAAAGTCGTTTCCTTCACACCACCTGATGACCTCGTCATCGGCATGTACCACAATCCCATCAAACTCTTTGCTCAACCATTCAACATCATCACCAGAGGTCCCAATAATCGCCGGCATCACAAGGCCGCTCATCAGCCATATTCCAACTTTGAGAAGTTGCTGGTTCCAAAACCCCAAGTGGAACAGCTGGTAACGAGGGAGTCATTGGTAGGAAAGGCTTGTGTAGACAAAGGGAAGGCCAAAATGAATGCCAAGCCTGCACCGTGTAAGTTCATAATTTCTATTCCATGGTTGTTGCATCTAATTAATTCATCAGACAATGCAACTGCTCCCCATCAGAATAAAGTTGTTTCTGGCCGTGACAAGTGGTTTGATATAGATCACCCTTTCATGCCGCCAATGAATTCTTTCTTCAAGATAGCATTGGAGGAAGTGAAGAAAGAATTCCTCTGCATCAAGCATTTCAGTTACAAAATGGATGATGGTTACTCGCTTCCCGATCCAGGGTTATTCATTAACATTCTTTCCCCGCAATCCTTGATGAAGTACCTTGCCAACTGGCTGACGTGCCACCCAAGTTGGATAGAACATGTCTATGACGAAAGGCCTCTACCCCTTCCTCGCGCCCGGAGCTGGCATGATTTCTTGATATCTCAGCACGCTCAGGATCTTTCAAACATGCAGACCTCCGGAAAGACCAGCAAGTCGAAAGCAGCGACTGCTTTACTTTTCCAAAAGGAAGTTCCGGTACTGCAGGCCTTGTGGGCAGCACTCACAAATGTTCACTGGCATGGAAAGGACATAGCCATTTCCATGCTCGACAATCCCCCCGCAGATTATGAACTTCTCAACCTGGATGAACATCTTGGGCACGAAGCACGTAAGGACAAGGAGGCGAGGAAGGAAAGGATGGAGCTTCTTCATAGCATTTTCCTGTCAAAGTTGTTGAAAGTTTGGAACAGGGATTTACCACAAGAGAACGACGGACTCAATGCACCATCTTTCACCGCCGCTTTACCATATTTCAAAAGTTTCCGCAAGGTGTCGTCAATGTGGGAGCACTTTCCCGAGTCCCTCAAACAACCTTTTGATGCTACCGGACGTGAGCACAATATATGGATGGGGATGAAGGAATGCTGTCTGTTCTATGTTCAGTCTTATTTCGACAATACTGGCCGTCCACCTATCATTCCTCACTTACTGTATTCGGTCGCCTAGATGTTGATGCTGTGTGCTTGTTTCCCATTGCAATGATTGTGCTCTTACGGATTTAATGTACATATACCCCCAATAGTCAATAATTTGTATACCATCATGTGTCACTAATGCTGTTTCATCCATACCGGACTTTGTCATGGTCAAACAGGTTATCTTAGACATCAACATTTATTTTCCCCATACTGCTAACATTTCAGTTTCACAGAACAGAGGGTACACGAACAGCTAGTGTTCCTTCCTTCACGTTTGCTAGCCCTCATTTGCTCCAAAGGTTCATTGATGTATTTGCCCATTTTTTCGTTTTTGTATTCGACATAAGTTTGGGACTTTGGGTTCCTCTGAGCGTTCAGTAGTTGACTTTGTGTCAACGCTGACCTTAGTGCGGGCTTTGTGCTTGCCTTCAACACTCTCATAGTCGACTTCATGTTGACACCAACCTTAACACGGGCTTCGTGCTTGCCTTCGACTATCTCATAGTCAACTTCATGTTAACACTAACCTTGACACGGGCTTCGTGCTTGGCTTTCAATATCTCGTTATGGTCTCACCCAACCCTATCGCTGGGCCATCCACTCCAACCTCTCACAATACGCAGCACAAACTCGTCACTTCTTCAATGGTGAAGAGGAGGCAGCAACTGCAGCAAAGCAGCAACTTTCATATTCCTATAGCCCCCCACTACTCGTACTTCCTGGAAGAAAATGTCTTACACAACAATCACTCAACAATCTAGGAATGTCACAGCAGCAACAGCCTTTCTGCGGTGCCGATTCTGCTAACCAGCATGATAGCCCATTCACTGGGAATATTTTAGACCGTGAAGAATGCTCGTCTTTCTACAGCTCACTACACTACATCTCCAATGCTGATTCAATCCTACCTTCCCGCTTGAATGGCAGCCAAAAGAAGATGAATCAGTGGCGACGCTGGACAACCGAAGTCATTCCTTCCTTGATCGCTCCATACCTTGCATACTTGCACAAATCAACCTCTCTTCACGATCGAATTGAATTGCAGCCAGACGAAGTTGCTGCCTTTCAGTGCAAATCCTCTTGTCGAGGGAGGGTTCTCGAGATCATTTGCGTACTCTTCAATCGTATGTCTCTCTTATTACCTGAGTTATTGGTTGGCTGATAATATTGTAGATATCGAGATATTACAAATTGATTGCTGCGCTTGCGCGCCTGCTCCCCTTCAGCTCCTGTCTCGCGGTTACTTTGCCTGCGCTCCCATCGCTCCTTCCCTTGCTGTCAACCTTCAGTTGCTGGAACTTGTCAAGACGTTGTTCGTACAAATCACTCCCAACACAACTGCTTGGTGCGAAACACTCGAGGTCTTTCTGGCTGGCTGCGGGTATCACCTTACCACCAAGGTGAGTCGAGCGCCTATACTGAGTTCTGAAGGATCAATATCTTTATAGGATAATCTTTGTCATCGGTTTGGTAACAGTTATCATTGGTACTCTGTACTCTGCATGAGTGCTGAAGATCACTTGTCCAATCTCATTGGAACTCATTGCCCACTTTCACCACTGTCAACTGAGGGACTAACATGTCCAAGTGACTATCTAAGGTCTCATTGTCTGATTTGTTTTGGCTTGGATGATTGGCGAAAAAGTAGAACCCTTAATCTCAAGTAAGTTGTTTCAATATTAGGAACTAAAATAATTCTAAATTATACAATAGACCTGACATCCATACTTGTATTGACACATGTTTCACTCAAAAATGTTCAGCGGACCAATGTGGGGGAGGGCCAGATCCCTCAGACCCAATCAGATCAGTTTTCCTTTCAGATGATGAGGTGACATCGATGGAGGTCCATGTGCGGAGTTGTTGCGGCAGACCCCTTGATCGGGGTCGCAAGAGAAAGCAACCTGTAGCCACAGAAGAGGAGGGGGATGACTACGAGGATGCATGCAAGTCCCAACCTCTGTGCTAGATGGCTGCGGTGAATATTTTCTTGCCGCTGATGAGAAATGCAAAAAGGCTAGCACCCAATTTTTTGCAGATACAGGGGTGATGGCCATGTTATGTCGGCACGATCGTGTATTATGGCTCACCAACATGACGTCGGCGGGAGAAAAGCAGCACTACGCTCTTGCTTTGATCAAGAAGCTTTTCAACAATCTCCCTACCGATATGACCGTTGGCCTCCTGTATGACATTGGCTGTCAGCTTCATTGAAGTTGTCTCAAGTACCAACTCCTTGATGATGTGGTTCTTCGCCATATAACTTTTGCAATATCAGTCTTCCACACTTATGGCCACCAATGGGCATGTCAAATTATATACCATCCTCGCAAGTGTGAAGGCTTTGGCCTTTCAGATGGAGAAGGTTGCGAGCGTTTATGGAGTGCGCTCAAACACCTTATTGCTCCACTACGCGTTTCTGGGGTGAGTGTTCTCTGTTTTGAGAATGGTTGCATACGGGCTATAGCCGCTCATGACCATATTTACCATGGTTGTATTATTCATTTACCCCTGACTATAAACTACATGTTTGCTACTTACTGACCGCCTTTTCAGTTTCATCAGTGACTTGTTGTCCTCGACACTCAAGTCCGGCACCTAGATAACAAGAACCTTAGTTTATATGGCAACTGGTTGAGCTGGAGGTGGAATAACTGCGTCAAGAAGAAGAGTACTGCAGCACAGGCACTACGTGAGCTTTCAGTTGATGAGACCTGTGTACGAGAGGAATGGAAATTGCAAGTTGAATATCAGACGAAAGTGTCAATTTAGCCTCACTTGCAAATTTTTTGGGTCCACTTCGAAGGCACTTTAAATATGCTCAGTCAATTGAGGACTTACAATGCCCTATAAGGCATGCCAACCAAAAATAACTTGAGCAGGAAGGCCCAGATAGTAGTATAGAGGTAGATGGGAGAGCCCAACCAGTGTAATTTGGGTGAGTGGGAAGGCCCAGATAGTAGTAGATAGGTGGACGGGAGAGCCCATCCAGTGTAATCAGGGTCAGCAGGTGAGCCCAGATAGTAGTGGACAGGTAGATGGGAGAGCCTAACCAGTGTAATTAGGGTCGGCGGGAAGGCCCAGATAGTAGTAGAGAGGTAGATGGGAGAGCCCAGCCAGTGTAATTTGGGTGAGTGGGAAGGCCCAGATAATAGTAAATAGGTGGATGGGAGAGCCCAACCAGTGTAATCAGGGTCAGTGGGAGGGCCCAGATAGTAGTAGACAGGGAGTCGGGAGAGCCCAACCAGTGTAATCAGGGTGAGCGGGAGAGCCCAGATAGTAGTAGACAGGTAGTCGGGAGAGCCCAACCAGTGTAATGAGGGTGAGTGGGAAGGCCCAGATAGTAGTAAATAGGTGGACGGGAGAGCCCAAACAGTGTAATTAGGGTCAGCAGGACAGCCCAGATAGTAATGGATGACTTCCCATAGGCAAAATATTCAGAATAGAATATTTCCGATTTTGTAAAACAATGGGACATCAAGTTTATTTTTAAATCTATACAATGATATTCAACCATAGGCCAACTACATACTAGATATTAATCCTTGATAAATGGATGATTTCATATATTCTCTTCTGAACGATGATGAGGTGGACATCTTCAAGACAAACCACCTACCACTCCCTCCTCAAAGTGTGTCTCACAAACATTATATATGCTAGCAAGGGTCAGTTTTGTGGTATATCTCAAAATCGTGGTTCAAGCGCATAGATCGCCCTTAAATACCTAGTACTACTCCTTCTATGAATGTACAAATTGTGAATTTTAATGCCGTCAAAATGTTCTAAAAGGACCCCTATCACTCTGATTTATGATGGGAAAGCCCATAAAATAAATGCTCTGGGATATCCTAGAGACATGCCAAATGTATCCCGGATGGGACTGGGAAAGATCACAAATGGGTACTAGGGATAGCCCAAATACTGCATTCAGAGTGGGCCAGGACATCCCAGAACATAGGGTAAAATAATGGGAATACCATCCTAGAAGACACCTACTAGGTCCTTTGCTAGCCACAAACACATAGACCTAAGAGGTCATTTTAAGTGGTTGACTGAAGTGTGGTTTCCTACGGACACTGGCCCCTTTGACCCGAAAGTGCTCAAGGCTAGCAACTACGATGAACTTAGAAGACCAAGTTGCGAGTCTCCCTGCCAGAGGAACATCGACTAATTGCCTTGCCGGATTTGAGAGAGGGTACTTTCTATCGAGTCAGTAGCAGCGGAGATAGGACCGTGATCTCTAGGAGAGAGTTCAAACGTTGGGCACACTGGTGCAAGACGAAGCGTGAGCAATTGCCCTCAGGTGAGGTATGTTTGCTATTCCAGGACATATCGGACGATCCTGCTGAAGCCCCCATCACTGATGTGGATTTGGCAGCACATCATACTGAGTTCTCCCAAAACGAAGGAGAATTGTCCCCTGCTCACGCTGTGGAGGAGATTGTACCAGACCACAGCACACATGAGACCTTGCCAACCGCCCTCTCCCAGAAGGCATTAGACCTTGCGAATAGTTTTCTGTCCTCTATCATAGCTGAACCGACAGCACGGACTGTGAGGCACCACAGTCCATGTGCACCTTCCCTGCCTGGCGATGAACGAGTGATGCTTCAAGAAAGCGGACCCTCCAGGAAGTGCACTCTCTCTACTAGCGCTTCTTCAACTCCTGAGGCCAAGAGGTATTGTGGAGTCTTGGGCAATCAATGACCCACCCAACACGAACAACTCACCAGTGAGCCACCGGCTTTCCTCTAAGACTTTCCACTGCCAGATGTTGGCGTGTCCCCCTCGTCCACCCCCGAGGTCCTGGATGACACTTGTTCATCAATGGACAAGATCCAAAATGTTGTCGCAGTTTCATCCGCACCCATACCCCAACCACTTTCTCAGTTGTAAGTCTTAATATTTTCTTATGAGACCTTGCAGCACATTAATGACACTTACAGGATAAACGAGTTGCAACTCACCAGTCCACCAGTCTCCATAACCAGTGTCACTTTCCCCACCATTCCAGCCCAGCATATGGGCTAATTAATCAAGACATTTTGATCAGCCATACGCATCACCAATGACATGTCCGTCAATCCCAGCACCTCCCCAGTGGATTCCATACCAGGCCTGCTTAGATCTGGAGCACCCTACCGACTTAGGGTGCCATTTGGAAATGTGACACCTGAATCGCTTGGCCCCTGACCGGCCTATCTAGCCACTTGTGATCAGTATATAGGCTTCAATCTTCAGAACCCCTGGTACTGGGACGCTTACACGCTTAGAGTCACACAATTGCTCAAGAAACTGTTCGCTTATCACTTTTTGTCGCTCGGAGGAATATTGTGGCGGTTAGCTCTTCAGTTCGGTCCAGCTGACCTCATTGCACAGGCATTAGCAGGCTGTTCTTCATATGCTACTGCCTGGCAAAGTGGGGACATGTCTGACAGGCTTTGTAATGACATTGTAACACCAGCGGAAATAGGTGTCCTTCTCAGTTGCAATCACACAGGAACGGTCTCTTGTTGGCCCCCTTATGATCTCTGGGATGCATCCATTCAGTGGAAAGGGTCCTGGTCAGACAATAATGAGTCGTGGTTCCAATCACACCTCTCCAGTCTCTCAGCTTCTCACCATGACGCCCCCAAAAACCACAAAGAATGGAGAAAGCACTTCAAGCTGGCTCCAGCAACCATATCAGATAATCCAGCCTATCGCAGGTCTAACACTGTCACTCGTCACGTGTTCAGCCAACTGGGGTACTCTAGAGATTGCAACCCCTGCTGGGACCTGGCACAATACAATGCTTAGCACCGTGTGGGTCTTGAAAGTTGTATAATGTTACTCTACCGTATATATGTATTAACAAATACCAATGCTACATTTGTGACTTCCCGTAAGGTTTTACAGACAAATTTCTGTTAATCCTCATGTCTTAGCCAAATAGCCGCGCTGGATTTGGAAGGTAGCTGTCAACCCATTGCTCTCACACCTGTCTGTAAATTTGCCAATCTGTGGAGGGGTAGGTACCCCTCTGTAAATCATCATAACACATGAAATGTCTGATTCGGGTAATTTTCTTACTCTTTTTAGATGGTTTGCTCACGGAATTGTCGTCCGGATCATTGGTATTGTTCCCAGTCCATCGTCTTGCAGAGTTCTTACGGTTTACAGATTCTGTCCGTAAATTAGCCAATATTGAGCAGTCAAACTTTTACAGACAAGCTTGTTTCTGTAAATTCTTACGGGAAGTCACCCAAATGATCCCCAACACCCACTTTAGTGGGAGAAAGTTTGTCCAGGTACCTGTACACTGAATCGCAGGAAAACCTTATGTCAGCAAGTTTCTAGACAATTCTTAATGATTATGTAAACTATTTTCGGGTTATGGCACAACTTTACATAATTAGCTCTGACTGGCACTGACAGACATGCCTTGTACACATATCTTGGAACAACAATGTTCCTGGATTCTAAACTTCTGTTCCCCGTACCCATAATATTGTCTGCACAGGGTCGTCTTTGAACAGCCATCTGGAATTCCGAGTCACGGTCATCTAATACCAACCCAACCACTCGTCGTCACAGTCAGCCTGCTCATTCATCTCCCTGTTCATACTAAGGTACTGGAGATAGGCCGTTTGAATCGTCAGAACAACACAAAGCGGGAGGGTGGGTTCAATATTGCACATAAATTCTCCATCCGAGATCATATCAGACGTATGTACATCAAGCCTCTCATACCATATCGTTGAGACTCAGTCTGATGCTGTATGACTCAGAAACCACGAATCTCATGTGTAGGTTTACATCTTAAATTCACTCTATTTCCTTGATAAGAAAATTGCTTGAATCAGACATTTCGTGCGCGACGATTTACAGAGGGGTACTTACCTACCCCTCCACTGATTGGCAAATTTACAGACAGGTGCGAGAGAGCAACAGTTTGACAGGCATTGACAGCTACCTTCCAAATCAAGCTCGGCTATTTGGCTAAGGCATGAGGAATAATTCTGCTCCAACACCTACTAGTATGAAGCCTGTTCCAGCTTCGCAACCAGCTTTACAGGTAAGTCGCAACAATGTATTTCAAGACATGAGTCTCACAGAGATTTTTGTTAGTTTCTTAGCATGTTCAACAATACTACTAATAGCACACGAGATGCTGCCGGTGACACGCCACCAGAGTCTCCTCCATCCTCCAGCGAATCTCAGACTGCCTCACCATCCTCTGATTCTGTCCCACTACCAGGCACCTTGACACTCACATTTCTTGCGGCAGCACTGAGCAATGCATCGCTTGAAGGTGCGCCTCCAGGCATTTCACCATCCACTCAGGCTGCTACGTCTACAGGAGAAGTTCCTGTCCAGTCTGGCAAGAAAAAGAGAGGTCTGACAAACCCAAACAACCTTTTCAAGCCGAGTTCGGGATCAACAACAGCACGCAACCTCTGTGGTATCGAATGGCAAGCCCAACGCAAGATGGGCACTGTCACAGAGTTCACAACACACTGGAATAGCCTCACTCCCCAACAGAGAGAGCCCTACGTCACTCGCTTGAAGCTTGCCGACACTGTAAGTCTTTCTTTCTTCAGTGATATCATAATCTTATTCAACTGTAGGCCAATCTACTAGCGTCAAGCATAAGCCTTGCCTCCGATGACTCTGCCCTCAATGCAGGCAACAGCATAAGTCATGTGAGGCAGGTGGATCATTGATCATCCAGATTCCACATCCACAGGCATTGTTCACTCGCAATTGCCGAGCAAGATTTGTGATGTTTGTGGATCATAGTTGTATATCCACAAGTATTGATCACTGACAATCGCCAAACAAAATATATATATGGACTGCAAGCCTTTCCCTCTCACTTTAGTTTACCTTTTGCATCTACACAAACTCTTGGAACAATGATGTTCCTATACTTTCAGTCACTCATCGCCCATTCATTTCTTCATTCTCCCCTCATGTTAGCCTTGTTGATAACCTTGGAACGACGATGTTCCTGGGCTTTCAATCACTCATTGTGAATTTGTTTCTTCATTCTCCCCCCACGTTAGCCTTGTCAATAACCTTGGAACGACAATGTTCCTGGGCTTTCTGTGACTTGTCATGAATTTGTTGATTTGTTCTCCCCGACATTATCATGATGTCCAATGCGCGTAGAGGACAACATTCTCAACTTCAGCGATTGGTAGACGAACAATCTTCGTGGTGGAGAGTGACCAGTAGGAAAACCAATGGTCAGGAGTATGTTTGGGTAGTCATTAATGCGATACACCCAAGGGTAGGACCAGCCCCTCCGCGACCTGACCAGAGAACGGACAAAACGCTCAGCAACAGATTCCTTCAAGACCATGACTGGTCAACCACTCCAGACCACTGGGACATCTCGAGGTCATACCGACCATACATTCCTGACTTGCCAAAAACTCAACTGTTCTCGGATAGCAGTTGGATCACTACTGCCTGGCCTCTAGGGAGTGATTGGGGGATTTCAGGGCCTGGAGGCTGGCACTTATCTTTGGAGATGCGCACTAAGCTTCTGGCAACTCGAGCGAATGCTTACATGCTCGTTGGCGCAATCATTTCAGATTACAAGCCTCAGTACATTATCCCCACAGAGTTGAGGTTGGATTGGATAGACAACTCATTCCCATCCAAAGAGGTGTTAGCTGCACAAGTTGGTGACGCGCGCCGACACATACTGGACCAATATGGGTTCATAGCCTACAACTTGCGTCAAGACCCGCGTTGGCGCACACACCCTGGCTTGCAGGTGCATGTACTCAGGGTGACCAACACTGGCCTTGATTCCTGTTGGCATGTCGGATGCATCATGGATTTCAAGAGGATGGATTTTTTCATTTTGGAATTGTATGAACTCATCTCTCATGATGTTCCCGTACACTACCAGTGGTTCCCTGCTGATGCTGGACCTTTTGACCCATGAGCACTTAGGGCCAACAACTATGACTTCATTCAGAACATAAGGCGGACTCAAGTCGAATGGCAGCGGTCTACAGCGGTGCAAAGTGCCAACTCTATGGATCCTCCAGCCGTCCCTCCACCTGCACAAAAGAAGGCGAAGTACTTCAAAGCTAGCAGGAGGTTCAAGACCGACACATGGGAAGAAATCTCAAAAAATGCATACAAGGAGCTGTTGAATTGGTGCATGGTGGAACATGTGAGGCTACTGACGAGAGATGTATTCGTTGCCTACAAGTATGAAGGAGCAGATGAGGAATACATTGTGCCTGTGGGATCTGTCATCAGCGCAAAGGAGACTCAGTGGCTGCCTATGTGCTTGGGATAGCGGCTCAACCGAATGTAAGTTTCTCGACCCCACATCTAAGAATCTTGAAACTGATGAACTGTTGTGGGTACAACAAGTGCAGCTGGTGAGAAATCAATCTACTACACAGTTGGGTCTTGGCTGCCTGCTGCCTCGCTTGGGAACAAGTGTGTTCGACCCTTAAGGGGATTGCTACTGGGGAATACTAGTCTCTGTCTAAAGCGACCCTATAGGATGAAAGATCCACAAAAGCGGATGAAACGGATAGGATGCGAAATGTACGGATTCGTCGGATGGAGTGGATGGCACTTGCGGATCGGACAGGATGCGAATCAAAGTCAAAGGAAGTTCATTAAAGGTTGGATGGATAGTGGGTATAAGTCAAAGCGACCTTCTGGTAAGGTGCAGGAAAAGTGGGAGGAAGTTACATGAAGTAAGTATTTTTCAAAACCCTCCATGCTTATAGGGTACAGTATTTTCAAGGAACATAGATATATAGGTAGCGAGTCTAGACCGTGCCATAAGCTATCCAAAAAATACTGGAGTGTGAGAAGATATGTCTGTGTTCAGTCAGTAACAAGAAAATGCGTGTGAGTACGTACCAATGAGGTAGAATGGACGTGGACAGGACAGATGCGTCGGATGCGCAAGCTATAGGAGGAGATCCGAAGGTATCCGCATGTCATCCGAAAAGCGGATGTGTATTGGATGGAATGGATAGGTGTCGGATGGACGTCAGATGGACGCCTGATGCATCGGAAAAGTGGTGGATACGAGCCTAGTGTAGGGATACTCCCTACACCGTGAAGCCCATTTCTGCTGTCATCAACACAAAGGAGATGGCTGCCCATACACTTGAGCTGGCGGCTCAACCAACAGTGAGTTCCTCCACTCACACAGTTGAGAACATCGAAATTGATGAACACGTGAAGATGGTTTCCACCCCATCAGCAGCAACGCTAGCCCTGACGACAGGGGAGTCCTCTTCTTCAGTGCAGAGCGGACTTGGGCCTGCCAAAAAGGATTCTCCTGCAGCAGCAACACCTACCGCAGAGCCCTCCACTTCGGAGCACAGTGAACCTGCACCCATCACAAAGGGTTCACTTGCAGTAGCAGGATCGATTGCTGTGACTGCCACAGAATCATTGATTCCTGAGAAGCACAGTTGAAGCCAATGTTCAGTGACTCTGCACGCAATGGTGCCTAACATCGTCATTCGCGCGCGGTCAAGATCCTCTGGGGCTGAATCCGCTGTCTCCCTAGGAGAAGAAGACAATGTCCCCTTTTCATTTGGCTCTCATGTAGCTCCTCAGGCACCTGATTATACTCCTGTTTCACCCCGCTCCCCATCACCGTCACTTGCAGTTACAGTTCCACTGCTGGCACCATCATCTTCATGCCTCCCACCCCCACATCATCAGAAATGCCTGGTGTTCCTTGATGATTATTCCTCCAGCTCGAAGAAGCGCACGATCTCGTTTGTATCATCTCCATCTGGAGCTGGAGAGAATAAGAGACCACGGATGATGGCACCCCCTACGTCCTTGCGCCCAACCCTGATGCAGAGGCTTCACGATGTCATCATGACTTTCCCTGCAGCCTCACCCCTTGTGCCTGAGCCCTCTCCACCTCAACAGCTCCCACCGGCACAAGTTCAAATCCTCCCGGTTCGAGCAGAAGTGGAGCTACCACTTATCACAGAATCTTACCAGGCCGATGAGCTGCAGATCGATGGGCCAGTGTTCATAATGGGGATCACCTTCCCTGCGGCTCCAGTGCTGCGTTTGGGGTGTTTGACTACAATGTTCTGATCTGCCATCCGGGTCATCTACGATCAGCTTCTCAACCCAAACACGTTTCCAGCAGACTCTTTACAAACTCTGCTAAGATCTGGGGCACCGTTCCGAGTCTTTGCACTGTTACCCAACACGGCGCCCCAACAGCTGGCAGTCACACCATCGTATCTATTGAGGAGGAACGTGTTTCAAGGATTTGATCTAACAAATCCAGGATACTGGAACATATACACATCCCAGGTTAGGGAACTTCTCCATCACCCATTTGCTCGCCATTTCCTCATGCTTGGAGGGATCCTGTGGTGCATGGCCTTGCAATTTGGCCCTAATACACTAGTCCAAGAAGCGTTGGCGGGTCCCTCCTCAGCCGTCACGCTATGGGGAAGTGGCAAATCGGTTGGCAATCTTTGGGAAGACTTCATAACCCCCGAGGAAATAAACACTTTGCTGGGTCATAGTCATTCAGGCTCGGAGAGTTGCTGGCCTCCCAACGACCTTTGGGATTCTTCCAAGAAGTGGAAAGGGTTTTGGTCAGATGCTGATGAAGCGTGGTTCCAGTTACATCTGGCGAACTTGTCATCCGGGAACCTTCAAGCACCCAAATCCCAGAGAACTTGGAAAACTTCCTTTCAACCAGCAAAGTCGGACGTGCAAGAGTTGTTCAAAAATTAGGATACGATAATGTTCGCACCCCAACTTGGGACCTATAATCAGTAGAATACGAATTACCTGAGAGGGGGGGGGAAACTTTATGACGGTCATGATTTAGGCCAGCACCTACTACATACATCATTGTACTTACTATTACTCTTGCATATTATCATTTGTTTCTGTACGCTAGAAAATAAAATCGATATTGCATCTTGTATTTCATCCAAAATATTCTCAGTGATGGTATCCCAAGATACAAGACAGGAAATGGCAAACAACAAGTCGATTGCAAGATGTGCATCATCGACCATAATACCAAAGTGTCTCTCCAAGTGATCACATCTCAGGGTGGCAGGCCATAGTTAAAGTCTTTTAGTTCTTTCTAGTCATATGAGTCTCCACAGCATGAGTGAAGCCAGGCATTACTACGTCTGTATTTGCCTGCGCACATGAAAATCTCAAATTTTTAGCCTACAATTTGCCCCTCACCACACCCGAATTTCAGTAGAAGTTAAAACATATTTTATTAGAGCTTGTATTAGTCATACTACATAACAAATAATCTAAACAAGTTGTGATTTGCTTGATTATATAATGTCATATTTATCCATTGTTGCTACCATTTGGATATCTCTTGTGGATCTCTTGTCCACTGCTTGCTTTTCACTTGCTTGGATTAATCTTGGGATGACGACATTCCCAGATTCTAAACCAGCTTTTCAAGATCTCATCCATGACTCTGTTGGATTCTTGGAACAACAACGTTCCCGGATACCCAAGTAGCTTCTCTCTTGATTTCTCTTTCAATTTCACTCCTCGAACCTCCTCGGACATGGAACATCGATGTTAACCTGGGGTTCCAACCAATGTGGATTCTAAACCAACTCCTCTGCAACTGACTTGGATTCTTGGAACAACGACATTCCCGGATTCTTAAGTAGCTTCTCTCTCAGCTTGCTCTTTGGCTTCTCGCATCACCTGTATCATAATCACATTCATATTCGACTCAGTCTCCCAACCTTGTGTGAGAGGCCTGGCTTTCCGCATGAGGTCCTCTATCGTCTTCGAACAGCCATCTGGGCTCTAGGCATTCTGAGTCTTCGAGCACGAACTCAATCTGCACTCCATGGCCGTCACAGAGGTGTTAGTACTAATATATTGCGAATCTTGCATGTAGTCCCTTCTGACTTTCTATCGCACGGACAGGACCATACCAAGTAGCTTCTCTCTTGGCTTGCTCTTTGGCTTCTCGCATCACCTATATCATAATCACATTCATATTCGACTCAGTCTCCCGACCTTGTGCGAAAGGCCTGGCTTTCCACACAAGGTCCTCTATTGTCTTCAAACAGCCGTCTGGGCTCTAGGCATTCTGAGTCTTCAAGCACGAACTCAATCTGCACTTTACGGCCGTCACAGAGGTGTTAGTACTAATATATTGCGGATCTCGTGTGTAGTCCCTTCTGACTTTCTATCGTATGGACAGGACCATACCAGTTTGAAGCAGTCTAAGGATGGCTTCGGTTGCGAAAGTTGCTGCTAGATCACTTATGATAGGTCGAAGGCCTTCTCATCAGCACGCTTCCCTTTCGCTGAAACCTCCAGAATGCCAGGTGTTCCTTGGATACTCTACAGACATCACCTCGAATCTGATGCACCTTCTAGCATCGACTTTTCACACCTCCCTCTTGTTTCTTGACCGTTCACTCGCAGTCCCCACAAGAAAACTACCCTCATGTTGTTTCCTTTGCATCAGCAAAATGACTCTTTCCTGTCACGTGATGTTTAGGTGACGGGGCAATCCCCAATCCAGTAGGCATCCTTCTCCACACTTGCTCCTCTTCCTTCAATCCTTCTGTCATCTAAACAGACTCTTGAAACAATGACGTTCCCAGAATCTTTGTGGTTTCTTGTCGAGAACCTTGGAACGACGACATTCCTTGGCTTTCAGTCAATTCCGCCGATGACAAAGTGTCCCATACATCGTTCAAATTCATCTCTCCAGCTATTCCAGCAATTAGCGTCAGCATGTCTACTACCACCATCCACTGCCCTTCCTGCAAGAGAACCTTCAAGACTCACTCCCATCTTAATGCACATATCGCACTGGCCCCAAATTGCAAGTGGGTGCAAACCATGTGCAATCCCCAGAACGATGTCGAAATGAGAGATTATCGTGAGCTGAGCGACCAGGTATGATGATCATCTTGGAAATCAGGATGGCGGTGATGTGGATGAAGCTGAGTTAGGTGAAATCGAAGATTTGCGACACAAGGCTGGATTGCCATCCCACACTTCTGTAGGCCTGCCCCATCGAGCCATGTGCAATGACTGTGGAGACCCCATACTTGTAGTTGAGAGACATCCAGAAGCAGGCTGGGTCTTGCAATGTGATGATGCTACTGATGCTACATATACGCGGACCTGCTGTGACCTTCAGAGCGAGGATAATCAGTATCACCCTTTTCTCAATGAAGGTGACTACAAGGTAGCTCGGTGGGCAATCAAGCAAATGGCCAAATCAAAACGCCCTCACAGATTTTTTGTCCATTGACAAGGTAATCACGCTGCAGTTGCATTGATGTCAGATTCTCACATCCCTGCTAGGTGAACAGTAAACTTGGACTATCCTACAAGAATGCTTGTGCTCTTCACCAAAAAATTGATCACAAACTCCCTGGTGTTACTCCGTGGAGACACAGTGTTATTCAGATATCAGGCATCAACAAAGAATTCGAATTATTCATGTGAGATCCTGTCGAATCTATCAAAGAACTGTGGGCTAACCCCACCTATCTTGAGCACCTTACCTATGCGCCCAAATGCCACTTTGCAGATGAAGGGAAATCTGAACACATTTATGATGAGTTCATGAGTGGTGATTGGGCATGGGAAATGCAGGTTTGTGATTTGGTCATCTTCTTTGGCAATGTGCTGAATGTCATTTAGACACTTCTTCCAGATGGCGCTACACTTGTTCCTGTCATTCTCAGCTCTGACAAGACCCAGCTTTGCCAATTTTGAGGTGACAAAACCGCATACCCGGTCTACCTCACTATTGGCAATATCTCGAAGTCTATTTGTCACAAGCCGTCCTTTCACGCCCAGAAGCTTATTGGGTACCTTCCGACTGTTTCTCTAGATGGGAATGATCTTTCAACAGACAATGCCCATCTTATTCATACACAGCTATTCCACTATGCGATGGGAGTTATTACCAGCACACTGCATACTTTATCTCCTACAGATGGGATCGAGCTCACAAGCGGAGATGGGGTAGTGCGCCTCGGGTTTCCTGTGGTTGCTGCCCACCAATCATCCACTTGCCATCGTCAGCGCCGCACTGTGCATTCTTGCCTCTGCCATGGACCTAGCTAGTGCTTCCTCCCTGAGAAGTTTTAACGGTCAACAGTGGAGACAAAGTGGTTCACAGTGCGCAGACTCAGAACAGGACCGCTTACCAGCAAACTAGCTATCGGGGACTCAGGCGGGACGATGAACATGGACCGACAGTCCATCAAGAAGATCACTGGCACTACAACAGGCCTGTAGCAGGTTCATCACAATCTTTCACAGTGCGCCTTGAGGCAGATAGTAGTCCTTCATCAAGCGCACCCTCGCTCAAAAGGGTGATATTCTTCCTGTCATCCCCACCTTGCATGCGCAAACACAAGTGAGAAGGGCCATTGTCGTCTCTTTACCGCTGCGACACTGTAACAGACGTCAGTATGTGGTCATCCTCACCAACATCTCACCCACCTGTAGCCTCAATGACAAGGCCGAGCGCTAGACCCACCACCCTTTCCACCATCCCAAATATTAGACCCTGAGTGCCAAACCTACCTGTACCTGTACCATCTGATGAGGGCCTGCAATGCATCAACGCAGCATTTGGAGCAAACATGGCCAGATTCACCAGTCCACCACCTCACCTAGTGGGTATCACCTTCCCTTCAGGAGCCCCCCAGCGGCTAGGAAGGCTGATCACAACTTTCTGTATGGCTATCAGAGTAGCTTATGATTTGTTCTGCAATCCGAATGCATCACCTGTAGACTCTATCGTTACCCTGCTCAGCCTGGGTGCTTCTTACCACATCATGAACCCGATGCTGGCGGTCAGGTCATTGTTAGCTCACACCGCCGGGGTCTACCCCCACATCACACCCCCACCCTACCTCGACACCCGTATACAATACTCAGGGATGAATTTGAAGGGCACAGACTACTGGCATCAATACCTGCGGCAGGTACGGGAAATCCTACGGCAGCCTTATGCGCAGTGTTTTTTAACCATGGGTGGCATCGCATGGTGACTAGCACTGCAATTTGGACCACCAGAGCTAGTTCAACAAGCTCTTGATGGCCCCTCCTCAGATGTTACTGTTTTGGGGCAAGGCAACATAGCAGAAGGATACTGGGATGGCTCGGTCACCCCAGCAGACTTGGGGACACTTATTGGGCACAGCTCAATGGGTGTAGAATCTTGCTGGCCCCCACAAGATGTTTGGGAATCATCTAGTCGATGGATGGGGTTCTGGACGGATGCAGATGAAAAATGGTTCCAAACCCACCTGTCGAACTTGTCGTCAGGCAATCTTGCTGCTCCCAAGACTTGCAAAAATTGGAAATGCTCCTTCTGGCCTACTGCAGCAGTAAGGTTGGGAGACTCCACTGCTACAGAAATATTTGCCCACAGCTTGCTCTGGGACTTGGTTTATCAGTATATGCCAACCTTCCAGGGCAACTGCCACACACAAGTCAGGCCAGGGTCGGAGGCTAAGTGTAGTGAAACTTGTGTATTTCCACCTTCAATGTATCACAATTTTGTGTTTCTTGTCTTCCTAAGCTCTCTGTTGTTCCTTTTTCGTCACAAAGATTTTTTGGCTGCGGGGACTTGGATAGTTTGATCACTCTGAACCCTGTACTCAGTAGTGGTCCTATAGGATATATGCTTAAATAAATAAGCTGGTGGGTATTCATGCTTTAGAGCAGGTTAGTAGTGCTGGAGATCTCTAATATTAGTATACAACGACTGCAATAAGAAGTCATATATATATCAATCATATATCCTAAGTGATATACTATGCATGAGATAGATCAGCTATGACACACGACATTTATACTCTGGGGAATAAGTATCCTTAATCATATGATATGAGACCTATAGAGGCTTGTGTAATAAGAAGCCATAGGTATATATCAGCTATTAAACACAACATTCATACTCTGGGGAATATGTATCCTGAATCACATGCTATGAGAACTATGAAGGCTATAAATGGCTTTCTAGTGCTAGCTTGTGCTATGTGTGCTTTGTAATGAGAAGTATTAGATATATTGCAATAGGTTTTTTCAGATGTAGAGGACATTATGATAAAATAAATGATTGCTTACCGGTACCCTTGACAGCTTCCTCTTCAGACTCCAAGATAGGAGTCGGTGGACATGCCCGTGAGGTTGCTCTGGTTCTCCTGAGCGGAACATTGGACTTGGACCTCAGGGTTGCTGTCGGGGGAACCTTCTTGGAGGCCAGTGCAGCCCTGGACCTCCGGTGTGCCATCAGCACAGGAGTATCAGAATCGACCGACATCGGTTGGTCGCACTTCACCTTCATGAGGCTGCATTTGGAGCAGGACCTCATGACCTGCCCTCTCTTGCCAATGATGACAAGGCAAGGCTCATCGACACACCTCTTGCAAGGTGGATTGTACTATCACACCATGAGTACTTGGTGACTGAGCAAAGATAGAAAACTCACAGTCTTAGCCCCAGCATCGGCCTTGGCTAGTGGGTGCCCTCTAATGGGCTCAGCAACTTCCTTGGCCTTCTCCTTTCCTTTGCCCTTCACTGGCGTGTGACTGATGGTGTCCTTGGCATGTGTCTGAGAATTGTTGAGGGGTGATAGCTGATGGGCAAAGGTAAATCTCACCTTCTTGACGCCTTTGGTCACGCCCTGTCCATGAGTCAGCGACAGTGTCGATATTGAATTCACCAAAGTGCTTTCCTTGGACTTCAGCAGACTGGCCGGCTTTGCCACCACAATGGTGCCTCCTGGCTGCCCATCCTCATCCTTGGTGTCGGAGAGCAAGGCTTTGGACGAGGGCCTTGAGACCTTGCGCTTCTTCTGGCCCGTCTCAGCGCTTGGGCTGTCCTCTCGGGATCTCCAAGTCCCACAGGCAGGCTGTTTGCCCTTGCCGGCCATCATGCCAGGCACAAGAAGATTGTGCTGGTGCCCGGCGGTAGGGAGTGATTCAATTGGAGGGACTGACATTGGTGCAGGGGCTGGGGCTGGGGCTGAAGCTGGAGCTGGGGCAACTTGAGGTGCAGGTTCAGGTGTGCTTCCTGCCACTGTCAAGATGTTGAGCTGTGAAGATAGACAGAATGACTGCCGACTCACCATATCCAACGGTCTTTGGGAAGAAAGGGTGGGACTCCCTCTGAGTATTGTTATCCCGCACCTGGACCCACTGTGGGGCGATGCCTTGGTTCATGGTTGATCTGACCTCAGCTGCAGCAGACAGCAGCAACAGCGAGATGACCGAGGCATTTCTGCCATGCTGCTGAAGGGCAGTGGACTGTGAAGGGTTAGTGAGCAAATGAGAACATCGGGAATCAGAAACTTACCACTAGCCAGGCGATTTTATGAGCTTGGTCAATGACCATGCTGCCATCTGCTTCATGAATTTTAATCCGGCGGAGTGCATGGCACAAAGACGTGTCGGCGACCGCCAAAGCCTGGTTCGATTCGAGTGTTGAAGACATTGTAGAGATGTAATAGTAAAAATGTAGAAGATAGGATGAGTGTTGACTCTGTTATATTGCGAACGACAGTGTGTGGATGTGGATTTGACTTCACAAAAATGAAGTCCACAAATTCCACTCGTGTTGTCGGCAAAATGTGATGCTGCCAGGACCTGCCGAGATGGGTCCACACTTCGAATCACACCAAATGCACTTCTAATCACACCGAACAATACCAACTGGCAGCACAAAATTTTCGAAGCCATTGCCAGCACCATGGATTCCCACGAGCATCCAATTGACAAAGCTCGGTGGTTACAAGATGAGTGCATCAAAGCCGACCGGAATTTCTTTGTCATGTGGGATCAGTGGGTGCCACCAGAGTTGTGGCCAACTCCATCCCCTCAAAAAGACATGATTCCTGTTGGTCTCAACAAATTTTGCATTCGACCTAAACTACCAACTACATCCCACACAATTCAACCAAAGAAACATCCATCCTCAGTCATGCAAACACGACCAGATCGTGCAGACGCACTTTCCAAGAAATATTTTGGCCATGAAAGTAAGTCCCCTATTTAATTGACCTTTGTCAATTGTTGACCACATGTCAGTCTTTGACATGTGCTGGAGCACTGAAGCCGATGACCCACCAACCATGGAGACGCCGACTAGAACATCATCAGCCAGTGAACACTTTAGAGGTCAAAGTAAGTTGTGTATTGCCATATGATCCCCCATTGTTGATCCATTTTCCAGCATTCGACATGTGCTGGGACACTGAGGTTGATCTGGCGCCAATCGTGAGTGAGGATGCAGCGAGACCTGCTGCCGCAGGTCAGTACAATCTTTGTGGGGACAATGAACTGGACCCATCAAAGGTCGACTCACCGCCAATAGTGGAGCCGGTGACTATCGAGACTCCGACCATGGATGTCGCCATACCATCGGCAGCTGGTCAATATGATATGTGTTGGGAGGACTGGCCGTCTGCATCAGCAGTGGGTTATGAAGGTGAGTATCAGTCATGTACATTGCCATTCAAGACTGACTATTTCTCAGCCAATTTTGACATGTGCTGGGAAGATTCACCATTGGGCGGAGGTGATGACCTTCGCACTGGTGGGACCACTGCACCGGCAATCAACTTGGTCAACTCAGGTTGGTCGGAAATCCTTTTTTGAGTTGCCAATACTGACAGTCTGGTGCAGCTGCTAACACACAGCAGTTGTCTGAGAGTCACTCCGCTGGCACTCAGGCTTTCTACGACATGGGCTTTGGCCATGGCTCACCGGATACATCTCTAGTACCAAGAGATGGCTCACCGAGCAACATGTTTGAAACCACCGAGGATTTGCTGCATCGAGCAACTCTGAGGCTGGAAAGCATCGACACTTTAATGAGTACATTCATATTTCAGCTCATCCTCACTGCCATCACATTGACCTCCACTCGACAGGAGATGACCTAGGACACACCTCAGCCATGGATGGTATCACGTCTCCAAGAGACATCATGCATGCCAACTGGGATTTGATATTGGCATATTGGGATGCGCGCGACCGATTGATTGAAGCCAGCGAAGATGTTGTCAGGATGCAGCATCTGATGAACATACAGCGCCAGATTGATGATCCACTGCATGTGTTGCCACTGGCAATGAGGAAAATGGGCAGGGGACATTCCCCATTCCAGTAGTATATAAGACTGAGTACTGATACCAATGGTTGTTAATAAATGACATGTATATACCAAGATCATTCATGGCTGGGGAGAAAGCTATGCACAAATATCAGTCAAGTGATATATACTGAAGCCGTTCATACCGTGAGCAGCTGGCCGATGAACCCCATGAGACCGCCGACAACTACACATAGTCGGCATATCTCTTGGGCTTTTGACAAGGTCTGGCGCTGTTAGGTACCGTGCCGACTCAGGAAGCAGAGGGGTCGGGGCTTGGCTTCAGCTCTTGTGCTGCACCCTTAGCCGAGTATGCGCCCCGGATTTGGAGCGGGTCTTACATTGTCTGACGATAGGATGAGTGGACTGCTTGGGTCCGCTTTGTGGGTCGGGGGGTAGGAGCTACTAGCGGCGGGCTGACTAGGAGCGGAGCGGAGAAGGCGGGGAGTGATGCGGAGGGTGGGTAGGAACAGGGGGAATGTTTGGTAGGGGCGGGGTAATAAGGGAAAGACTTTAGAGCACAGCTCTAAGTTGGAGCAGAGGGTCGGAGGATCGGAGGTGACAACAAGTTGAGACTTGTGTCCAGAGGAGGCAAGGTCCTACTGAGAATTCTCACAAGATGTAACTGCGAGAAGACAAGTAATATTAAGACTGAGGAAAATATCTAAGTACATGATATGTTATATACTACTATGTATGAGGCAGTGACCAGGATAACTATGTTGTAAAGCTATATACCAAGGATATAATTTGTAAGTACTTACACAGGTGAAGACATAAGTCGGGGCAGATATCAATATGTATGCATTGGGTCAGTGATCGAGCGGTAATAGGAATTACCAGTGATCTGGAAGTAAGGGTCTATGTACCGAAGGGGAAAGCATATATCTAAAAGGGGAAAAGAAGTCCAGTTGAATGGAGAGATTATGGAAGGGGACTGGTTGAGCAGTTGAGCGGAAGTGTAGGGCGGAATGCAGACTTGTGATTGGACGGAGCGGAGGATGGATGGAGCGGAGGGGGTCGGAAAGCGGAGCGGATATCAATATTGCAGTGGTCGGATCAGGTATATGACAGGCGCCTAGCAAGTCGTCAACCTTACTTCTGGTGTGCTTTGCTGGTGCATCAGAGAGTGGGTATGCTGCCAATCGGGTAGCCCTAGTCTTCTTCGGCGACCGGGCTTTGACTGACAGTGATGCATCCCTGGTAGCCCTAGTCTTGTTTGGCGTCCGGACCTTTGCTGCTGGGGATGCCTGAATGTGTTCCAGACCCCAACAAGTAGAATGTGTGCCAAAACCACAGGCATGCTGACCAGCATGATGAACTCCAGGAGAATGATATCCAGTGTTTGTCACACTGCTGCCACAATCTTCATCTTCTGATCCCTTGGTCGCCGGATCTACAATCAGTTGGTCTTCATGTGCTGGGTCTGTCCAGGGTAAGATGGTGGCAGGCTCAACTCTGATGCTCTTCACCAAGCTCATCGGCAGTGGTCGGTCATCCAACTCTGACTGGCGTCTGACTTGATCGCTGAGTTCTGCATTGGTGTAACTAGATTCTTCATCGGCAGAACTGATGTAAGCCCGTTTGATGGATCTCGGTCGACCTTTGGGATGTCCGGGCAGTGACAGTGCAACCGTGGTCCATGACTTTTTGGTCAGCATGGGCTGCATGGCCTCATTGTCGGCATCACCATCAGAGTCATCAGACTCTTTGCCGACCAGTGGGTGCATCTTGCCCTTGTCATCAATCTAAGCCTTGAACTGGAATGTTAGGCTGACTTGGTTGTCCTGTCGGTCCAACCAACATTCCAACAAAGAGATGGCTTTGTCCCGGTGCATTTTGGACGGCTCCATGATCTGTGTACCATCTGGCAGGTATGTACTGGAGATGAATCTTGACTGTCCCTTCATTATGTTGCTCCAAGGAACTGGGACCTTCAGCTTTCCACAGCACATTCCTGTGGTGGCGGGTATCAGATGATGGTGCAGGTTTTCTGATGTCAGGCTTACTATAATGAATGGTGAGGAATGACCGAATGATGCCCTTCTTGGTGTCGAGCGAGAAACCATCAATATCTGGCAAGATTGGCAAACCCATGCAGTCCAGGTCAAACTCATAGTATGGTTTGGAACCCCAGCGAGTGCCTCTGAGCAGCATGCCATCCTGGTCTTGATCCTGATCTTGGTGGACGTGACACAGATTAGATGGGGGAACATCTGACATGGTCTTGAGACTCACTGAATACATCACCAATGAAATCTTCCCATGCCGGTAAGATGACCTGCCAGTCCTTGCACTTCATGAAGCTGGAGCCCTTGCTGAGCTGTTCATTGAAGTCAAACCTGCCAAACTATGTAAACACAATGACCAACTGACCAACCAACCAAATGAATGCATGAACTTGCCCAGATGTAACGAGGCTGCCCTGGTCATCCTTCCAGGATCCCAATACAAACAGTCTCATACCGGCTTGAGTAAATATCTCCTTGGCAAAGTGCTTGATCATCTTTTCACCCTTCTTCTTTGCCATCTTGGCCTGGACTGCAGCATCAGGTGCTTGATTGGTCCACTTGTCAGCCTTAGCCCGGGCTTCCTCTAACTCATTGTCATCCAGCCCTTTCATGATTGCGGTCATCTTGGGTTGATACCTCCTGAAAACTTCTTTCTGCTCAGGCTTTTCCCCGGTCTCCTCCTCAATTTCTTTTCGTATTTGCTGAAGGATGTCGGCCTTCCATTCCTCTTCAATGACTTGGCGTGCCATCCATTTCTTTTGGAGCTTTATCGGTGGTTTGGCATTGGCCTTGTGTTTCTTGTGATTGTGGAACCACTGCCTGTATTTCTGTCCACTGTCACTGCAATGCAGCATGACCCAACATCACAGCCGAAACACTTACCTCTTTTCATTGCTTCAAGAGCTCTTTGTCCATCTTTGGAGCAAAGAGTTTGGCCTCCCTGGCAGCTGCTTTAAAGATCTGTCGTCATTCGGTCCCATCTGCCTTTTCCCAGTCCTCAACATGGGACTGCAGAGCGGTTGTCTCTTGGTCATTCAACCGAGGCTGATCCCCTGTCTTTATCTTCATCCGAGCCATGTCACAGTAGGTAGCTTAGAGTAAAGGACCTGCAAATCTGAATGCAGGAGAGGGTTGATATGGTTGATGGAACAGAAAATGGAAGGAAGGGTCGTATGAGCAATGATTCAGATGAATGACATACCAGTGTAATAATTGCACATAAGGGCTAGATTGTACCAAATAGTGTGACCCCCATTGCTACATGACTTATCGAGCGGTGCAGATGCATGGGCGGGTATGTCAAGTGAAGTCGGAGGTCCTGAAGTGCTCTGGACGTATTATATACACAATCACTATAAACCATTGACATCATGCCATGAATATCCTTGCTGATGATTCGTGTGAGGTCAAAGTGACTATTACATATGATGCATTGCATTTGGCAGTTGCATGTAAGCACGGTACTGTCCCAAAGTCTAAACATCCCATTCCCAGCAACACATCCAAACAATCACAGCAGAACTTTGGAACATGGTCAAGTCAGAGCCAAAGGCCTGGAGTCCTCTGAAAACATCCTCTTTGGTTCGATGGGAGGACAAACGAACATCTAGGGGAGATAAAGGACGATTTGTCAAAGCTTGACGTTCCAACCAAACCCAATTGGTTGATTCATCCCCCAGAAAATCACCTACCAAGCAAGGATCCGCCAGAGGACTTCATGTGGAGGGTGACTACAGTGCAAAATGGGAAAAACCGACCTGCGCCACAGCACAAACACAGTTTGCTTTCTACATCACCCCATCCCATCTGATTTATACCTAAAGTGGTGGAATTGCCTCTGTTCGAACCTAGCTACAAACTATCTGGTTACTTTGTTAAAATTCTTAGATTTCAAAAAATGATGATCTCAAATTGGGACTTCCCACACCACTAGCACCGCCACCTTCCTTTTTTTAGTAACCGCTCCTCCTTGCCGTTACTTGCAGTGAAGAAAAAACATGTTCGCGGCTTCCGCTGGACCATCGCAAGTGTATGAAGTACATGTACTCATTCGGGGTTATTCAATATAGCCATATCCATCATGATTCCTGCACCAACTTTGCAATGTGAGCGGTATTTCTTCACTGCATATTCAGCTTGTTTAGCATTAAGGCCCTTCCTGCATGGGCACAAACACTGAGAGACCAGACACGAACTATAGTCTTTAAATGTGCACCTATAGGTGTCCATATAGCACCATGTTTTCTGATAAAATGCCCGGATAACTTTGGTAGGGCATGCATCCAGTAACTCAGGAACAAGTCTCCTTGCAGTTGGAAATGTGCCATCTGCAAGTGCTCGTAAGCCTGTTGGACTCGTCAAAATATCAGCAGATGAAACAGGACTGTTCAGCTCACAGATTTTGACCCATCCCCAATACATCTCAATTGGATTGAGTTCACAATGGAACTTCGGCAGAAAATAACACTTGTGCCCAGCAGCCTCAATGACAAGCTGCAACTGAGGCTTCTCTGCAAGAAAATCGGCCTGGAGTGAGAGTGCCTTGCGCATGCAGTATGTTGTTGACTCGTTTGGACAAAAACTGTCTTCAGGAGCTGCATTTTCGTCCTCGGCATCATCAAATAGTGACTGTGCAGCAGCACTTCAAGCAAGTGCGTCATGTTCCTTTTGTGACATCTTGCCTGATGCGCAGTCACCAATTAGGGCTTTCCCACCATTCACAGCACACAAACTGTCCCAAAGGCCACACTCTTCAAGCACAACCTTCATCCCTTTCGGTTGGCCACAGAATTCATAGAATTGATGGTCCGATGGCAAATCCTCCATGAAACACATATCCTGAGCAATTCCACAAAGAGCAGGGTTAGGATTGTCTGCAGGAATAAGGGTGGAATGCATTCGACGCTGCTTGCCACCAGGTTTGACATTCATCTCATTTGCATTTAGTGCATCTGCAGCAAAAGCACCATGAGCCGCAGATTGATCAAAGAAAATTCAGCGACAGCGCCAGGATAAGTCCGCTTGAAGAGGGGAATAACTTGTTCGACCTAACAATTAATTAGTGAACATAAATGTAATGTGAATTATTTTGTACTTGTTGAACAAGCATCTCAGCTGTCCACCAGCCATCCGCATTCTTTCCCAGAAAAATTATCTTGCGAGAATCGCAACATTTGAGGCATTTGTTCACAGGCAATGAATTGTTCTCGGCTATCTAAGTAATGACATTAGTCAAAGAACCACAAACGTGAGAGTTGAAGAAACCTGTTCTTGCGACAGACTCAATCGACCTGTCTCTTCTGTAATAAAGTCTGACACATGAATTGCTTTCCCTTGACCCTTCTTTTGCAGTGGCATTTTCCCCTCCTTTGTCCAAACCCTTTGCTGCAGTTCATTGGACCTGAATATGCTCTCGTCATGATGCACTGGGACATGTTTTCATTCGCCAGGGAGCAAGGTTGGCTCTATGACCTCTAAGGTTGTGTCATCATACTCGTTCCACAGGAGTCTGTCCTCGGCCACTTTGGCCAAAAAAGCTTTTCAGTATTCCACAACATCAGCACGCTCATGGCCATCAACATATACCCCCTTCTGTGCACTGGTGAGTTCATAGCCTAATTTCTTCTGCAATAGGATCAAGGAATGAGGCAGCCTCAGGCACTATGTCTGAGTTATTGTTAGATGTAATGGTGTCTGACAGCAGCTCAGGGGCTGTGTCATGGGATCGTGTTGGTGGTGCGGGTGGCTTCAGGGGATTGACCCCTTGATCTTCTATGTCAGAAGGTGTGTCAGACTCAGAGGATGTGCTATCAGACTGATCAACCTCAATAGTAGGCTGAGCAGTATGTGGTATGGAAGTTGAGCATTGAAAGAAATTGCTGAGTTTTGCTGTCCCAATTGCTGCTTTGCAAAGTTCGCTTTGCTTCCGATAGAAACTGGTTCAGCTTGTACCAGTGTAGCTGCCCTTGCCTTTAAGAGGGGCAGTATTGAGATGGTTGACAGGTTTGGCAAATACTTTCTGCCAGAATTCTTGAGCAGCAGTTAGTATCTGGTGAGCTTCGAACTCTTCGATACCCTCCTCCTCATCAGAAACCTCACAACTCTGCATGTCACCAGTACTAGCCCTTCATTTCTTGCCACCATCAATATAATCCAAGCTGTTTTTGACCACATGACCATACTCTTCTCTCTTGCCCTCAGAGTCAGAGATGGCACCAGAGTCTGTGATGCCATGCTCTGGCAGGCTGACAATCCAACCTTCACCATCCGAGACTGAACATGAATCTTCATCAATATAGTCTGGGTCGTCCACATCCTCAACACTGTCAATGTAATCTTTACTGAAGAATTTGCTGCCAGGAACTTGGTGAGCCTTGGCCCACCGAGCCTTCTTGTTTTTCTGGGGCATGTTATGATAGGAGATTGGCGTGCCAGTAGAAAATTTTGAATTTCACAATCAAAATCGGGACTGCTTACATAATCACCGCCAAATTTTTTCATTGCAGATTCATGATCTTTTGACCCACTTGCAGGCCAAAAATGAAAAAAAATCCTTATCGCACCAAGATTGAGTCCATAACAGAGAGGCCTATTCTATCTGATTTGCACTGTATGAACACTATGACCTTGCCCAATGCAACTTGGAGCTGTGTCAGCTTCACAAGTCCATGGCAAACTCACCATTCACTTGCCTTGTCACATTCACTGACACCGAGTATCAAGAGTCAAAATGACTATCTGTGTGAGTGGCAGTCCAAGACCAACAACTACTTGGACTTGGGTCCACCTTCAAACAGAACCTGCTCAGTCTGTCCAAAGGACGGGGTCTACAGATGTCACAGCTGCATGGCCGAGCCACTCTTCTGTACTCATTGCTGTCGGATGACACACAGCCATATGCCATTCCATCGGATCAGTCAATGGACTGGGGGATTCTTTGAGGATACTTCCTTGGCCAAGATTGGCCTGGAAATACACCTCAGTCATGCCGGCCAGCCCTGCCCTGGTCTCACGGTGAGCTGGGACTACAGTTGTGTGCTTGGATCTGTGTGATTGGATTGATGATGTACTATAGCTAGTCTCTCGTACGTGTATATGCTGTCTTACTAAGCTATGGAGACCTCCGCTAGCTTAAGTCTCTGGACTGCTATCTTGGGACCCCTGGTCCATGCACCCCCCTAAAAATGACCGGCACCACCCTTGACGCCACTCTCACCTATCTTCTCCTTTGCTTTCTCTATCTCTCTCTATCTTCTTCATCATTTTCTTTGTTGTCTTCTTCATCATCTTCTTCAACCTGTCTTGTTTCTTCTTCGTCTGCGCTTCCTTTGTCTCTGGTGTTTTCTTCGTTCTCCTTGTTGATTCTATCCTCTTTTAACTTCTTTTCATGCGCTTCTTGATTCTTCACTAATTCTGTGCCTTGTCGTGGTGCGAACACTCTCAATCTCCTGGCCATGAAGTCTCCTGGCAGTTGACTTCCTTTGAGACTTTCCAATGTGTACAAATTTAGTGCTTTTGCTCGCACTCTTCGCGGGATGGACCATTTTGGTATGAGTTTTCACTCCGTTTTGAATGTATAATCTAGATTGTTACAGTAGACTTGAACCAATTGACCGACTTTGAATGTTACTTCACCTGGTGCCCATTGTAATACTTTTTTGTCGAATCTTGCTTTCCGCTTGATGGCGTGTCACACGACTTCATCATATCCATCTAGTCTTTGCTGTTTGACATATGCTATTTGCGCTAGCGCTTCTGAGGTACGCAATGTTGATGTGCTTTCCTCTAGTGTCGTTTGCGGTGTGTTGATGACAAGTCCCAGTAACAGTTCCTTTGGAGAAAATTTCAGCGCCGGCAATAAACAATAATTAAGGGCGTGGACCGCATCATCGATGTGGTCTGGCCATGACTTAGGCAGTTTATCCCATGTGATCTCTTGCTGCTGGTCTTCTCCTATCTCCGGCACACACAATCTCTTTAGTATATGTAGCAATAATTTGTTCGTACCTTCTACTAACCCATTGACCCATGGTGAGTATGCTGCTACTGTGTGCAGTTTGCATTTTCTTGATTCGCAGAATGCTCGTATGGCATCATTATTAAAATGCTTGCCTCCGTCTGCCATGAATGTCTCTGATGTAGTAAACACATTGAAAATGCTGGTTAGGCTGTCGATTGTGGTCTTCGTGCTGCCTGCTGACTTGTATTTGAAGACCCACATATGCTGCGAGAATGTATCAAGATATACTCTGAGTGTATTGTATCCGTTTTTTCCTTTGGGCAGGGATAAGTAATCTCCTACTAGAAGTTCAAACAGGTGTCTCCTAGTTATGGGTTCAAACAGTGAGTGTATGTGTGTTGGGCCAAAATCTTTGCACTTAGCACAATCTCTGATAGCTTCTAAAATTGACGCATTGAGTTTGGGGCTCCATATTTGATCGAGGAGTGCGATTTTGATTGTGTCCCTTCCCCAATGGCCCCCTTCTACGTGTGTTTTCGCTGCTAGTACTCTCGCTTCCTCTCTCAATATACACTCGATATTCACTCTGGCTCTCATTGTCGTTCCTACATGTATTTTCCAAAGTTTTTCTTCCTCTATGATGTATTGCGATGCTCTGTGTCGTGCTTTCTTTTTCTCTCGTATGTCTTTGCTCTGATCTAGGTTGTATATCACGTCTACCACTTCCAGAAAGACTGGTTCTTCTTTGAATCGTTTGCGGAGGTTTTCGATTTCTGTGCTGATTAGCTCTACATGCATGATATCATTGACTAACCCTGTTCTTGCTTCCCAGTCTTCCCGTACTGTCCACTCGCTCCCATCTCCTCTAATTGCTTGTGTGTTTTCCCATTTTCTGCTAAGGCTGTCAGCTACTACATTCAACTTACCTGGTACGTGTCTGATATCCACAATGTGATATGCTAAAATCCCCTCTCTCCATCTAGCATGCGCTACATTCATGTTTGGATTGAGCAAAGTGTCCTTCATTGCGCTACAATCTGTTTCGATTTCGATGGGAAATCCCCAAATGATGCTTGAAAATTTATCTAATCCGAATTTTAGCGCTGCAAATTCTAACAGGTAGGATTTGTACTTCCTTTCCGTTGGCAATGTTAAGGTCATGCTCAAAGGAGAGGTTACTCAAAGGGCTTCGGCTTCAGCTCATGCGCTGCGCCCCTTACCTGAGTACGTGCCCTTTAATTTCCGGGGGACAGAGGGGAAGTCCGACAGAAGTCCGGGGAGTTCTGGAGGACTAGTGTTGGTGGAGTTTGGCAGAACTCCAGAAGGCTTATGCGGGGATGGAGTAAGGCTACTACGGAAGTCCAGAGTAGAAACAGAACAGAGGTTAGACTACCCTAAGGTAGAGCCAGAGAATTAGTCCTAAGGTTTAACCCCTAAGACTTGGAGGTGGACAAGAGATGAGACTCAAGTCTGGAGATTGCAGGAATGAGCAGAACTAAGATGATATTTGAACTGAGGAGTTCCGGAGTATTATAGGGGTTTATATACTGTAGGTACCATGTAAGTAAATCAGTCAGCAAAGGTAAGGGCTATGTACAAAGCATGTGGAAAGTCTATTAGTAAGTGTAACAGATCAAAGCAGTGAAGTCGGAAATGAAGTAAGAATGGACGGATCAGTAAGCATAGTGGAATAGGACATCACCGGTAACCGGAGCAATAGCTAATCTAAAAGGAGTTAGGGGTGCGTGCAGAGATGAAGGCAGAGCACTGGGTGGAATAGTAAGACGGAGAACCGGACTTGAATAGAGTAGATCCGGAATTCCGGATCCGGAGGTACGGGATATGACAGGCGATGTTCATTTTGATGCGAAGCCTAGTGGATGCATTCGTTCTACCCATTTTCCCCCTGGTGTTTGTGTCCTTACTCTTTGCGATAGTACTGCTGCAAAACCTTCTAGGCACCCATCTGATGTTATGACAAAATGTGAGCCATCATATCTTGGCGCCTGTAATACTGGTCTTGATGTAATGGCTGTTTTGAGGTCTAAAAATGTGTTAGTGTGTTCCTGCTTCCAAATGGTACTTAGCTTAAAGCCGCTCATAGCTTGTCAGTATGTTGCTTTTGACATGGAGCTGTCTAATGGCACTTTGAGGAGTAAATTACCCAGCGGTCCTTCTCGTTTCGCATATGTGCTTATTAAAGTGCAGTGAAATCCCGTGAGGCCTAAAAACGAGGCTAGATTTTGTGCATCCTGCGGTTGTGCCCAATCTACGATGGCTGTAAGCTTCGTTAGATCTGGTTTCACTCTGTCTCTCCCTATTGTCCCTCCTGCAAATTCGGTTTCCGCCATGCATAATCTGGTCTTGCTTGGTGCTATTGAGAATTGGCATTCTCGAAAGCACTTGAATAATACCGTCAGATTATCTATCATTTCTCTAAATGTACTTGCCGCGCAACCTCCGTCATCCATGAACAATTCCATGAAGTGCGTAACTAGCAAATCGTGTAATCTTGTTGCTAACATTTCACAGAAAGCCATTGGGGCTCCTGTGATTCCCATCGGCATTCTTCGGTACCAGAAATATCCACGTCCTTCAATATAGAACGCCAGGTATGGACGCCACTTTCCTTGTACTTCTATCGCATAATATCCTGCTGCGAAGTCAAATATTGAAATGAAGTGGTGACCACTCAACCTTTGTTGTTTCACTAGAATGTCTCCCTGCAGCATCAGTGCTACTTCCGTTACTTTGTTGAGCTGCACAAAGTTCTGGCAGACTCTCCATTTCTTCGGGATCTTCTCTGCTGCTTCATCTGCTGTTGGCTGTAGTACATCTCTAGGAGGTAATTCAAATGCTGGTTGTAGTCCCGCTGTTCTATGCTGGTCATTAACTCATTGCTTGAGTTCGTCCTATGATAAACCTCCTGCTTCATGCGCTCTTTGGGCTATAACCGTTGTGGCTGTGCATTTGATGAGTTCTGGTGGCGCTCTCTCTATTACTCCTGCTGCCAGCATTTCATTCACTCTTTCATTGTAGAATCATGACTGTTCTGGCGTCAATGGGTGTTGGTGCATCTGCAAATTGAAGACTGCGTTGTCCGGGACGTTTAGGTTCAGCTCCACTCCTGGTATTGGGATTACTTCTTTCAACGCTAACGCGAAGTTGTCCGTGCTCTCTTTTACTAGTTGTTCCAGCTCCTCTTGCTCTTCTTTTGTTAAGTCATCTCCAAAGGTTATCTGTCTTAAGATCTCTTTGATTCTTGCTGGATTGAAAGGATCTGTTTGATGGGTGTGTAACGTTGCATTCCCTTTGCTTGGTCCTAACTCTGGGAGTTCTTCTAGAATTAGGTCTTCTTCTTCTTGTTCTAATATCACGTCGATGTTCATTGAATGTTCTATGATTGTTGGTGCGTCAATTTTTTGTTTTCTTTCTGATATTGAATTCTGTTTGACTTCCCTCGCAGGGAGCTTTTCGCTCCCCCCTGACGTTTCTTGCTTTGCTTTTTGCTTCTGCTCTCTATTCTCTACTCTCTGCATTGTCAGCCTCCATTGTCCCATTGGTATACTTGACGGGCTTGTCATCTTCGATGGTATTTCTTCTCATTGTTGTTTCTCGTCTAGTGCTAGGTTGATTGTACCCTCTTGTTGCATCATTCAGTGGTCTGCAACTTGGTTGCTTAGTTTCGCTCTGTGGATCCCGTTTGAAATCTTGATTTCATCCGTCTTGTAGTCGTGAACTGCTGTGAATGCTTGAAGCGCTGGTTTTCTGAACAAAAAGCCCCAACTTCCTCCACTGTCGAAAACTTTGAATGTTCCTTCTGCTATAACTCCTTCGATCTTGATGTTCCCCATCCATTTCACAATTGATTTGATGATGTTCCCATCTGCCATTCATAATCGTTTGTCTGATTGACCATAGTTGCATAGTTGGTGCTTGATCTTCTGGAATATTGATGTGCACATGACGCTAACCATTGCTCCATCATTGAATAGCGCCTTAATCCTGATTATTTCTCCCTTGGGCCCTTCTAGTTCGATCTGGTGTGAATTGGTGATACATGTGACATCCTTAGCTACGACTTCAGCATAGAGTTCAGGGCTATCAATCCTGCTCTTTTCCTCACATCCTGCCTCCACACATGCGAGGACTTCAACTCTGCCCTGTGTATTCTTAAGACTTTGGGTCTACATATTGCTTTGATTTATGTCAACCCGTTCACTTTTCCCTGTTCCTCTGAGACTTCCTCGATCCATGCTGATGTTGTCTCATGGTTTCCATTGATGACTAGAGATATAGTTGTCGCTGTTGCTCGATTGAATGCACCTAATACTTTGCTTGTGATTGCTCGCCACGCTGCTTCTTTTCGTGAAAGCCTCTCTACATGATCCATTGGTAACACACAGCTTCGACTGTTGTGCCTGTGCATTCCGCAGTTAAAACATTCACTTGATGTGATAGCTGCTGTCCCCGGTTTGAGCGGGTACCCTGTTTTGTGCGATACTCTGGTGTTTTTGCCCCATTTCACATTCCATTGCACGATCTGCGTCGTGTATGCTGCATGACCTGTTGGTATGTCTGGGTGGTGCGTGAATGAGGAGACTAGCTGTCATGTTGCATTCTTCATCTCTTCAGTTATTATTAGCAGCTGAGGGCTCGTTGCTGGTTGACGACTGATGGTGTGTTGGGTAAACTGATTTGTTTGTTGCATTGGTGTATGCGTGAGCGTGTTGTTGTTCATTGCCATATTGCAAGGCTTTGATGGGACGATAGACATGCGAGAGAACTGGTTTTGGATTGCTGTGATGGGGTTTTGCACGGTACTGCATTGTTGTAATCGAGCTACGTCTGCATGCAACTTGGTAACTTCGTGCTCTTTTTGCTATGCTGTTCTTTCTTCTCCAAGAGCCTATTACCCTTCAATTCTTTCACTTCTTTTGTAAACTCCGCCCAGTTTTTGTATTTGTCGTCCTTCAATAGATCTTTGATGATGTTCGGTAATCCTCCTCTAACTTGCCAGATCATCGCTGTGCTCGCCTCTATTCCTGCACTCGTTGCTAGCTGCTGCGCTTTTGTTGCCCATGCTTCATGTGACCAACATTCTCAGTTGTATAACGTGGTCTTGGTCCCCATGTCCACATCTGTTAACCTGTGTTCTAGCAGTTCTCTCTCCTGATCCGCTTTCGTCTTCTTTGCTATCTCCATGGGAGGCCAACGTGTTTCGAATGCCATGATGAACAACGTCCATGTTGCTGTTTGTGTCATTGTGAGTCCTTTAAACCACACTTCCACTTCTGACCCTGTACCCAGATAGTCGCCAAATGCTTCCGATTTGTCATTACTGGCTATCGTCGCTTGCTGCCACATAGCTCGATTAAACGATTTGAGAAAATCCACTGGATTCTCTGATTTGCGTTCATTGCCATGAAAGATTTGGGGTGTTTCCGTGGGCATACTGTGCTTGAGTTCTGCAAGCACGAAGAATGCACTGAGGTTGTAGTCTGGCGTTGTAGGTATGGATGTGATTGGCTCTGCTTTTCTGTAGCAACTTGGTGTTTCGCTTTCAAACTGAGATAGTTTGAGTTCTAGGTCTGGGACTTCTAACTCAGGAGATGAAATAGCATTGCACTTTTTGGCACTATCAAGGCTGGTCTGCGGTGAGCTGGGAGAATGTTCTGATGTGTCTAGTGGGGATGATGCTGTAGAAGTTTCTGTCGACCAATTGATTTTTAAATGTGCGTTGGTTATTGCTCGACCCATTTCTGTTCTGGGTCTTAAGCTGCTGGGCATCAGTTTCTACTGGAATTCCACATAAACAAGTGAGATAGAACACAGCCCTTTTTGAATGCACGCAGGTGTCTTGATAACACCTGCTGTCTATCTTGGCCTTTGGGTGTAGTGTGACATAATAGCGCTTGCTTGCTGCTTGCGTGTTTTTCTGCAAATAGTATTTCTGCTTGGTTTCTGCTTTTGCACGTTCTGATGCTGTGGCTAAGAACAAGGCTGAAGCTAAATTGCTGAATTCTGATTGATTGCTAATTGTTTCTAAAGCAAGTTTGTTTTGAGTCGAGATCGCTCTGTTCACCAAGATGAGCTGGGACTACAGTTGTGTGCTTGAATCTGTGTGATTGGATTGATGATGTACTGTAGCTAGTCTCTTGTATGTGTATATGCTGTCTTACTAAGCTATGGAGACCTCCGCTAGCTTAAGTCTCTGGACTGCTATCTTGGGACCCCTAGTCCAATGGACAAGTGGTGCGACACAGATGATGAAGGAGACCATTTGACTGAGGGCCCTTGGATACCCTTGGTCAACGATCCTCGGACAACCACGGTGGTGGACACGTCGGGGCTCCACTCCCTGATGATCAAATTCTGTTGGTGCACCAACACACTAAGCCCTGACATGCAACTATTTGAAATGGGCCTCTTCCCGGCATCTTTCACTTCGCCGAAGACGGCATTCACATTTGCGGTGTTGGATGACTTCCTGTTGGACAACCTGGAATGCGAGACTTCCGCCATGAACTACTACAGTAAATTGAGGAGAGTTACTTCCAGCGTGTTTCCTCATCTGGTTCTGGTGAGTGACTTTCATGTTCTCTGCTGCATCACTCACAATGGCCAGCAGGACCGATACAGGGAATTGGTGAGGGTGGGTAGGCAGTGGAAGCAAGTAAAACAGCCCAAGTGGCATGGGTTCGGCCATGAGAAGAGAAAGCCAAAGGCAGGGGAGCTTGCACTCTTCTGTCCTGCATGTCCACAGCCTGGGGTGAATGTCAATTTGTCAGACAGGAATGGGTCCGACCCTGCATGGTTGTATTCAAGATCTTTGGTCATGGATGGCAATTTCAAGGCCGAACATTTGTATCCGGCCAATCTGACTGATGAGGTGGCATTGACCGATGGCTTGGGCTTCATGGTCGGTGATGCCTGATACAAAATGCATCTCGCTGAGGCGCAGGACACAGTGCAGAGATCAGATTGCAACAACCACCAAGTGGTCAACCAGGCAAATGCATTGCGCCACAAGCTCAAGGCAACAGGGATAGGCGGGTGTGCTTGCACCAGACATGGGTGTTTCATTCCCCATTCAATGGTGGACTTTCAGAAGGGGGAAAGGTTCGCCGTCCAATATACTGGGTCGGCCGAGTTGAGCTGATGCGTCGGTCAGACAAAAGACCAATGAACATGAATTATGCGCTGTGCCAAGCTCTGGGGTACAACACCGATGGGATCGACCGTGCATTGACATTCTACGACATTAACTGTCAATACCACAAGCATCTCAACCGGTTGAGGAGTCGCCCTATCTTGACCTTCCATGGGGCATGGAGATTGTTCCAGGCATCGGGCTCTGGCATGTCCACGGCCATCAAGACAAATGCTACATACGGTACACATCCAACTTCATCACTGGTGCAGCCAGGATTGACGGTGAAATCATGGAGACCCTTTGGGCGCCTTTGAACATAATATTGCCGTCGGCAAGAGGGATGTCCACCCCTCACCAAAAGGAGTGTTTGGACTTTCAAATGAACAACTGTAATTTTATGAAGATGATACGCATGAGTGAGCAATATTATTTGACTGAGTGCTTAAATCTCAATGCATCTAGGCAAATTCCTTTGCCGAAAATTCAAGGAAGCTGTACAGGGAGTCCAAGACAGCCAATATGCATTTGAACAGTTGACTGAGACTGCCGACGACGACACTCTTGCCAAATGGGAAGCAGAGGCTGCTGTCGCTCAGGATGACCGACTTCATAATCCCGGTGCCATGGATATATATGAAGTTCAATTGACCAAAGGTACAGGCAAACAGAACATCCATGTGCAATATGCTGATATGCTTTGGCAAAGCACCGACAAGAAAACAGCAAGAGTTGCACCTGTTGAACCGCCAGGCACAATGGCCCGCCAGCGAAATTCCATCAGGGTCAACTTGGTCGACAAGGCCATGCTCTTTCACACCATGGTTCGGTCAGCAAGTCATAAGCTCGGTCGACCAGGGCATGGGCTCGCGTGCACTCGGTCGACAAGGTTCTTCACTTGAATACTCAGATCTACTCAAAATGCTGGAAGCAGCTTGTCCATCTCGGCGCCGATGATTTATTGACCAAATATCAGCTGTTGAAGAAGGCTGACTTAAAGGCTACTACAGTGGTGGCAGACCCGAACGCACGCGGTCAAAGAAATAGCATGCTAGCATGGTTTTGGTCCATTGATGTCCAGGGGGATTCCACAAGCAATGACTGGATGAATGAATGTGTGCACTTCACCGACCTACCTATTCCTGTCCGGTGCTAATTTCTTCATCCGACAGTTTACCGTGTCCATTTGCTTCGGATGCTGGCACTGTGTGACCATTGGGCAGAGGTAATGCTCATGCCAGGTCCCACTGTGACTGGTCAGGTGGATGGTGATGCCCTCTTCAATCAAATTGTGGTGGTGAGGGCCCATCTCCGACACCTTGGCGAAGCGATGGCCTCCTTGCTGGAGCAGAAGACCCAGATCGCTGCAGCAGCCACCTCCACCATATCCCAACTTGAGGCGCCAATTGATGAGGTGGAGCAGGCGCTCATTAATTCCCATAGGCGATTTCGTGCGGAGCAGTGACTGTATGTGTGGACTTATCACCGATATCACTTAAAATACCGGCAATGTACATAGTATTATTAAATGTGTTTTGGTGCCTTTGTATATAAGCAATCAATGAATGATTCCCGTTCCTCTGCCCGAATCATGACCCCAATTCCTACTGACTGGGCATTGCACACCACATGCATTGCTGCTGACTTCATTCACCAGCGCTTCACTTGCCATGTCAGCAATTGGCAACTGTCGGTGTTGCCTCCATTGGCACTGGATGTGCCAACCATGCTTGCTTGTCAGCAGTTAGCCCAAGTGCTTGCCGATGTGTATGCAAACCCAAGTCAGTCATTTCTGTCATTCAGTCGGAGGTTTACTAACACATCGCAGTTCAGCTTGATCTTGACATGATTCGGTCCAATGAAGCCCTCAACAAACGGTCCACAGGAAGGATCACAAAACATGAAGACGCTCTGCTCCAAAAATTTCCTTGTAGTTCCCAACAATTGTTGGAGAAGCCCTTGGTGCTCATGGATTCTGGGGGCCGTATCATCTTATGGTACCTTCTGGACACCATTAGCCTGTGGATTCAAGTAAGGCTATGTATTGTCGCCTCTGGGCCAACCATTTACACCAACCCCACAGGTTGAGATGGAAGCAGCCACAGTCGGAATGGGCTACCTCCTGAAAACAAGCATCACCAGTGGACAAGAGTCCAACTGGAGAACATTCTCTGGTCATTTTCACACGAGCAATTGCCGCCTGCTAACCCCAGGATGCATCAACATAGCCCCTTGCTGGTTCCAGCAAGGCTGAGAGGTATGACATGCTTCTTTATGTGCGATGCCAACACTCACTCGGCAGTGTCAGCCATATGGTTTCCCCCCCGCCGGTGGTTTCACCCCAGAGGTGTCGGCTACACTGAAGGGGGAAGGTGGTCCGAAGGTCATAATATCAATGCAGCGATTGGCACTCCTGGCCTTGGCGGCTCTTCGGGTGATGCACCCGGAGTTGTATTGGGCTTCAGTCACCACACAGATGAAACTCACTCAATGGGCTATGGAAAATGACCTCAATGGCATGTATGCTCATCTGCAACTTTGGGCCTCGGTGTTCAACTGCGCAGCTGTCATGTGTAACAGGCAATGCCCTCTTCACTGAGATCCAAGATCTACTCCAGAAGGGTTCGACATCATGATCAGTGTCAGCCATACGGTTGCATTCAGCCTTTTGGATCAATTAGTGATGAGGTTGTCAATTAATTTGAATCGATGATGTTGATTGAATCCCTGAAGTCTTCTCACCGTGTCGCCAATCAACCAGACGTGAAGATGGAGGCCATGGGCCGAGCCAAGATGATCAGCATTGTTTGCCATGTGCCGACCGATGTGCATGGGAAACATGTTCCACATCAGCCCACCTGATAGAATTGAACGCTGCTTGTTCGTGGGCCCACCCGACATCATCCATCCCATTGGCCCACTGATATGCACAGGAAATGCATTCTGCATGGGCCGGTTGATATGTACAGGCAACACATTCTATGGGCCCACATGATGACTTCACAGCAAGCATTGGCTGACCAATATGCACAGGCAGGGCATTCTACATTGACCTGGTGGATAACATCGGGAATTCATCCCCATTGGCCCACACGATAGCTTCACACCCATCATTGGCCGACCGATATACACAGGCAATGCATTCCATATTGGCCTTCTGGATAGGATCGACCTTTTCTCCCCCATCGGCCCACCTGACACCACACATGCCATCAGCTGGCCGATATGCACATAGAACACATAGTATGGGCCCACCCGATAGAATCAAATGTTCTTTCCCATGGGCCCACACAATGGGTTCACATTTGCTGTTGGCCAACCGATACACACGGGCAAAGTATTCAACATCGGCCCACCTGATACAATACAGACCGTCGGCCGGCCGATACCTAAAAACAACACATTATAGGGGCCCACCTGATAGCATCGGGTATCCCTTCCCATGGGCCCACACGGTGGCTTCACACCTAGCATTGGCCGACTGATGTGCACAGGCAACATATTTGACATAGGCCGACCAATAAGTGCAGGAAATGTATTCCATGTGAGCCAACTGATATGCACAGGCAACGTATTTTACATGGGCCGACCGATAAGCACCAGAAATGTATTCCATACCGGCCGACCGATGCGCACAGGCAATGTATTCCACATGGGCCGACCGATATGCACAGGCAATGTATTTTACATGGGCCGACCAATAAGCACAGGGAATGTATTCCATACCAGCCGACTGATGCACACAGGCAACCTATTCCATGTCGGCCAACTGATATGCACAGACAACCTTTTCCACATGGGCCGACCGATACACAGGAAATGTGCACAGGCAACCTATTCCATGTTGGCCAACCGATATGCACATGCAACCTATTCTACATGGGCCCACCTGATCTAATACAGACTGTCAGCCAGTCGATGGCCACAGCCAACAAGCTCCATGGGCCCGCCTGATAGCATCGGGAATTTCTCCCCATGGGCCCACATGATGGCTTCACACCCATCATTGGCCTACCGATATACACAGAGGATGCATGCTTTATGGGCCTACCTGATAAAGTCAACCGTTGCTCCTTCATGGGCCCACCCGATACCACACATACAATTGGCTGACCGATACACACAGGCACTATGTTCTACATGGGCCCAGCTGACAGCATCAGAGACTCCTCCACCACCATTTGCCCACCAATATACCGAACCCATGGGGCCATATGATGTTCATGGCCACCGGCCGACATGTTAATATCGACCATCATTACTTATGGGCCCAGCTGTTGAAATCAGGTCTCAGTAAGCCTGCCAGCCGAACATTATGCACAGGCAAAACCATTTGATCAGCCGACGTCCACTGGCCTGTATGGAACAGCATATTTTCAACCTTGGCTGCCTGTATAATACAGACTATGTGACTGAATGGGCTCAAACTCTCATTTGGCAGTCTTATCAGCAACTGGGCTAACAATGTACCAGCTGAACCGAAGTCTACTATACCAAGTTCCAGATCAAACACCTATTCTGCTTCTCACGTTGCAACCACTCCGCCCTCATTGGTATTATCCACCAGTACCAAGACCAGTTCCAAGGCCAAACCTGCGTACATCAATCAGAAGCTGTCAATTAGTGCACCTGAGTCTAACGATGTCCTCATGGTCAGCGACAATAGTCTTGATGACCCTGAGGCTCTTGAACAGCGTCCAGCTGTACTGCCTAGGAAGAAAGGGAAACAGGTGATTAAAGCAAGTCATTGTTCCCACTGTCGGCAATTCAGTTCAAGGACTCAGTTGAATTTCAGAAGTCCACTATAATTGTTCCTGCCAGTGAGAGTGACTCTGAGCCCGAGCAGATAACATTTTCTGCTGAGCCTGGTAGTATCAAGCAGAAGGCTGATGATGTCGGGGATTTTGTTGATGAGACCACATCTGAGGCCACTGATGATTCTGGCTTTTCGGCAGATGGTTCACAGGAATTCGATGGCCTCTTGCCCAAGGTAACATCAATTCCCACCATCGAGAAGGGCCGTGTTTCTCGCAAAACTACATTAGTACATGGGTTTTTTTCGTCTTGCGTGATGATCTGATTCAGCATGTGTATTTCAGACATCTACTATTGTATCTCAGAGCGCTACCCCTCCACCATGCAAAAAGTTGAAGAAAGAAAGCTCTGAGGTTACCAACTACAGTGATCTTGTGCCTCTGCCCTCAACCCAAGTTCCAGTGGGTTATTATAATGATGTTGTACCTCCTCCCAGCACCCAAGTCCCACCGGCCTCACAGAAGGCTGCTGCAAATGAGGTCGTTAAGCCGCACAGTCAATGTCGCAACAATGATCTCCCGGTACCTGCTGACTCAAAGGCCTTCTTGTCTATGGCACTTCTCTGGGCTGGAAGTCAAGCTAATCCATGGGAAATTTCCAAGTCTCTGATGGCAGATGCGCTGCAGGAGATCTTTGATGTGGTCTACCCTGATGTCAAATATAAGGTGAATTCAAATGGCACTGTATTCGCGGTGGTAAGTTCATAGTAATCATTATTTTTTGTTGTGTCTTTCATACACCTTTGTAGACACAACAGTGGCTCTCAGAGTGGAGGAGCAACATCAGCTCGACAGCGCTTGTGATCGTCGTTGATTTCTGCTCTTGCATCAAAGATGCACCAAATGCCCTCGTCGCCAAGCAACTCTTGAAGGATTGTGCGTTCGTATATGAAGACCCAGACAACATATTGTGGGAGACAGCTTACCTGTCCATGTTTGTACTGCAAATGATCGCATCCACTCACCTCAGTGCCATTGTCGACCATGCCAGTGTACCCGCATTGTATACCGACAAGCTCACTTTGGGCAATGGTATGGATGGTGTTATTGTGCTCTGTGTCATTGCTGTGAGATTTTTTTTTTGAATCCATGTTTCTTTTCTGATTGTTTCCAGCTCGAACATACCCTCAAGTTTGTCAAAGACAGCATCATCAATGTAGATGAAGTTCTTGCATCTATGGCCACTGGCAAGTTTTCTGTCAAGCTCCCGGCAAAACACAACAAGGTAATGGGCAAGATGTCAAGCAGATGTTACAATTTTTCCTTCACCTATTGGCACGACGAGATGGAAGCATACATGAAGTCGATCAGCAACAGGAATGAGGACTCAAAACTAATCATCATTTCCCATGCACGAAGGTATATGACAAAGTCTGCGAGGGGAGATGCCTCAGATGAAGATATTAAGGAGACTCAGAGCATTGACGAGCGTGCCCTCATTTGTAAAGTTTTTGCTTCCCACTTAGTGTTATCACTGCTGACTTGATTTTTTTTAAATAGAATACTACCCTATGGGCTTCGACATAACCTCAGCTGTAGTGTTTTTTCTTTCCTGCTGATGCCAATAACAGACTCACACATTTTTCCTATCCGTTTTCTGGATCCTACCAGTACTATTACTAATAGATTCACGTCACTGATTTTGCTGTTTGATCGCAATGCACACTTTTTCTTCTTACTACCAGAGAGATAAGTGAAATTAAGAGGAAAATCAGAGATTGACTTGTCTGAATAAGTTGCCCACTGATTTTTGCTTATTGGTGCTTATTAAGTCATTTAAGTACAAAAGGGGAATCAGAGATTTTGCTGATGTGGTACATGGCCGAGCAGGGTGGTGGAGGATACTACCAAGGACCAGGGAGCATCTGTGGGGGGGGGGGGGGGGGGGGGGGCTAGCAGGACAGTTCTCTGATGCACTACATACCTATTCAGAATAGAAGCAGATCCGTTTTCTCTTAAATGCAGACACAAAGTGGATGTGTGGATCCTCATAACCTGATTTGATACCACGTTGGTTTAGACGCTAAGGTAACAACCCTATCCCTGAAAATCCTTACAATTCAGAGGCGATTTTGCTTCTCAAACAAGCACCTTTTTCGATCTGGATGGGTAGAAATATCCTTGTTTTGCCTTGTCTGTTCACATTCTGTTTATAGCCTCTAAACATGTACTATTCTGGTCAGTTCTAAATCTTTTTTCCACAGTGAATGTTTGTACAAAACTCATCAAAGTGTGCCATATCCTTCCTGACCAAATATATTGTCATGAAACTCCTTGTCCGAGTCTGCAATCACTGCATCTAGTTCATCTACCTCATCTGCATCTGTGTCTGTGTCTGCGTCCGCATTCGCATCCATGCCCATGTCTTCTGCCTTGTCATATTCTTCCTCCTCCTCCTCCTCCTCCTCCTCCTCCTCCTCCTCTTCTTCTTCTTCCTCTCCTTCTCTGGCTCCCGAGTCTACATCAACATCATTGTCAATTACAATGGCATCCCCATTAGTAGGTGCACCATCATCGGCTCTTGGCAGATGGAATTCCCCCCACCTCAAAGTGTTTGGTCCTTGAAATTAACCATTCGCTAGACGATTCACAAGTTCCCGGTTAACACAGTGACTATGTACAAACGAACGCGCAATGTTTCAGTTTAGGTATTGTCCGTGTTAAATCTATTCCTCACTAACTTATATGATGCAGCACAAGGATTCTCCTGTCAAACAAACCATAGGAGAATGCTCTTTGTTGTGGACTCATGCAGGAAGGACATGTGTGTACTTACTGTTCTAAATTCTAATCGCAGTGGTGTTGCGATTGACTTTATTGGCAAGCATGCACGAATATCCTAGGAGCCTATAGAATCACTTGCCATTGAATATCTTGCCAGCGAACTCTACATCTCACCATCATGATTTCCATCACTTGTGTCACCTCATGCATCACAATAATTGGGTTCTTTCAAGAAACCGTCATCCGTCCTATGGTTCAGATTCTGTCTGGCCCCAAGAAGGTTTCTGCTGGGCTTGTCGTGTTTTGCACATCGATGGTCACCCTCCTTCTGGCCGCCAACAAAGCCACCTGAAGGTTTCTCGCCCCACAAAACCAATGTGCCCTTCACCGGCGATAATGCTAGTGCTAGTACTGACGATACACCCACTGCTCCGAGTGGTTGCCCGCTGGCCGATTTAGCACTAGCAGATGACCGTGAATCCTCAAAAGAACCAAAGGTCAATAGTCCATGCACCACAGAATAAGCCTCGTCATCTTTTCAGAAGTCTCTTTTACTCTGGCTATCCTCGTCGTATGGATTCAATTTCAAATCAACGCCTTCCATCAGTTTCGATTTGCTGGATTTAGACTCTAATCGTAACTGTTTATCACTTCTGGCATTACCCTCGTGGCCCGCGGAAATAACATCTTTGATGATGATGTCTATTGACAAAGGGACTTTCCACGAGGTAGGGAGCCTTTATCATAGGCTAGATTTGTGTCACTTGACACTTTTGTTCCTACAGGACAACTTTCTCTAGTCGTGACGCCCTCAATAAAGACTAAGCTTTCTCTTCCTGGATCTGTTTACCTCATGGACATATTGATTCAGAAGATGAAGGCCACGCACTCCCTATGCAAGTCCAGCATACAGCAAAATGTACGAACATGCTCGTTGCTAGACTATGCCACTTGTCATAATTTGTTAGTGCAAACCTAGAGTCTCTCGATTGAACACTGCTTGCAACAGCATCATGTGTTCTTGCCTTAGGCAACATGCCAACATGATTGGTCAGTATTTCTCGTGACGTCCGTACCGTTTGTTGATTTCAGTACAACCAGTAGGTCACCTTCCAAAAGTGTACAAACAGATTCATGCAGACCACACTGCAATCCTCGATGACTGTGTAACTGGAATGGCTGAGCAGACACTACCCAACGACACTAGGATCACCGCTTTTCCCCAGAGTCAACGAAAGCTTCTGAACCTGGTTCATGAATCAAAGTCTGCCTTGTGCCACTTCGCCACCGCAATATCTTCATTACTCTGCCAACACACGTCCTGATACTGGGTGCAGAAGACAACCACTTCACAACAGACACACTGACAAGCTGCGACACCATGTCCTGGTTTGCAGGAATCGAGGTACAGGTGCAGAGAACTGAGTGACCTCAACGGGTGGAAATGGTTTGTTTATATCTACATTATCCATCTCCCTGCCTTGAACCACCTGCTATGCACATTTTTGTATTTATAATGTACTTGGTGCTAGTTTTGCTGCCCAAGATAGTATGTAATTCCGAATATGGGATGCTATCTTTGTGCGCCTTTAACTTGCTTCAAAGCTTCAAAGCTTCACGGCTCGACCAACTGCCACAAGTGTATAGTGAATGTTTGAACAGCTTTGAGCTGCAGAACAACCTTAATACTTTTCACCGCTCTTTTTTCCTGGGGACAATAAGTAGGGACCTAGAGTCAAATTCATGTTGACAGTGACATTCGTGAGTCGTCCATCAAGTTTGCTTCCAAGGTCTGGGCCGAAGCTATGATTGTGCAGTCTGCCACCACAGGCATGAATTCGAATGCTCAGGCATCCCAAAACATACAGGAACGAACTAGCAAAGATGACTTGGATTTGAATTTTGAATTTGACATGACAAGGGTGGCCAATTCGGTCTAGAACATGGCCATCAGTGAACACGTGAGGAAAGTAGAAGGCCATATATCACGATAACAGTTGAAGTGGAGGTGTGGCAAAAGTCGACGGTTGAGCTAGATTAATGAATAATGCCATAATGGAAGGGACATTCACAACTATGAAGCTATGAGTGAAGGTCGATGCCTTCCAGATGACGAGTATGTGTTGACCCGCGCAGGCGACAGTAAGTTTCATGATGTGATTCAAACCCCAACACCATTGCATGAAGTGCCTAACATCAAAAGGGACATTCACAACTGTGAAGCTACAAGTGAAGGTCAATGCCTTCCAGATGACGAGTATGTGTTGACCCGCGCGGGCGACAGTAAGTTTCGTGACCTGATTCGAACCTTAACATCAGTTCTTTAGGGATACAATGATAATCCGCTATATATCAATTAGGAATGCATATGAAAAATATTTATCCATTTGCACCAGCCCTGATATGTTCACTAAGCCGGCAACAATCAAATCATATTGTGATTCGAGTCTCTAGGTGATGTCCTTTGGGTGAATAACGGCTGGCAGTAGTATATCACTTACGACTGCATCCCAATATGTTTGAGCTGCACATACTACAGTGACCAAACTCCATCTTAGACGGGCCAGCCGAGGGACATAATACACTGTCTTAGACGAGTTAGCAGACCATGGGCCAATGTAATAATATCCTCATTGAAGATGGGTGGGCCAAGAGGCAAATTATTCCCGATGGAGATGGGTGGGCCCATCTAGGTAATATCTAGAGTAGAATACAGTAGACGAGTTGGGCGAGGGAGATGGATCATAAAGATGAGTGAGCTGAGGTATTAGTATATTATATGGACGGATGGGCCGAAGTGGATGTGAATCATATGGATGGATGTGGCAAGATAGATATATCATATAGATGGATGGGCCAAGGTAGATGTGGGCTGAGAGAGATGCATATCATATGGATGGATGGGCCGAGGGAGATGAATCTCATATGTACTGATGGGCCGAGATTGATGTATATTGTATATGGGTAGGCCAAGGTAAGACATATATCATATAGACGGATGGGCCGAGATAGATGGATCTCATATGTATATGAGATGAACGGGTGGGCCGAGGTGAATGAATATCGTATACACCGGTAGGCCGAGGTGGATATGTAAAGTATGTATGGGTGGACTGAGATGAATGAATGCTGTGAGGATGGATGGGTTGAAGTGGAGACCGATTGGTTAGATGATGTAGGTGCATCAATGATTATTGAGCATGGAGGATCGAGGAGCCAGAACCGTCATATAAATGAGTATCGAGTATGGCAAACGGAGCACCGAGTACTGAGTCCTGAGTACTGAGGATCGGGGATGGCGAACTGGGCAGCGAGGATCAAGTACTGAAGGACTGAGTACCGAGGATCAAGGGTGGCAAACTGCGAGTACCGAGTATGGCCAATGGAGTACCGTGTACCAAATACTAAGTACTGAGGATCGGAGATGGTGAACTGCGGAGTGAGGATCAAGTCCTGAGGGTCAAGTACTGAGAGCTGAGAACCGAGCACCAAGGATCGAGGATGGTGAATCGCGACCCGGGTGTGGAGTTCCAAGAAATGAGTACTGAGTACCGAGGGCTGGGGATGGTGACCCAGGCACCGAGTATCGAGTACCGAGGATCAAGGACTGAGGGCTGACAACTGAGTGCTGAGGATCGGGGATATCAAACTGGGCAGCGAGGATCAAGTACCGAGAACTGAGTACTGGGTACCGAGGGTTGGGGATTGCAAACTGGTCACCGAGTGTCAAGTACCGAGTACATGTACCGAGGGCCGAACCAGGTACTGAGTACCGAGAACTGAGTACCGGTACAAAGGGTTGGGGATTGTGAACCAGTCACCCAGTATCAAGTACCAAGAACCAAACCAAGTACTGAGGTATTGAGGTCGGAGAGCCGAGGATCGAAAGCTGAAAGGCAAAGACTGAGTTCCGAGCACCAAGATGCTCGGGACTCGGAGAGCCGAGGATCAAAAACTGAAAGGCAAAGACTGAGTACTGAGCACCGAGATGCTCGGGACTCGGTCCTTGAGACTCTTTGTTACATGCGCGGGGCTCAGAGGTTTGCATAATGTTGGGTATGCGGTACTGATTGTTGAGTACTCTACAATTCTATGGTACAAACAATTCATAGTATTCACACTATAGTACAATGGATCATGGTATATCTACATTTGCATTGCGGCGTCCTGCTCATCACCGGAATCATATTCCGGAAGAAGGTTGAGGGGCGACCCATGCTCAACAATCTCAGCAGTGCTTGGGCCATCCTCGGGAATCTCCAAAGGGCTGGGGTGCATTTCCAGGGGGCCCGGAAGTGCGAAGGCCGATGCGAAGGTGGAGGCGCCATCATCGGCCGGGCTGTGAACTGCATCGACGGGAACCGTCGATGCAATGGCAGGAGCAGGGTCCAACGCTGCTTCAGTCTGAGAGGGTGGGATTGTTGGCTCCATTACTGGGGCAATGATGGTGGAGGCTTCCTTGCCTGTTGAGTTGGTGCTGAAGTTGATGAGCAGCAAGGGTGCCAAGTGCACATGGGACTGCGACCCGGGAGAGGCTTGATCAAGGAGTAGAGACAAAGTTGCAGCGGGAGGGGGAATGACAGATGTCGCTGCATGATCTGACATCAAAGGCTCTCATGCAGCCTTCAGAGCTTATCGATTGTGCTCTCCTGTTCAGAGGCACGAGCCTCCAGAGCTGCAATGTGATTTGTGCTCTTGCGAATTGCGATCAACATCCAGTGGAGGTCCGGGATCGGGAGGTCCTGGGCTGCATGGGGGGCAGCCGAACTCGATGATGCAATGACTGGAATCAAATCAATAACGGTAAATGTTTCATCAATTGAATTGACTTACCAGCTGCAGGGGGGATGGGCATTGTCGCCAAGCCCAAGGGCTTGCTTCGGCCCCGGGACCGTGGCTTGGGTGGGTTGCCCTGAGGCTCACTCAGAGCTACCGACGGCCCCCGGGATTGGCTTCAGGTCCGCACCGTCGACTGGGAGGTCGATGGGCCTGTCGAGGAGGCCCTCAAGCACTCGGTAGACCGTCCTCGAGTGGTGGAGGCTAGGGTGCTGAGACGTGCCGAGATGCACTTCACTTTCTTCGTCGTGCACAGGACACATGACATGAGGGCCATGCCCTTCCGCTTATCAAACCTGGTGGTGCACGGCAGCTCATGCTGCATGCAACACCTACATGGGTTGTTCTGTGGGGGATGGTCAGTCAGCCGGGACAGCAAAATATATCTTTGTGGGACTCACCGGTCCGGGAATGAGAATGGCGCTGGCGTCCACAACTGGGGGCACATCCCTCGGGCTCTCGGAAGTTGCTTGAGATGACTCTGGGATGTCAGGGCGCATGAGCGGAGGTGTCTGCTGAATGTTAGATTTGGGGACCTGAGGTAACCAGTCTAGCTTACCATTCCAGGGCCGAAGGGGGCCTTCTTCGGAGAGCCTGGGGATCGGGGAGGCCCAGAGGGCCTTGATGGTTGGGCGGGGGAAACCCACCGAGTGACAATCACCGATGGTGTGTCTGAGCGGGGCTACACCACTGCATGAGTGAACATCAACACAGAAAAAACAAAACATACCTTCAAGGACCCGTCCTCTTCCTCCTCCTCGTCCGATGAATCCACCGATTCCCTTGATTTCCGTTCCTGCCCTGACTTCCCCCTCTTCAGCCTCTTCATCGCCGACTTTGGGACCGGCTTCAACATCTGGGAGAAAGGCCGCTTCCTGTGTGGCTTCTCCTGCTCGTCCTTCGGCTTCTCCCTCTCCTTCTCTTTCTCCGGCTCCACTTCCCTCGCCTTCCCTTTCCCCTTCTCCAAAGCATCACCATCCACGCTCATCAAGGGACTGGGAGCATTGTCGGTGTCACCACCATCGACCTCGTGTGTGAGATCGAACGAGTGGTCGCCCAAGGCTTGCCAGGCGAGGGCCTTGCTGCGCCAGCTGTGCTGCATGAGTCGAGGGTCGTCATGGCTGATGCTCTGCCAGTTTGGGGCCTCCTGCGGAGAACAGTTGCGAGTCCGGATGAACTCCCGTAAACAAGACAAGACAAGGCCGGGAAGGCATGTTGAGTCACCATGATCCTGGACTGCCCTTGCCTGATAGAAGATGAGCGATCATGTATAATACGTGTTTGATATCATATACGCACCACTAATTCACTTGCCTGGGTCGCCAGAGCAAAGTGACTTGGACCAGGGGGAATTTGTCAACCAGGGGGAATTTGTCGGGCAGTGCGGATGATCGCGAGAAGTTGGCCAGTGATCTCCTTGAGATCGGCCATGGACTTGTTGGCTTGGTTGGACATCAAGGATGAATATATCGATAATAAAAGTTATGAAATGTAGTGACAGCTGGCAAGGAAGCAGTTTTACAAAGACACAAGTCAATCGAACTTCGGTCAATAAATATTTCATTGTTGTGGATTATTTGCACAATGTTCACATTTCAGGAGTTTGCGAATAATCCACTCATTTCAAGGATCAAATTGTGAGATCTGTGGATCAGTTAGACCATCAAGCCCAATGCACTCTCACCCCACAGTGCAATTTACAGAACCACCAGTGACTGACATCATTGAAATGGACATCGACGACGGTGGTCAAGCACAATTGTCAACAAGCTCAACAGATCTGTGGATGGGAGAGGAATGGCCGATGTTCGGTAAGATGTCTTCCTACATGCTTCTATTTGTTAACACATGCAATCAGATGACTTGTATCTTGGGCTGGACGATGAGGTGGAGTATGAATCCATGCCCCTGCACATCAGTCGGGAGCTATATCTCAGCCCGGAAGACGACTTCAATGGTGGGATTGGTGTGCCCGAGCCGTCCCACCGCGCAAGCAGTGATCCCCCAGGCCAAGCCATCAGTCCAGCACTGTACCTTGGGCCAGAAGAGATGTCCGATGAACCCATGGAATATTGTAAGTGCTTCACGACACTAGGAATTCCATACCTGATTGACTCCATCAGTGAATCCACCCAATGCTGACTGCCTTCCGGCACCTCCAGTGCTCGACAACGAAGAGCTCCAAGCTATGGTTCGGGAGTTCCGGCCTTTTGGGTCATATCATGATGTGGGATGTAAGTATTAATTGCAGGTCTATGTCAGCACGTCGTTCTCATTGCTATCGTAGTGTAGAATCTTCAAACCCGACTGGCCGACTTCACAACTACTCACGGAAACCTTCCAGACCCATCCATACCGCAGCTCCTGGAGGCAGAGCGACCATTTTGAACTGCTTGGGCAGAGACATCCGACAAGCTGGCACGGGCCGATCGGGAGCTTCGAAGGATGCAGAGGGCCGAGTGGGCAAGCATTGAAATGCTCAAAGTAGTAGATTCACTGATTCAACGGTTCGAGACCCAAATTCACCAGGGTCAAAGTAGGATACCTGAAGATGTAGATAGCACACGACCATAATCCTTATATTAGTGTATGATCATCATATGTGACTTCCACCAGACACATGGAATAGGAGATTCACTTTGACTTCGCAACCGGGCACAATTGACTAAAAATACTTCGACCGACAACTGAGATCTCCATTCTCTGCATTGAAGAATGATCATCGAGCATCGGTTACCAAGTACTGATGCCAAAGCCCTAACAATCACAAAAACAACCATTGACGATGAAGTCCTGTATGCCGATTGCCAACTGCTGACCAACATCCACCTACCAGCAAGGCATTTGGCATTTGGCCCTATGCACTCGACGGCTGATCGTCAGCATCCAGTCATCGGCAGTTGATCATCGGTCGTCGGAAATTTGGTGTTTGGCCCTATGCAGATCGACTGCCGAGGACCAAGGACCTCTGACCGAATACCAATGGCCGATTGCCGACGACCGAGTGCCGATGGCCAATTGCTGACGACCAACAATCGACTGCCGGCGACCGACTATCGACTGCCAACGACCGGATGTCAGCAGTCGATTGTCAGTCGTCGGCAATCGGCCGTCGGTCCTCGGTCCTCAGTAATCGGCCATTGGTATTCGGTCGGAAGTCCTTTGTCCTTGGCAGTCGATCATCAGTACATAGTCTTCGGCAGTCGATATTTGGTGCTCGGTCTTCGGCAGTCAGTGGTCGGTGATAGGCCACTGGTATTTGATCAGCGGTTCTAAGTCATCAGCAATTATTCATTGATACTCGGTCATCTGCATTTGATGGTTGATGATCTGTGTATTGCACAGACTACATGGTCATTGTTCTTGATAATCAGTACTCTCGGAGGATTCGGCTGACTACAATGACACAATGTGGTATGATGCAATTACTTCCCTGCCCTCGCTCTAGTGACTCTCCTAGGAATATCTAATGACTTTTCCATGGTCTTACTTTGAGTTCTGCTCAGAGGTCCCACAATCACCTTTTTCTGTTGCTGGATTCCCTTTGGCACCGGGGACACATGTGTCTCCTCCTCAGTCACAGCTTCATTTTGACGGTCAACTCCTCGGTTTGCACAAGTCAACCCCACGAGGAGATCTCCCATCTGTGACCCCAGCAGCGGACCAGCAGCCCATTGCACTGGCCTTGCCGGCCTCACTGGGCGAGGCTTCAGAAGCGGGTGTTGCACTCCTTGCCCGATGTTCCGGGCTGACAGCAGTCCTGGCACTACCTGAACCCCCTTATGGACGGTTCTAGCACTGTCCTCATCCATGCCAGAGTCATCATCCCCCGGACTATCATCCTCCAATGACACTTGGTTGTTTTTGGAGAGCCAGTGGGCATTGGCAGCGAGGGCATGGTGCAGCCGACCATTGATCTCGGATTCCATTGATGAATCCTGTGGCCTCCTGATCATGATGCCCCGGTGAGGGATGCAAGCATGAGACTTGTCTGATCCCCCGGTCAAGACTGGTTTCATCATGTTGCTGACTTTGTTCTTCCATGCTTTGAACAGGAAGATCGGATCATCACCATTCTCCTGGCGAGCATACCAGAAGTTCAGCAAGGCTGTTGCATCGGAGTTTTGCAACTTCGAAGGGTCCTTCAAATGCACCCTGCTCGGAAGATACATCGGTGATACGAAGTCATCCTCACATTCTACGATGGCGCTCCAAGGGACAACAGCCTTGTCAATGCCAGAACAGAGTCCTGGTCACATCCAGTCAACCAATTCTTGCAGGATGTTGCCACTGCAAACTCACAATAGTGTGTTGTAAGAAACACCCTCACTATTGCCTTCTTCTCCTCGAGCTTTGTTTGCATGGTGTCTGGAAGTGAAGGGATGCCTTCCTCATTCATGTCCAGTTCGAAGGCCAGTTTCCTAGGTCTTTTTCGATGTCCCTTCTCCTGTCGTTCGCCATCCCTTGCCTCAGCACCTATCACAGGAACCATCAATGTCACCCTCCACATCCCAATAGCTGTAACACTCACCAAACTGTGCTTGTGCATACTCCTGCCAAATTGGTTCAATATCCTTCCAGTCCTTTGTCTTCATGAAGCTGTCCCCATCTCCCAATGCCTCATTATCATCATGCCTATGGGAAATCTGTTGAGATATCAGGTCTAGGATGACATTTGCAATGCACTCACGTTCCGAATAGCACTTGGCCCTGCTCATTCTTCCAGGCAGACAATACAAACACTCTCATCCCGCATTGTCTCCACATCTCATTGGAGAAGTGCTCCATGTATGCGGGTCCCTTCTTACCGGCGACTTGTGCTTGGATCTCGGGAGGAGGAATGTTGTTGGACCATTTATTGGCTGTTTCTTTCGCCTTCTCCAACTCTTCATCAGACAATTCTTCCATCACCTTCCGGACGGTCGTGTCATATCCCGTACCTCTGGAACTGGAATTCCGGATCTACTCTATTAAAGTCCAGTTCTCCGTCTTACTATTCCACCCAGCGCTCTGCCTTCATCTCCGCACGCACCCCTAACTCCTTTTAGATTAGCTATTGCTCCAGTTACCGGTGATGTCCTATTCCACTATGCTTACTGATCCGTCCATTCTTACTTCATTTCCGACTTCACTGCTTTGATCTGTTACACTTACTAATAGACTTTCCACATGCTTCATACATAGCCCTTACCTTTGCTGACTGATTTACTTACATGGTAAGATAGACCTCGTTCATACACCGATTCATCACGTGATCACAAGTCAGAACACGTCGTTTTGGCTTGTAACTCTACTTCAGATCAGAATTAGCGAATTCTATTCTATGATTCTGTGGGCATATACAGTAGTATTAAAATAGTCTACTCAGAATGGTTACTTTTTGTCAATTGAATGAGTAGTAGGCATTTTCGTGGTCGATGTACCGTTGTGACTCATTTGTGACTGATGTGACCAAGCGGTGTGAACAGTAGGGAAACATAACAGACACCAGTTCAAACCGTTTTGACAGCCGTTTTGACATTGTATGGCTAATACTAGTGGCGAAATTATAGTAGAAGTAGTAATAATCAAAATTAGGTATCCGAGTCCGGAATATGTTTTAAATTTCAATCAAGTTAATTTTGCAGTTTCCAACTCGGCCATTATGGTGTCTGGAAGGATACGATGACCATGATACTGCTTTGAAGCCCAAGCTGCCTGCTTCCTGGTGAGACCTTTGTGGTAGGCATCCATAAACCTAAGTGAGCGTGTAGAGAATCTGAGCCAATATTAGTGTATGTGAGAGAAATTAAAGCAAAGACTTACCGGCGAATAGCATCGAGTGGAATAGATTCCAGGGCAGTAAGGACATTGCATTCGAGATCGGCCTCTTTGGAAGATACGGGAAGCTCACGATACACCCACTTTGAATAACCCCAGCATTGCTCGATAAAATTCAGTTCGCAGTGGAATTTCGGAAAGAATATTGCCCGAAAACCCCTAGCTTCGCATGCATTCTCAAGCAACGACTTGACATTTACGAAATCTGGCTCGTTGTAGAGCATCCTCCGGCAACAGCAGCGATCGACGCCCTTCTTGCACTGAAATTTTGGACATTCAGCTCGAACCTTTGAAACGTCGGCATGACCTCATTCGTGGAGTATGGTAGCCATCCCTTTGAAGACACCTGCAAGTTCATGGCCTTCAGAGTAGTACAATGACTGGGGAGAGCCATCTGCAAATGTGGCACCACACATTCTGACCCTCGTCTTCTTTATCTCTCCGCTAGGTGAATAGACCGGCTTCCCATTCTCATCCACTACATTCACCTCTACTCCCCAGTTCTTTGGCTGTCTACCTGCACCCCAGTCACTTCCATCCCAGTCCTTTCCATGCTTCGGGGGGTACTTGGGCATTTTGCGAGCGTATAATGCATCGTCGGCACGCTTGAGGTGAGTGGTCGCATTGTCAAAGACCATGACATGATCTTCATCCGGGAAATGATCACGTAGGATATCCATCGCGTTTGAGGCCTGATCGAGTATGTTTTGTGTCGTGAAGTATCCATCGCGAGCTTTGCCAGCCTTGAACAGTACACGAGCATGCTGCTTGCCATCAGGTGACTGTAGCCATCCATAGTCAGGGCTGACCATGTCAGCAACCATTAACGAGGCACCCTCACCCTTTGCATAAGGTACAGCAGTCTCTGATTTATGCACCCATCGAATTTTCCGGTGGTCATTCGCATAGTATGTTGACTCATCATGATTCCAGATAACAACACGTCAAGTGGTCATTGGTGGTGCCTGACATTCACTTCCATCAGTCGCATAAATCCGAGTGCGCGAGAGAAGTTCAGCCCAAACTGGCAGAAATATTAACTGTCTATATTCCACCACATCGCATCGCTCATGCCCATCAACGAACTGTCCCGTCGGTGTCTTTGACCATCGGTATCCCACATGTTTCATCCAATGTTGTGCTGTTGTGAGTGAAATGGGCTTCTTGAGCTTTAGCCGAGTGAGTACATCTGGATTTTTAATATAGTCAACAATGTCCATTGATCTGACATACTTTCCGATCCCCTGTAGATGGAGGAGTAACTCTCCTTTAAAATCCTCATCTTCAAGAATGGATGAGTTCCAGGTGCCATAGATATTGAATGGGAGATCATTCCGGTCCAATATGTAAGCTCTCGTCCATTGACGAAGACGACCTGCTAACCATGTAGACTTTTCATATGCATTTGCAGTCATCAGTGATGCTGCTTGCCACCTGCAGGCACCAACAGGCTTTGTGTAGTTCCATAGGAACATCCGCATCTTTTTGAGCCGACTCCACAGCAAAAGATCGAGTTTTGGGTCTTTGTGTCCAATGCCCGATGTCCGACATGGTTGAATGAGGAGCTTGAGATCACTCAGTGCAGCAGCTGCTTCAGCAACAGTTGGGGGAGGGATGTATTGTCCAGCAGTGAATGGAGGTTGTGTCCAGTGTATGTTATCCTCGGTGACTTCCTCGTCTTCCTCCCGCTCTTCGTCTGTTTCATCTGCATCCGAGTCCTCTGAGTCTACAGTGGTAGTCTTTCGACCACAAGGTTCCCAGTCATTGATTACAGTTGGACTTGGAACGACTGGTACTTTTGAGTGACAGAGAGGGGGATTTGTCGGGTGTGACCCAGGGAAAGGTGCTGTCTTAGTCTATCAAAATGTTTAGCCATTTGCTGAGAAATCGCAAGTCATTAAACTGATTACATTTTTCATCTTCTCACTGAGCTTTTGTCATTTCTGACCAGCGCAAGAACCTTGAAGGTTTGCTATGTGTGAGGGCCTCTTTCATGGCATGGTGAGGTGATTAACTATTGAATTTTCGATAGTGCTAATTACATGCCTGTCACGTTGGTGGCGTCAGGCTTCAACATTGTTGGCTGAACAAACAGTATAATGCCTACTCGTCTCTCAATTCTCTAAATTAGATTACAAAAATTATATAGCCATCTTGCCACAGACTCTCCACACATAACCTTAGAACAGATTCCATTCAGACTTCATGTATAATGCATTAGAGCTAAAACCATCGAAATGTCACAGTAGATCACATGATGAATCGGTGTATGAACGAGGTCTATCTTACCTACAGTATATAAACCCCTACAATACTCCGGAACTCCTCAGTTCAAATATCATCTTAGTTCTGCTCATTCCTGCAATCTCCAGACCTGAGTCTCATCTCTTGTCCACCTCCAAGTCTTAGGGGTTAAACCTTAGGACTAACTCTCCGGCTCTACCTTAGGGTAGTCTAACCTCTGTTCTGTTTCTACTCCGGACTTCCATAGTAGCCTTACTCCGTCCCCACATAAGCCTTCTGGAGTTCTGCCAAACTCCACCAACACTAGTCCTCCGGAACTCCCCGGACTTCTGTCGGACTTCCCCTCTGTCCCCCGGAAATTAAAGGGCATGTACTCGGGTAAGGGGCGCAGCGCACGAGCTGAAGCCGAAGCCCTTTGAGTAACCTCTCCTTTGAGCACAACCTTAACAGGTCGCCTGGTAATACTTGAACATATCCAGAGCTCCTGGCTTTGCCCCGTATTCCGCCTCGATCCTCTTGAGCACGTCATCTCTGTTCTGCTGATAGACCACCATCCTAGGGGTCCACTTCCTCCCATACTTTATCATGTCCTTTGTTTCCTTCTTTTTCTTGTTGTTGAACAACCAGGTTTTATAGATCTGAGCGAACAACAAACAATCAGTGTTGAAAACATTAAGGTTTCAACCTGCATGGATGCATCACCTGCTTCCTCTTTTTCCATTGTCCATGGTCGAGCTTTGGAGCAAACAACCTTGCCGCTTGAGCTATGGCTGTGAATATTCCTGGTTTCTCGTGTCGTTTTGCGGCAGTCCACTCAGGAAGGTAGTTTTTGAGTTCCAAGATCTCTTGTTCCGTGAGCTTTTGTCTCGGTTGTAAATGTCGTCCGTGTCTTCTGTCCAAGAAGTGAATGGAATCCCCTGATCTAGCCATGGTAAAATGGAGTGCAGGATGCACAGGGCCATCACCTTCTACGACATCAACTGTCAATACAACAAGTATCTTCGCACTCAGGTCAATCAAGGTCCATTCTTGACAATGGTTCTGGAGCTGACCATAGTTCCCGGAATTGGGCTTTGGCATATCCATGGACATCAGGACAGCTGCTATGTGAGATATGTGTTGAACTTCATTGAAGGCATAGGTCGCATCGATGGAGAGATCATGGAGACCCTGTGGGCCCCCCTCAACCTCATATCTCCTTCCGCTCGGGGAATGTCGTCGCCACATAGAAAAGAATGTCTAGATTTTCAGATGAACAATTCCAATTTTTGCAAGATGATTCGCATGAAAGGACGCTCTGCCAGAAATTCAAAGGGGCGAAGCGTGGCATCGCCGAAAGTGGGAAGGCATTCGATAGACTCGATGAGGGGGCACCAGAAAGTTCAAAGACTCTGTGGTTGGCGAGTGAAAGGGTCGCACAGTCAAGCAGAATACATGATCCCGCTGCGATGGACATATATGAGATCAATATCCGGAAGGGTGAGATCATTCCATGGACATCAAAGTGTTTGACCTTATGGCACCTGCAGCACCAAGCAAGAAGGAGATCGAGCTGAGATTACTGGAGGAAAATGATGCTCGTCATGCATCACCTTCCTGCTGATCAGTCGCAACATGGATATCAATGGGATTGGCGATCAAAGAAGCTCAGATTGCATTGCTCATTGAGGTCCGGAGACTCGGACAAAGACCTACCGAGACACAGAGATTAGACATCACCCATCAACACAATCGGGTGCAGGGACAGATCGATGGATTCACTCGGTCCACTCTCCTGCATTTCGGAGATGGATTCAATAGTGATGAAGATCCGGAGGACTTGAGTTGTTCAATTCTCAATGATCTTGACGATGGCCTGGATGAGTTCACCAAGACTCTCGATACCTACCCAAACACACCCGAGCTCACTGTCATCCCATTGCCATCCAATGTTGGGCTGGACCGACTCCAACACTGCTTAGCAGAGGATCTGATTCTGCTGGAGATGTCGCTTCGTGAAGGACAGGCCAATGATGCCCTTCACAATCTCCGAATACACTTGTGCAACAAGGCAGTCCTTTTCTGAACCACTGTTAGGCAGGCGAAGTCGCAAGCTTTGAAGACTCGGGCATGGTCCCAGGTGATGTTGGTTCAGCAGGCCATGTCTCTGAATGCCAGTATATACAACAGGACAAGGAAGCAAATGATGAAACTTGGTCCTGGGCAGCACCAGCTTCAGAAATACCAACCTCTGCTCTGAGAACAGCTCAAGATCAGCACTGCAGTCGGTGATCTAAATGCCCGAGGTCAGCGGAACGGGTCCCTTGCCTGGTTCTGGTCTCTCGACATCGATTTATCGGGGCTGAGTGAGTCATGGAATGACGAATGTAAGTTCGGGCATACTTTCAAAATGCGGGGATGATCTGACCGAGCCAGTGTGAAGTTTACCGAGTTCATTGGCTTCAGGCGAAGGCTCTGAGGGATCAATGGATTGAAGAACTTACGGTGGTGGAACTGGAGATGGACTGGACATGCAACTTCTTCTTGTGCAAAGCAGCCCAATGGGATGCACATATGAGGGAGTCATCGGACAGCCGGCTTCGGGGTCATGCCTGCTATGCGGCAAGACAATCCCGAATGTACTCATTGCTTGCACAGGATGCGCAGGCTGCTTTTCAGGATCTTACGATGATGCCAATATATCCTGAAGATGAGTGAATATTAACCACTGCAAATTTCTAGCATACATCCTAGTAATGTGAATCATTGTGTGGCCCGGGGTTCGGTTGTGTCATGGGAATGATGGCGGAGTTTGAAAATGTCATCCATCCATCAGCTGCCCATATATCTACACCTTGAACCACTGTCATTGTTATTGCCACTCGTACTTTGACACCCTGAACTACTGTTATCCTCATTTCCATTGTGTCTACTCTTCCATCGGACATGTCTGACTCACATCCAAGTGGTACATCAACTTCTGCTAGCCAAGATAGAGATCTTCCCTATCAGCCGATCACTCTCAGCACCGCAGATATTGCAGCTACATTGGCAATGGCTGCATCATGTATCCGAGCATGTGTTGCTCAATATCAGAAAGAAGCAGCTGAAATGGATTTGCCGTGCGCACGAATCACCCACTTCAAAACTGGGCTTCAATGGGAGATCTCAGTGAGCAGTGAATGATGTCTACGTTGTAGTCAATTCTGACATCACTGACAGACCTTTGTGACACCGGTCCTGCAGTACTCAGCTGCACACAACATCATTTCGGTCATGCCAATCCCCATCGCTCATCTGCTGCTCTTGATCCCGCAGCAAAGCTGGACCGAGGTTCCAGACCATGTCTTCGCAGCTCATCTGGGTCGGCTTCAAGATCACACAGCTCCCGGCGATCCCTCGCACATCATTCCAGACTATGATACTCCATGGTGGATGGGGCACACCACCATTCCGAACGAACCATGGCGATGGAATCGGGTCATGGAGTGTTGTGGATTCCACTATGAGCACTGGCTGGTAAGCACCGAGTACCATTTTAATTACAGTTGATGAATCGAAACATCCAGGGCGGTGTTGAGGATGATGGTCTCATTCTTCTGGAGACGGTGGATCAAACCTCGATCCCATCTCTTATGGGACTTCAGTGGATTCGAGAATGATTGGTGACATTGATCGAAGAACAGCGGGAGGGCATCAGAGATAAGATGGGTGAGATACAAATGTACACTGATATCCTCACCCGATTGCAGCAAGCCAGGGAGGTGTGCGGCAATGGATTGCAGGAATGATCGGGATCCATAGGAAGGCTGTTATGCTTCAGCACACCAGCATGTATATACCGTAGACATATTCAAATTACAGAATCACTGAGTCCCACATAAAGAGTGAGCACCAAGGACCGACCTGTCAACACTTCTTACTGAGTACTGAGAGCCGAAGACTCCGGGTCCCAGGTCCCGCTCCTTGGTACTGATGACTGGCATTGAATGCCTCCAGAATGAATTTCCAATTGCTCGACACTCGGTGCTTGGCAGTTAGGACTCGGCGCTCAGCACTTGTCAGTGCACCATCGGGTCTGATTGCTCGGTGCTCTGTCTTTACCGAGTACCGAGTACTGAGGTTTCCTGGGTCCCGCTCCTCGGTAGTGAAGACTGGCACTGAATGCCTCCAGAATGACCTTCCAAGTGCTCGACACTCAGTGCTTGGCAGTTGGTGCTCGGCGCTCAGCACTCGTCAGTGCACCGTCAGGGTCTGATTGCTCGGTCCTCGGTGTTCCGTCTTTACCGAGTACCAAGTAATGAGGACACCCGGGTCCTGGGTCCTGGGTCCTGGGGCCCAATCCTCGGTACTGATGACTGCAACTGAATGCCTGAAGAATGAATTTCCAAGTGCTTGACACTCGGTGCTTGGCGGTTGGTGCTCGGTGCCCGGTGCTCATTACTGTAGACTCGGGTCTGAGGACTTGGTCCTCAGAGCTCCATCGTCAGCACTTGGTACTGAAGACTTGGTGAACTCTCTCCAGTAATTGGTCCTTGCGTGGCATTAGGTCCACGATCCTGGAGATCCCGTCCTCGGTATGGAGCATCGATTCTGTGATCCCACCTGGGATACTTGATATTCGGTATTCAGCCCTTGGTTCAATCACCGGTACTCGGTGCATCTTTGATACTCAATGTTCGGTACTCGGTCATTGGTGCTCTATACCAAGATCATGCATCATGTGGCCCTATCTGATCCTCGTAATCTCTGCCACCCCAGATCTGATATCCCCCTTAAAGCCGAATTGTAGGCATCATCTTATACTCACCATCGGATTTCCCTCCATCAAATACATCCCTTCATCATGAATGTGTCCCCAGACTCCGAGATTGAGATATCCTTCTGGATCTCTTGGGCCCTGACCGTCACCCATGAGGCGAGTGAATATACCGAACAGAAATTCAATACAGACAAGATGGGAGGGGATCTGGTCATACCTTCTCCTCACCTAGACACCGATCTGGTGATGGCTTGTGATCAATTGGTCGATCACCTCATCAAAGCATATCACAATCCCAGTGAGTCGGATTGCTGATCCGGATCTTCCATTTGATCATTCAGATTCCTCGATTACAGTTCAGACACAGATCGATATTGCAAGATACAGCAAATTGATATCCCTGAAGGACACTGGCCATAATGAAGAGAGAGAGAAGAAGCTGCTTGACAGGTGTCCTCCTGGACATGAGGGTACCAAGTTTGTCGACATGCCTGCCACAGTTCTTGATGTGACTGGTGCGATCATCGTGTGGTATCTCCCTTGTGCACTCACGGACACCACCCAGGTATTTCAGATTCTTCATTGCCCGATGGATCCTGAATACTCAATATACTACAGGAAGAAATTTGGAAGGCCTCGCAATTGCTGACTCCCACACTCGAAAAAAGTGTAAAAGTCAGCGGCAGTTGGCGGACTAATGAAGAGTGGTTCAGTCAAGGCTCCGGGAATGGTGACATTGCTGCCAGATGCATCAATATATCCCCGGCGTGGTTTCAGCAGGGGCATGAGGTTAGATGCCATGACATGCCAATGTTCCTTGGTAGTTAATCTCACCACTCCTGTAGACTGTCTCAGATCCAGAGGTATCCGCTTCATTGAAGGGTCCACTTTCCGAGGATATCCTCAAAGCTATTGCGAGGCTGGCAGCTATAGCCTCAGCAGCACTCAGGGTCATGCATCCTCGACAGTACTGGGCAGGCATGCATGCCTTTTCAAGCCTCGGTGAGTCGGCTGAAACAAAGAACCTTCTGAACATGTCAGAGACCCTCAAGCTCTGGGCTTCCGTCTTCAATACCCTCTCTGTCATTTCTAATCGGCAAACCCCATATCATAGAGACCACTTATCATCTCCCGAGTGGTTTGACATTCTCACAACTGTGGGGAATTATTCTAACACTCACATGAGCATGCCCAGCCTTCAGCTGGAGTTCATGTATGATCCCGGGGTCATGATAGCATTTTCAGGAAGGATAGTCAGGCATGGGATCCATGAAGTAGCAGGGGATCGGGTTGCTTGGGCATGGTATATGAGGGATTCAGTCCATATTTATGCAGGTGTTCCTTCATGTGGATGGGCCATGATGGATTTGGTAAAGATTCCATTTGGTGAAACATCGGCCAGGGAGGGTCATTAGTATATTCATAAATTCCATACCTCTGAGAAAGCGATTGAGTCCTGACCGAATGTTGAGCATTGAATACTTTCGATCAGGTCATAAGCATCGAGTGTCGAGCACTGAGCACCACACACTGAGTCAGTCCCGGGTCCCGACCACCCATAACCAACCACTCAGGCCTGAGTACCGAGCACCGAGTAACATATTCCAATGTCCAGTATCACCGAGTTAATATCTGTCTTCCTAGGTCATCGGTCTATAAACTTGATAGTTCTATCGGCCCATCCGTCTATACAATCTACAGGTTGATCAGCCCATCCATTCATGTAATGTACAGTCCCATTGGCCCATCCGTCTATACAATCTACAGGTTGATTGGCCCATCCGTTTATATAATTGACAGTTTCATCGGCCCACTAGTCTACATCATTCAAATCGAGAGTTCTATCGGCCAATCCGCCTATGTATTGTACAGTCCCATCGGCCCATCCATTTATAAAATCGACAGTTCCATCAGCCCATCCATCTATATGATGTACAGTCCCATTGGCCCATCCGCCTATGCAATTGACAGTTCCATCTGCCCACTAGTCTACATCATTCAAATATCTCGGCCCTCCCATCTCTATCAAATCCCTTACACATAGTGGCAACATTGGCCCATCCATTACCATCGAGTATTATATACACATTGGCCCACCCATCAACATCAAGGATATTATGACATCGGCCCATGGTCCGCTGGCCCGTTTAATATGGAATATTATGTCCCTCAGCTGGCCCGTCTAACACGGAGTTTTACACTGAATGGGCTCTGAGCTGCACATGGGCACTGTGGAGTTACAGCCTAGTACTTAACTCGAAACTCAACAGTGAGGGGTCATGCGCGACTTCGGTGCTCCGCTTACCATTCAACCGAAGCCCTCTTCTATACTGTGCCACATCAATGTAATTTTGTATCTTTTCGCCCTGCAGAAGTATTATCTATGCGTGCATTCAGGATTTTGGTGATATAGCTTAGTGATCTAACCATACCGTTGTCATCAGGCCGAGTTAGGTATTATATAGACATCTTAAGATCACTAGGAATCACCATGGAGAGCCTGCTCAGAGGTAAAATAGCCCTACAATGGCAAGTATTATCAGTGGAACTTTGAATTCAACATGTCTGTCAATTCCTTTCAGCTTGTAAGTTCATACTTTTTGTGCAATGATTGTCACGAAGGCCGGAAAATACATACTTTCAGCCAATTTAAAATACACAGGTGGAATTATCATAGCCTGAATTATGCTCAGAATCATTCATAATTGTTAACAAGAATTCACAACAGGCTTGTATCATCAAATCACAAGATTGATAACAAACTACAACAGCAAGAACCGTATGTAGATAATAATAGATTTGAACAATGATATGTCCCTAATTTGAATCAAAAGCAGTGTCATCGAGTTGTGCCCTCTGCCTTGCAAGGGCATTGACAGACATGTTGGACCTCGCCGCGTCGCTAAGATCCTCACAGCGGCTCCTACCAAAAATTTTCCTAGACAGGTTGATAATATCAATTGAGGCTTGTTGACAATATCAGTATAATATCTACACCTAGTCCACCACTCAAGGAGTTTGTTGACCCTAAGCTGTGCTTCTTGACCAGGAGGTCGTTCGAAGAAATCCACGATGGACTGCCAGAATTGTATATAGTTGAAGTCACCGTCGACAGTCCACCACGACATGACAGAAGAAAGCACAAATTGTACCTGTCATTGTAGGATGAAAACACTGATGATGACAACAATGACGACAACTTACTTTACAGGCGATATATGCAATCGAGCAGGGAGTGACTTTCTCCATCTTGATAATTTGTGCGACGTGTTTTTTGACCTTAATTCCCCAGGCTGTCTTCTTAGCACGTCTATTGTTCTCGATGACGTCAGCGCCATCGCCATCACCCTCTGTGTTCTTTGCAGAGGAGGGAGATGTGAAGACAGCTTTATAGCCCTGGAAACAAACAGTGAGATCGTGGCCAGGCAACTCGGTGCTACTAACCTGCACCAGAATTTTGCCCTTAAAAAGGCCTTCCTCCAAATTGTCCAGATTGGCGGTATACCTTTCATACAAAAAGGCCGGAAAAGAGAGGTCTGTCATGATATAACCTTCAGAGCGATCTCGAATCCCTGCCTTTGTGCTGGTGAACAGTTAGTGTTGCTTGAGGGGTCCAGATGCACTATGCACACTGGGCTATTCCAATCGAGCTCAGCCGGGCAGAGTAACTTGCCACACGCATCATTGATGAATCCGCGAGAATGTTTGTCGTTGGGGTCCACTAGGGGATTCGGTTTGAGTTTACGATTGACCCAGTCAGCAATAAGAGTCTTCAGTTTCGATGTATCATCGCCTCGAGCTCCATCAGCCCCCTGCCTAAGCTAAACAAAGACTTGTCATGATAAAGTCAATCATCAACATCAGCACAACACACACCATTTTGAGCATGCATGTGTACTCATCGTGCTCGATATCGGAGGATGTCTTTAGCAACCATGGCAAAGCTCTCATTAGGATATTGTACCCTATTAGCAGCTGCTCTTGGCTACATAAACAAATTGATGTGAGGACGCTGGTAACAAACCAAGGTCGAGACAACTTACTCGATAGTAGCCGCATCCTTGTTGGCATCATATCTTCTGTCATTTTCGGCGACGAGGTCTTCAATACTATCAAATAAAGCGACGACGCGCCTGATGCCTCTTCCTTGAGCTAGATAGTAGTTTGTTTGCCTGACAGGTGTTGGGAGAAGCCAACTCGACACGTGAAATGATGGACATACCTTTCTTTTGCAGCGCGCCCTGACTCGAGGGTCTCCAGCTTTTCCTCCAGGTCAGCGATTTTACGTCTCTGCCGGGCCTGCAGAAATGCTGACTGTGCTTGGGATGATTCTGAAGGCCACTTGAGGCCATTGTGACTCTGCTGGCTTTCCAAGTCGATGCCAGATGCATCATCACCGTGCAACATACTGTCTTCGCTGTGTGACAGTGACATCGACCAAGAGGGGGGGGATATAAGTGACAAGGAACGAGGAAAGAAGATGAGAGAAAGGAACTTAGCCAGTACCCAGTATATATACTGGTCAACCGCTTCCTGAATCGGGATGTTTGAACAGATTGTTCGTGATCAACAGAAACTAGTGTCCTGCATCCTAAAAGTGCAAAAACAGTGGTAGGTAGCATGGTATTACTATAAACGGACAGGGAAACAGCAGGCAGCCTTTGTACGTACTTGATTTGGCTTCAATTGTTTCGTAATGTTCGAACATGATGGCGAAGACACTCGGATAGACTGTTTTTTAATTGAGGGATATTCAGGAAAAATGGGTTTGCCTACATTACCTGGGTTATAATGAAGGGTGAGTCTTCCCAGCTGTTGATGTTGTCCAGGTTGATACTCTGGTACCAACATGACGGTAGTGCTTGATCAGCGAGCGCCTCTCCCACAATCAAACAAGTGCGCATGACGTGAGAGCTGCCACAGAAAAAGCATGTCAGGTTCGATTGATGAGCAGAGGAAGGAGGAAGGGGAGGGAATATGGTTCAAGATGGCGAAGATAGGTGGTCAAAAGACCGGGTACTACATCCATCACTTATTTTCCACTTATTCGAACTTATTTCTGAGAGCTGCTTAAAAAAGCACTGATAGCATTAAAAAAAGTAGACTAAAAGTTGTATCACTGCACTTGTAAAAAGTGTGAAAACAATGAAAAAAGGAAGCAAGTTGAGGTAGTAGCTTGTGGCAGGGAGGATTTACGTGGATGGTGCATTAATATGATATATACTATAGACGCAGCTTGGAGTGTGAAAATGTTCAAGAATATGTGAAGGAGAAAAATGCAGGAGACATTCTGTCAAAGTAGTAGTACTATATCAGTCACTGGAGTACAGAACAAGGAAAAAACACTCACAGAGCATTGCCTGCTCCCCACTGGCTGCAACACCTCCCTCAACATTCAAGCTTTTGATGCTACTATCCGAGCTCGAATCTTTGACAAATGGGTGTGCCATAATAATTGTGTCAACTCGAATCACAAGTAGAAATCATAGCAAGCAGAATAGAAGCAGTGGCAGACGGTTCAGGTGCAGGGAAGGGAAATAGACTGAAGACAAGAATTCAACACTTTTGTAAGTGCTGAAACACATTTTTCTAAACTCAGACAAACAGTGCTGTAATACTTACTAGTACACATAATTCAGGTTGCTCTGCTGTCCATTCAAGTTTGCCATGTCAGATGTCAAACCAGGGTTTAATGCCCTTCGCATTCCTTGCACCAAACCAGGACACATTTTCATTAGTGATGCCAGTCGGTACATACCCACTAGTAACCATGAACAAAGCACTGATGAGTGCAACACCTTGAAGTTTGGCATTGATCTTCATGCCAGTCACTGGCACTATTACATAGTACTCCCATACCAAGCACTGACGAGTGCAACACCTCGAAGTTTTGTGTTGATCTTTATGCCAGTCATGACTTATATTTTGTGCTACTACTTATACTAGCTGGAGCGCCCTAATTTGCACTTTTTCTCTTATTATACTTTTTTTCAGTCTTCCAACTTAATTTCATGGTGGCCACTTTCCATGTGCAGAAAATTAGTGAAAAAGCGAATTTTAAGTACTACAAGGCTGAGAAGGTAAACTCAAGATTTCCTGATGTAAGAGAAAGACTAGAAGATCAGTAATAGATCAGCACGAGCGACAGTGTGAACTGGAACGTGTCAGTGCAAGCAGGAATTGAACTGAGCCTGGAGGGAGGAAAGATGGAAATACATCACAGTGCAAGCATATACATGTACAGAAACTCGGAAAAGTAGACTGGTCAATAAATCCATCATCAGGCGCTTCCGTGCCCATTTGACGGCTGGATGATCCTTTGAGGGCAGATCACTCAGAGCCAGTTTTTTTGCCCTTGGCTTGCCGGAATCTGAGGATACAAAGCTTCCTGATGCCATTGAGGAGGCCTCTGAGTACTGTGTGGCCTCGCTTGTGCTGCAAACGCGAGTGTACGGCTGCAAACAGTGTGACTGACGGCGTTCTGAAGGGGTCACATGCCGCCTGGGATTTTCAGGGTTGTGGGGTATAGGTTGAAAATCCCTGAGTCCAGACGGAGTGGTCATGATTTAGATACTTTGGGTGGGAGAGGGAAAGCTGGGACTCAGATAGTCAATAGTTGATGAAAGGTAAAATATAACAAAATCCTGAGTAGGACACTGTTATGGTCACAGTAACCCTCCGACGCCGCATGTGATAAAGTTCAACTTGAAGGTTTTCAGGAGTCACGATACGCATCTGGTAAAACTCATTAAGTCAGAGGTGCCATCGACGGTGATTATTGACCTTGGTCAGATAGATTGCATCGAATGAACTGGATGACTCAACCCTTCAAGTTGTCACGCTGATCTGCCAGATATTGGGCTACCATAAATTGTATTGGAGTGTCTGTATTCGATAATAATATTCCAATCAAGATTCAGACGTACACCAGTAGTATGATAGTTTGACTCACCGACTCAATGGAGAACATTTGTCATATCCCGTACCTCCGGATCTGGGATTCCGACTCTACTCCATTAGTCTGGTTCTCCGTCCTGCTATTCTGCCCGGTGCTCTGCCTTCATCTCCGCACTCACCCCTAACTCCTTTTAGATTAGCTATTGCTCCGGTCACCGGTTATGTCCTTTCCGCTATGCTTATTGATCCATCCATTCCTACTTCATTTCCGACTTCACTGCTTTGATCTGTTACACTTACTAATAGATATTCCACATGCTTCATACATAGCCCTTACCTTTGCTAACTGATTTACTTAGATGATACCTACAGTATATAAACCCCTGTAATACTCTGGAACTCCTTAGTTCGAATATCATCTTAGTTCTGCTCATTCCTGCAATCTCCAGACTTGAGTCTCATCTCTTGTCCACCTCCGAGTCTTAGGGGTTAAACCTTAGGACTAACTCTCCGGCTCTACCTTAGGGTAGTCTAACCTCTGTTCAGTTTCTACTCCGGACTTCCATAGTAGCCTTACTCCGTCCCCACATAAGCCTTCTGGAGTTCCACCGAACTCCACCGACACTAGTCCTCTGGAACTCCCTGGACTTCCATCAGACTTCCCCTCTGTCCCCCAGAAATTAAAGGGCACGTACTCAGGTAAGGGGCGCAGCGCACGAGCTGAAGCCGAAGCCCTTTTGAGCAACCTGTCCCTTGAGCATGACCTTAACAATGTTCAATGACTCATGGCCACTCTTCAACTCCATCATATCGTGTAAAGCGATGGTCATATGAAAGGCCTCCATCATGATCATGATGAGATTGTGCTTGAGGTTAGTCATGATGAATGTGTACAAAATCGGACAGCACTGCAGGTGATCATGACAGGACTCGGCAGAAATGATTGGAGTTGTCCAATGCAAAGTCTGTTCCTGACAGAATGAATTGGCATAAGCAGTACAACACTAGGTTCTAAATTCTACTCATGATGACACTCTGCGATATTTGTGAAGCGAGATATGCAAAAGCCAGTGAAACTCGAAAAACTCGAAAAACTTGGAGAAGTTGAAAGTCAAAGAGCTGAAAGATCGAAAACGTCGAAAAGTCGAAAAAGTTGTTCAATTCAGGTAAGAGTCTCTGTTTGTCACTAGTACTGTGGGAAGGGAAGCCAATGAATGTGAGTAGGAGAAAACACTGAAAGCCAATAGAGAGAGCAAAACTAGTAAGGTAGCGCAAGAGAAGCATGTACCCCTGACCCTCATATGGCTGTGCCGCTGAATCCGTTGATAAGACCTGGTCTTTATGTAATTAAGGTGAGCCTAAAGCGTGGGGAATCCTTGGTTCGTAACTTTACTAATTAAAAGAATTATCCACTGATCATCAACTTGACGAACAGTTGCTACAGTATTCAAATCAAGGGGCCTTGGGGCAAGTCTAGCCCGATAAGTTTTTCGTAGCTGGCGGCCTCATGACTCCTATATTTTAACCTTTGTGGCCCAGAACACCTTGCTTCCAAGTCACATCATGACTGGACGGCAACGTCTCTATCTCCTTCATTTTAAACTGTGACATCATGACAATGTAGTGTTGCCGCCGAGGCAAACTGAATCGAGGTGGGAATTCCTCTTGTAATTCTGAGTCGATGCAGTTCGCCACTTACTAATAGCATTACGACTCGGACTCAGGGCATCACACATGTTGACGATGCCAGCCAACCCCCCTGGGGCTTTGAGTCTGTCTGGCAATCCTTAGTAAGAATGCTAGTGATGATGATGTGGGGCGATTGACCTCGTCAACATAATCCAGACATACTAGCCACGGCCAGATATTGACATCTGTTCCGAGATATCTTCAAACATTGAGTTCTCGTTCAGACTCGGATATAGCATTGGCATATACATTTTGTATTGTCCCGTACAAGCTATTTGATTGAACAAGGTATCGATAGTTCATGCCATGTTGAGAAAACAAGAGGGTACAAGACCAGGAAAAGCAATTGGGAAAATTGATCCAACAATAAATTTGAGATGTGAGAGTGGTGACGCCGTTTGGTCACCGATCACTGTATTGCTGGTCAAGCTTTCAAGTCTTTCACTATACTAGTTTAACAGTTATTCTCAATTTTGCACATCTTTTTCATCTAGATTGTGCCATGGATTGACATCAAAGCTGCATGAGACCTTCCCCACTTCATGTCACCTTTGCTGCTTCCTATGCTCGTGGTTTGCGGAAATTCTCCCATTTTGGCCTCCCAAAACCTCCTGGCCCTTGGGCTAGCTAGGGAGATATACTAGTACAGTATGCCCCACTATCAACCGCCTTGGATTGCAATTTTTGCGACTCAAGATCACAGGGGCAAATGCACATTATATCAGTGCGACTCTCCCCCCTGACAATATGCTCTCGAGGCATCTCTTGACACATCCTTCACCTCAACTCATCACTTATAAGTTGGTTCTGTTCGCCCTGGC